GAATTCTTCTAAAAATTTTTTAAAATAAGGGGATAAAAATTTAATTGTAACTTGGGAAGAAAAGTTTAATTCAAAAAAGTGCTCTTATACGACTCTTGGGTTAAACATATAGTTTGTTAATTATGAATGGTATAAGATGATATTTCAAATTCATCGCAGCATCTTTAAATATTTGTCAGAAAAAATATTTTGATGAGTACTGAGTTTAGAGAATGAAGAACATCATGAGATGAAAGTTACTTTGAACCCAAAATTGAATGCATACTCAGTTGCTAGAATAATAATAAAATTTTGGAAATGAGCTTAATTTAATAAGATAAGTTAAACAGTTAGTATAAAATTTCCAAAAAGCGCTCTTATACGTATCTCAGGAAACTTATTTATAGTATTGTTTGCATGTTTTTATAGCCTCAAATATACTACTCATTGAGTCATTCTTCAATTTTATATTTTTTTTCGGTAAGTCTCCTAAGTGTTTGTAGCTAACCCAGAGATATCATTTACTAATTATAGGTATGGTATATATTGCACAATATATATTTATCATTTAATTTCAAATCGCTCAATCTGAGGATGAATAAAGTCCAAATTACGAAAAAGTTTACAACTATTCAAAGTTACCCCCTTAAAGAATAGAAACAGTTGCATATACATTCATTTTTGACTACTTTACACGGATTGATTTTGAAATGCACAGGTTGAATTTAGAATAATCGTTTTTGCACATTTTTTGCACTTGTAGGAAAACCCTGAAAAAAAATAGCGTTTTGTATAGAATCAGTGGAAAGGCTTAACTATTTTTTATTTCTAATAAAATGCATCAACGAAAATACCAGAAAAAGAATGATATCTTATACAAGAACATTATTTGCACCATATGAAATAAGAACATCGGAGATTCTTTATTAATATTCAATGTTGCAATATGAAGTGCGGTTTTTCAATATGCACTACGCGAAATGAGAACTTCGGTAATTACAGTATGCTACAATATGAAGTGCAGTTTCTCCATCTTCATTTTTTTCCTTTTATGTATAAACCGTATGAAACGAAGTATACAACAAGGGATGGAATATCAAACATCGGTGGATATACAATGAATTTTTTTATAATTAGTTTGATTGAAATAAACTAAAAAGGATTCAAGATTTTTGTAAATTCCGCAGTAACAAAATCAATGGTAGGTGATATAATTGTATATTTCATGCAACTTTCACTCAGGAACTTGGATTTCCGCCTAAAAATGATAATTGAAGACATATTTGAGTTATTTCTGAGCTGAATTTTGATCTTAATAACTTGAAACAATCAACTGTTCCATGGTAATAACATTGTTTTCAAGAGATAAATATGGTTTCTACGCTTGAAGATTGCGGACAAATATCATGGCAACAAATAATAATAAGTGGAGTGCGTTATATTGGGCAGTTATGAATAGTTCAATGTCAATAATCAAATACATATGTAGTCATAGTTCATTTAACATCAATATCAAGAACAAAGAAGGAGATACTGCTCTCCACCTTGTTTGCAACATTGGAAGATTCACGTTGTGTTATTTCTCTGTAGATTACCAAAAATTAACGTTGAAGTCAAAAGCGATGAAGGAAAAACGCCAATAATGGTCGTAAAGGAGACAAAATAAAATCAAAGAAATTCTCAAATACGGCAGAACAAAGAGCTAATTTTATTATATTGTTTGTTATTTGTTATTTATTTTAATGATAAATATTAAGTTTCTCATGATTTTTTAATAAGATTTTTTTTATCATACCATTAAAGGTAACAATAATACAGAAAATATCCAATTTCTACTCACGAAACATGTGATTTTTATTTCCTTTTTACACCCAAAAGCTCCAACTTCTTGATTAATTTCGGTGAGATTTCCAAAAAATTCTACTTGATCAATATCTGGGCCATAACTTAAGATATCTTTGCACGTGGACTGAATCGATTTGAATTTAAAACACCTTACTTCAGTTTTATTTGTTCCGAACAAAAATTGTTTTGTTTCTAGTTGTGTCATATTTGGTGAATACTCTTGGTATCCAAAATAATTATTTCCATCAATGCTGACTTCAACACCAAATTGAAGAGGCCTACAGGACATATTTGATGTGGTTAATTCAAAAGATTCAATGGTAAGCGAATGAAATGGGAAACATACAGAAAAATGCCCTGTTGGGTTAGTTGGCACCCAATATGAATTAAGTGAATAATCAAAATCAAAAGCATTTTCAATTCTATAAGAATTTATATGATCTGATTCTCGTAGAGCAAAGTATTTGGGATATAAGAACTTATATGTGTTAAACAAATAATGTAATATTCCATTTTTTGGCGAATAGCCAAAATACAAACTGGAGTTAGCAGTTTTTTTACAGTTACGGATATTACGGGCGTGTATATATATATATGAATTGTTTGGTAAATTCTCATAAATTCGGTTGAAGTAAAGCCCCCATTTGGAAAAAGTTCTTATCCGCCGCGATAATTTAGTTTATGATTCTCTATACTAGGGAAAGAAATTGAGATGTGAAAAATTAATTCAAAGTAAACATAATTTAAATGTGTGCAGATATGCATAAAAACAATTAACATAATGGTATATAGTTCATTTGTAACTTTGGAGATTGTAATTCCAAATGATTGTGATTTACAATGTGTGATTGTAATGATACAATATCAAATAGAGTACCTCGAGAAATATTAGTAAAATAAAAGCCCATATGCTAACTTTCCAATTAAAAGAAAGTAAGCGGCGAATCTTCCTCTGTACATGATTCACAGAATAAATATCTTTTTTGCGATTATGGGCATGTTCCTCGATGTATTCATGAGGCGATCTACCATTAAACGACTCTTGTATGTTCCTCTTGATAAAATTTTGATGTTCTTCATTATCTTTCTGGATTTGCGCCATTTTATCTTGAAATGCAATATCTCTCCGTAGTTTATTACATTTGGCTTGAAGTAATGCTTGATTATTAAAAGATATAATTTTTCCTTTCTTTTCATCTTCAATTTTCTTCACATACTTTTGTTCCTGTGAATGTAGTTCTTCTTTATGCAATTTTTCTTGGTCTTTGAGCTTTTGTATTAATTTTTGATTCACAATCTTTAAAGATTCATTATTTTTCTCAAGAAAGGCAGCATGTTCATTATTATAAGCATTATGAGAGTTAATGTAAACGTTTTGAGTATAGATTACATTATCTGATGGGGTATTTTTATTCATATTAAACATGGATTCTAATTTTTAACGTACAGTCAAGGGAGAAAAATCAATAGCAATTTAAATTTGATAAACTTAATAGAATGAGATAGCTATGTTTAATTATAAGTTTTGGAGATTCGAACTGAAAACTTTCAAAGGAAAAAACTGTGATGAAAAAAAAAGTTATAAAAATTGACCCGTACTTTTATTACAGCATTACGTATGTAAAAAGTTGAATAAATAATTTACAGAAAAGAGAGAAAATTTTTAATATATTTTTGATATACATTTGATATAGTGGGGAGACGCAATGAATAATCAAATTGAATCTTAATCAAATAATTGATAACAACGTGTATTTTATTTGAATTGAAAAAATTGAATCATTGTATTTAGAATCTGGAGATATATCGAATATTCAAATATTAATAAACAAAATTCAGTAATCGGGATGAATTTCAAATGTATTATTCAATAATTCTTGATTAATTCAAAATATTGTGAGTTTGAAAGAAATATTTGAAAGGTTTACAAAATAATTTTTAAATACTTTATAAAATATTTCTAAAGTTTACAAAATTAATTTCTGAATTGAAAAGGAAGATAAAAATATATTTACAATTAAAAAATAAAAAGACGTCTATCAAACCAATTCCACTATTGCATCTTTTGATATTTTTGATGCAATTTGTCCAAAATTTGAAGAAGATCTTATAATAATTTTGGGTGGACAAGGTAATTCTATCGATTCTAACGGAGTATATATCTCACTTTCTAGCATTAATGAATGTTTTTTCTTTGTTGAATGATTTAGCGTGGTTTTTGGTTGAAAAAGGTCATTTGTTTGCTCTTTCCGAATTGATTTACTCAATTCTTCAAATTTTAGTTTCTCCTTTGCATCTAGAGATCTCCACATTTTCCCTAAAAGAGATGTAATGGCTGTTCCTTTTAATTGAGGATGCAATTTTGTTGCTGTATTCCTGTTCTGCATACAGAATATCTGAAACGGTGTGACAATTAGAAGATTACTTCTTGATCCATGGTTATCGTCGCTACTTTCAGACATATGGATTTGTACAAGAGGTAATGTCACTTTTAGAATGAAGAAAATCAATAAAGTATTTGATAGATTAAACATGCTGGTCTGACATTTAGTGCGATAATTTTCAACTCAAACCATTCGTTGAATCATTTTTTTACTAAAATTTCTGGTCATTTGATGACATTGAAAGTTTTATGCATAAAATATATATCTTTATAAAATTAATACCAAAATCCACTATTAGTTTTGTACAGGAATGATAATATTCAGCACAATCATTGAAAACTTAGTTAACATTCAAAGATCATGATATATCATTAGTGAATTTATGAGAAAATAGCTTTATTTTATTAGTTAAGCAATTATAACCATCTTATAGGAACGAATCCAATAAATATGAGATGGATAACCAAGACATCAAGATTATCATAATAAGCATGAAATAAATTGAAATCATATTAGATGGCGTTTCAATTTGAATCCAATTAAATCCAATTTCTATTTTTATTTGATATGAGTATTAAATTCGTGACAAATTTAACAAAGTGGATATTTTTAGGTGATATCAATAATTATTGGCCGCTATTTTAAAAAATTTGAATCAAGCCAAATTACAAAATATAGGATTTTATACCAAGAGAGTGTGAAATATTAGCGTTTAGTTTCAAGCATTGAAATATTCCTTGTCTGAGTTGGAAAAGAGGTGAAGCGTAATATAAATGTCACTTTTCCTCAAAAATGTTGGCTTCGCTTTTTTCTCTTTCCCTCTGCGCTGCAAATATCAGAAATACTAAAGTAGAGCGCCAGTATAAAATTACAGATGGATTTGTTGCTGTTTCTCTTGATATTACTTTCACCAATTTTGGCGATAAAGCGACATCAGAGTATGTCTTGTCATTTGATCCACGCGAGGCAGCACATATGAATACAGTCATTGCTGTAATGAACAGAAAGCACATTCGTAATACACAGAAATCTCTTGTTATCAAAGATCAAAATGGACAAAAGGTTGTTACACTTCTCTCACCTCTTGAACCAGGAGCCTCACAGACAATTTATGTTGGCTACACCATTGGCCAGTATATTCTCTTCACAACAAACGGCGTTACCCTCAAGAATTTAAGAGTTGACTGCTACTTCAACACAACAATCGGTTTTGTTTCACCATACCAAACAGAAGAAGTCAGTCTTGAAATCAGCGGCATTTCAAAGAACTCTGTCACAAGCATGACCAAAAATCTTGATATTACCCAGAAATCAAACACAATTTCGATGCAATCCATCAAGACAGTTCCAAAGAACAACGAATTGTACGTCGAATACTTCATCTACAAGGCTCTTCCATATGTTTCTGCCGTCAATACCTCAACTCACATTTCCCACTGGGGTATTTCCAAGCAGGAGTCATTCATGGAAGTTCACAACGACGGCCCCGAATTTGTTGGCGAGTTCAACCGTATTGATTTCCGCGAATCCTCAAATTGCTACTTCCAGACAGTTCCTGTCCGTCCACCAGCAGACTCCTATCACTTCTGGGCTAACGATGAATCCGGCCAGCTCCAGAGAGAAATCAACCTTGAAGACAAGGATCTCTCCATTCCACTCCGTGGCCCAGTTCTTCCTTCCTGGAAGGTTACATACACAACAGGCTGGACAGTCAAGACATCCAACTTTGTCCGCACAGAAGGAAATACATACATCTTCTCAGCTCCTCTCTTCCCGAAGCCTTATGCTGACCGCGGTGTTTCTGTTTCTCATATCCGCTCTGAATATGTGTTCCCAGAAGGTGCTGAAATCAAGAAGATCACATACCCACAGGCAATCAACGGAAGACACCATTTCGGACAGGAAGTCTGCAACCTCGATTTCAAGGGTAGATCTGTCGTCGTCATCGAAGCAGATAGACTTTCTTCTATCGATGAAACAACTGTACAGATCGAATATACAATTGAAGGAAAGTACGCTTTATACAAGATTGCTTACCTTTCCGCTGGTTTCGGAGCAATCTTCCTCGCGATTGTTGTTCTCAGGAAGATCGACCTCTCAATCCCATCCTTCGAAAAGAAGAACTAAATAATCTTAAACATAACAAATATTTATATAAATATTACAAAAGAATTTTTTTTATGAAACTCTTTTTCCTTCATAAAGTCTCTTATTCAAATTTTTGTTAGAGATCCACTTAATGTTGAGGCAGAAAAACAAGAGGGATACTTTTCGTAGGAAAATAATTTCCAAATAATTTTAAATAACAAAGATTTAACTTCAAGCTTTTAAGAATGATTTTCTTGGTATTTAACAGTACTTTATATAAAGATCCTTATGCAATTAAAAAAATTAGAAATTACGTCAAATTTAAAGCATGATTAACTTAGATTTAACAGTGAAGGATGTAAATATCTTCAATACTTATTAAATTTACTATGTGTAAGTAGCAATATATGATAATTAAAGAATTCAAATTAAAATTTGTAATTGCATTTAATGAATTTGGTGTTTTGGCTGATAAAATAATGATTTGTTTTGGTATTTAAAGGTTAACACTTTGATTTCATGGAAATTATAATATAAAATAAGTATTTTATTAATATACAAACAAATAGCATAAAAATATCAATGACTAGTAGGTGGTAGCATCTAACAAACTATGGATAAGAAAAAAACTGAAAAAAATATGTTCAAATAGTTTTTGCGTTGAAATTGGTAATATGAATTTCAATTATAGCAGAAAAGATTCGTATTTTTTGATGAATGCGTTAATAGTCTCAACATCAGTTGATAATATATTCAGTGTTGGATCTCCATTGATCAAATATTTAACAGATTCTGTATCGTCTAATGATAAAACATGATTAATCTGGGCGACTAAGAGTTTTTGATTTTCATCTTTTTTTCTAACAATATTTTTGTTAGTTGAATGTGAAGGAAATAGTTTTTTATTGATTTCTTTGATTTCTTCATCGAATTCTACCATTTCTGCGCATTTTGCTTCTTGAGATTGCAATAAAACTTCATATAATTTTTGCAAATTCTCAATACTCGCATCAATTTTGCTGTCGAGCTTTTGTAATCTTTGCAACCTTGTTGATAAGTCATTGTTTCGTTCTTTCAAAATCTTTAAAACTGCTCCTGTTTCCATAAAATCAAAAAAATTAAACGTCAAGTTTTGGAGATTGATTTTTGACAACAACTTCATTTTCTGACATTTTTACCAATCTACGCCGGTCAGAATGACTGCGTGGTTACCCTCAATTTGATGCAGATCAATCTGTGCCAAATTGCGAAATGGCACAAAAAAAATATTTTGATTCAAGTTTTCATGGGCAATATAAGAGAATGTTAGAATCACATGGTAGGATTTTGATAACATGTCTAGTATAATCACAATATCGGAAATTACGTTGATTCTGGCTGGCTTAGTTTTGTGTATTTCACCATCTCAAATGTAAACTGGCGCAGATTAAAATTGAGATGATTGGAGTAGATTGATCAGTGTTAAATTGAGTGTAACCGTGCAAACGCGCAGATCGGCACAGATTGATATTTTTTGATAAATTTCAATGATTTTTTTGATAAGTGTCAGATTTCGAAAATGAGCGATCCGCCTTTACGTAAAAGGCGTGTTATTAAGAAGCCTGATAGTGATTCTAGTAATAACTCGCCTCAAGTAACACCATCAAGCAGTCAGAGTTTAATTCATCCTTCGAATTCGGAAGAATTAAATAAAAACGAGCAAAATGAAGAAAATAATTTAGTTACTACTTACACAACTGATCCTGAAACAGGAGAGATAATTCAAATTACCCATAAAAAGGCTTTAGTTAAAAGGAAAGTTAAAGTTGGGCAAAATCCCCAAATTGTAGCTCCAATTGACTTAGGAGACCTCGATACAAATACCAAACCTTCATTAACTGTTCCAAATATTACAATTCACCCAGAAAATTCGCAAACTCAATCAAAAGTTCCTTCTCCAAAGATTGTTAAAGAATTAACTGTAGAACAAATAGTCGGTATGGATGACGAGCCAGAAGATTACGATAATCTCGATGTAGAAAAGATTTCTTCCTATGAAATGCAAAATCTGTTATCCTCTCAACATATCAAAGAAATCAGAGCCAACTTCAATGAAAGAATGCAACAGAGAGAAGCAGAGTATCAGAAATCACGCCAACCACAAGAAAAAGGAAACAATAATGCAATCCAAAATTGTTTCAAAGGATTTGCAACAAATTTCGCACAAATAACAAAAACAATTAATAATGAAGCGAATTTCCTTACAAACTTTGCAGATAATTTGAATTATTCCTCAATTCCTGAAGATTTGCCAATTTTAACGAAAGATTTCTACAACGAGTCATGCAACAAGAGCAAAATATATACTCGACCTCTTGAAGCTTCTTACGACGAGTTATTTGGAAATATTCCGGAAATTTCGATCGAAATTATTAAAAAAGATTTGGGATTCGAATTAATGCAAGTTACAGAAGACGCAAAGCCACAGGAAATAGATCTTGTCCAAGAAATGCGAAATTCTTTAGTTTCGTGTCGAAAAAAGATTTCTCGAGAAATTTCGATCATCGACATGAAACAGAAGTCCGCCCAATCCTTATTCTCATATATATCAGCTCTTGTTCTTACAGGCATTAAGACAACTAATTTCGCTGATCTTTTAAGTTCAATTCGCGATGAGATCCGAAATTTACACATTTATTCAGCGATTGACAACAATTTAACGAAAGTAATTGATGCATTACTTTCTGATGGCATCAGTCATGGCAGGAAAGGTTCTTTGAAGGCAATTTACGATCTTTTGAAGAAAAATGCGTTAAGTCAATTTATTCAGACAATTGCGAACTCCACATCTATTTCTTCTGATTATTATCATAGAGATTCGCCAATTGTCAATGCAAATGTTTGTTCTCCGGCTGTTTCAATCATTGAAGAAGTTGAAGCAGCGAAATTTGATGATGATTTGGAACTGGATAAAATAAATAATCCATTACCAACTTCTTCGCCACGATTTGCTTCGAGATTTAGAAATACAATGAATAAATACAACAAATTGCAAAGTCATGCTGTTTTGGCATCTGAAAAAGCAGATAAAGAAATAGAGAAATTAGTAATAGATTGCATGCACTTGATAAGTCAGTTCTTGTTGTGTGGAAAGAATGGTGATTTATCACCTGAAATTTCATGGAACGCGATTTCTTCTTCTTCATCAAAAATTGTTAATCATCCTTCATGGGATAAAATTGTTTTCTTGATCAACAAGAGGAAGGCTGTTCTCAACACTTCTTCAACTAAATTCTACAGATTCATTGTTGATGTGTTCAATGAAGGAATGAGTCCTTTCTTACTCCCTTGTTTGTCTGAGTGCGGAATGAATCAGCAAATAATGCTCAGTCAAAGAGAAACAGTTCTCAGAGTCTCTCACGATTTGATTCCTTTCTCAAAAGGATTCAAATTCGATGTAGAAAAGACTGCAGAAATAATCGAACAGTAAAAAAATTAATTTTATTTATTTGATTAGTATATTTTTCTCTATTAATATGAAAAGTAGTTTATATTTTCTTTAAATAAAGCCAAATATTAGACTTATTTAGATGCACAATCATTGCAAATGGTATAGAACAAAGAAATATGGCTGAATAGAATCTATTTGTATCTGTATAAAAGTATTCAAATCTATAAAGACTAACCTGTATAAAATTCAATATGAGTCAAGAAATATATTGTGTTGAAATGATAATCATTTGGTTACTAAAATTTGGTGAGTATGAGTCATATTTGGTGTTGGGAAAGGAGGGGAGTGAGGGTGTGTTGTGGGGGTGTTTCAGTCAAGAAATATAACTTGTAGCAATATACAATTGTTGTAAATGTTATAGGGAGCAAATTATCACCATTTGGTTATTAATATTTGGTGTTGAAATTATCTACTTTTTTGTAACCATTAAACGACCCAATCTATTTAGTAGTTTTTAGGAATTAGAATCTATGGTAGTATTCACAATCACAATATTGGGTATTTTCTAAGTTTAATCATCAAATGAATCAAATATGTGTTTGAATAACTTGTTCTGTTGAATTCCAAGTTATGAAATAGTATTATCAATAATTTAATCAAAATCCTGATATTAAATTAAAAAAGATAAACGAAATAGCTTGAGAAATAAGAAAAAGTATTGTCAATCAATGGTAATATGAATAAGTATAGCACATTAAATGTTTGAAATATATTAATATAAAAAATATAATTAATCCAAACAATTTTTTAATAAAATTCTTTGTTCATCCAAATGAATCGATTAGATCTTGATGTGATATTACTATTTTACCATCTGCTTGCTTTAAATTGATAACAGTTTTATTAAGTAATATTGTGTTATCAATATTGATATCTTTATGGCAAACAGGGCATTGTTTCGTCTGTTTAGCTATTCCAGATAGGCATTTATTGCAAATAACATCAGAGCAATCTAATCTCATCGCTCTTGTTTCACCTACGATTTGTCTGCCACATGCTTTGCAAATAGGAATGTCACCATCAAAGACTACTGTCAAGTCAAGCAGTTTCTGATATTTAATTTTTTTGTTGCATTGAGGACATAAAACTTTCACTTTCTTTTCAGATTTTTTCTTGTGGCTTGGTTTGACTTCCGGCTTCTTCTCAATTTTGGCTTCAGGATTTGACTTTGGAACAATTCTTTGAAGATCTAAGAATTTATCAATTTCATTTTTCATGTTTGGATCTATTGTCACTGCAGAAGTCTTTTTAGCTTTATGAGATAATATATAATCTAGAATGCATTCCTTGCAGAAAACATCGCCGGATGGGCAGCAAGTTGGTTCGCGTGCGCAATGCTGGCAAATCCTGCAGAAATACCATGGATTAAGATCTGCTTCAGTAACAGTCATTGAAACTGTACCGCCGCGGTATTTCTTCCTCATTTCATTGGAAATATCATATGTTTTACAGTAAGCAGCCATTGACACTTTTTTGTTTATAAAAGAACCAGACGGATAATGTTAAGCTGATCTCAAACAACCAAATTTTTAATTTAATGAACGTAACTTTTTCAGAAATCAATTGATCAAAAGTTGATATTGGTATGTTCTATAAAATTTTGTTGAATTTCTTCATTAACTCGTGTATTGATGGCATTACCAACAAATATATTGACTCATGATGAAAATAAGGTTCTCGATAATTTAACATCATAATGAGTTTAATGTAATTTAATTAATAATTTTAATAGTATTACAAAATTAAAATCTATTATATGATTTAGATTCTTTAGATCTAAGTTTTTTAAGAGAATATTTTCCAAACAATATTCAAAATTCAAAAAAAATACATAAATTTTATTAGTGAAATGGTTTATAAATTTCATAAATGATTGATCAGGCGACATTAAACGACATGTATCTTCGATCCAAAGCGAACACTCCAGAGATTTACATTACAACAACACTTAAACGCCTTCGTTTATACGATAACAAGGTCGGAATCACTGAAGAAAATAAAGAAAGCATTATTAAACCAGAAATGAGGATGTCAGTCCTCGAGAAAATCATTCATGCTTCACAAGAGCTTCAAGTTTCAGAGGATACAATATTCCACGCTGTGAGGCTTTTCGATTATTTGAATCAACTCTCGATTCTAACAACAGAAAATTACGTATTATATGGTGCAACATCGCTAATGCTAACAATCAAAATGAATGAAGCTAAAATGGCCTCATTATGTGAAAGGCTCGCCGAATATTTCCAAATCTCTGATGTACAACAGCTTATATCAACAGAGTTTATAGTAATGGATAAACTTGAGTTTGATGCATTTATCGCAACGCCATTATCGTTTATACATTGCATATCTCCAATTTTATACCATGAGATCGAAAACGAAGCAACAGCAAAGCAAGTTCTCGAAATTTCTTGCATGCTTTGCCAGAGCACTATTATTTCTGATAAATTCAGTTGCTTTTCTGCGGAAGATATCGCAAAGGCTTCAATTTCACTTGCCTGCCAACAATTGAAATTAAAGCAAGAAGATCTCCTTACAAAAGCGTTCGGATCAGCAGCAAATGAAAAATGTGTTGCTTTTGTATCTGAATCATCATTATTACCTGGTAATAAGGATCTCCATAAGAAGATATATGGAGAAGAATGAAATTTATTTGATTTAACTCCCAATCGAGAAAAAAAATATGTGAATTATTAAAAACTTTTCTTTTACAAACTTTTCTACTATTTTAATAATGCATAGAGAGAATATTGGCTGATATTATATAAATTGTTCTGAACTTATCAAAAATCTTTTTGAAATTCAATATGAAAATCAAATTACTTTCCAATAGCGTTTTAACTATGATTCTAATGCCTATTTTTACATCACATCATTAGTTAATCTCATATTTTACCAAATTTTTTGTGATTCAAAATTATTCCATTTGATTTGTGCACATTTTGTTGTTATTGCGATGCAACTCTCTAATAGCCTCATAATTGTTTATACATTATATGATTATAGCATTTTATCTCTATTTGTTGAGAAGATAAAGATCATTTTGAAAATTGCCGTTTTAAAAAAAAATTGAATGAAAGCACCTCGTCGTCTTCCAGAGGATTTCTTATATAATATTCCTCAAGAAAGAGCTGGAAACAGAGATAGAATTGGTCTCCCTGTTCTAAATTCAATTCTTGATTCGAGAATAGGCCAAATGACTGCAATTACATTACCAACTGATAAAGAAAGAATGAATTTACTTCATGAAATCAATGCTATTCCAGATTCATCATCAAAATTAACATCATTTCTTGATTTTATGATTTCACAACTTGATATTCAAAGTCGCAAATATTATTCGACGCAGGATGAATTAAGAAATTTGAAAAATAGAGTTAATAACAACGTTTTTGATCCTTCAATAGATGAAAGAATAGAAAGACTTGCTAAAATTCTCAACGTTCAACCAAGCAAAATCGAATCCAAGGTTGCAGAACTTGAAAATCAGAGAAACGAAACAATATTCCAATATGAAGCAGATTACCAACAATGTTTAGAAGCATTAAACTGTCCAAGATATGGTTTATCAAACGCTATTGAAAAGTTACTGAAAGAAAATGATAAACTTCATGAAGTTACAGCAAATGACAGAGGACTCATTTCAAAGCACAGTAGAGAACTACTAAGCGAAGAAGAAGAACCAACTTCAAGCCAAATTAGTGCAAGTTCAATTAAACTTGATTCAAGTTCGAGTAATGGTGGATTTGTAACACCAGGAAAGAGGAATCAAGCAGATCTTGTTAAAGATATCCTCTCTGGATTAGATAGCGCATAATTATCAATTTATTTAATATTATCTCATGTTAAACTTGAATAAACTCCATGTTTTATATTCCTATATGCAGATTTTAAGTGTAAATTCCCATAAATGTTATTGTTTTTTAACATTCTTATTTTCATATACATAAAATCACAAAACAGATGATATGCTCCTGTTAGTATCTTCACAAATTTCTTGGAGGAGAGAAATTAATGCAGAAAAATTCATAATTAGGTAAAATAGAGGCAATTTAAATTCAATTATGTATAATAATGGATGGGACTGGCATGTTGGATATGAGTACTAATAGTATATTCTTATCGAATGTATTATCGCAATAATTAGATCGTAAGGAGGAAATCGTCCTAAATCCAAAGAATTAATAAGTGTGAATCAAATTTGCATAAATAATTCTTTATTTTTACAATACAAAGTAACATAAAACATATATATTCCAGATTGTTTTATCGGTATAAAATAATCATAAATTTTTGTAAGAGTATCGATAAGTATTGAATGAACGATACGATTCCATTTATGGAATAAAGAAAGCTAATGCGGTGCAAACTGCAGAAACGGAGAAGAAAATGCATATATTTATTGCTAGGGTTGATCTCTTTTTATTCCTTTCCTCCTCTGAGATTTCGCAAATACCAAAGTCAAGTCCTAATGGTTGTTTCCTATCTGGATCCACCTTAATACTGACTTTCATGAAAAAATGCAAAAAAAACTGACAAAAATATTCAACAATGCAAGATACATCAAAATTTTGGGGAGAGAATCATGATCAAGTATTATTCAAACTATGTACCGAACTCGTTAGACAACAGCTTGGAGAAGATTGTGCTAAAATTGTTGAAAAACTCTCAGAACCTGTTCAAGATGAGCAAAGTTTGATGAATCTTTGTAACATGGATCAATTAAAATTTAGGAATGCTTTTGGAGCGTTAAGTAATGCTGGCATCGTTACAATGGATCCAACAATTGCAATTATTCCTGTAACTATTATTTCATATTTAACGCTTCCACATTTCATGAACTTTGCGCAGAAGTTTTATATCATACCTCAAGATAGAGATTTGATTGAGATATTAACAACTAAAATTATTAAAGTCACAACTTTAACAGCTCCAAAATTAGTCGATACATTGGCCACTGAGGATCCAAAGTTCGACAGAATTAGAGCTCTTAAAGTAACACAGCATTTAATTGCCAAAAAAGTATTCATTCTCACTGATAAAGAAGAAGTTAATTTCAATATCCAACTTTTCCTTGTTAGATTACGATTGGAAGCGCTTGAAAAACTCGTAGAATACCAAGACCATCGTGTTGTCGAAGTAATCAGAGCATTATTCTCACCAGATTTCAAAGAAGATGCTTTAATTGATTGTGAGTCACTCAAAGTCGATCACGATGAAATTATTCAAGCTCTTACAGCACTTACAGGTATGCAGCAGAACGAAATTATCGGAGTTTTAGGAATTTTGTCTTCTCCAGATATATGTTTATTTAGTCGCGATTTTACGATCATTCAGCCAATGACTGCAATACACATATTCAGAATAAAGCGTATTGCAGCACTTCTCGCTGAAATTGGCCATCCTCTCGCACGCCGTGTGATTAATATGCTTTTAAAGAACGAACAGATCGAAACAATCAAGTTCTGTGATATGCTGATGCTTCCTAAGCAAGATGCACTAAATCTACTCGCTACAATGCAGCATTTAGGCGTAATTACGTGTGAAGAATTAGAAGATGCTCCGCATACAACATTAAAGAGGAAATACAGAGTATGGAAGATCGACCTTGTCTCCGCAATCAACAATGCTGGTGCTTATCTTCTTGCAGTCATCGGATCTTTGATGTTCCAAGTAGAAGAGGAGAAAAGAGAGAACAGATCAATTCTCGACTCCAAACCAGAGCTGAGCCAAAAGATAGAGACACAAACATCAAGAGTAATGAGCGAAAGACTCAAAATCTTGAATAATACAATTATTGACGCAACTAAGAAATACTTTGAAATTCATCAGTTGTAGTTTATGTTTTGTAAAAACTTATGTTTATTTTGTAATACTCATCATATTTACATTATATTCTTTTAATTTCTTATAAATATCACTTTTTTGATATAGAACTCTTCAAACATAAGCGTTTGACATAGTTTCCAAGATATTTTAATGTTTAGAATAAAAGGTGTTTTGGATATATTTAACTTAAATATGTTTTTTCCTCAATCCTATTTTACATGTGTAAAATATATCTTCTTGAAAAGTGATGACATACAATTTTAATAGTATTAGCAAGAAATTATATGCCTAAACAAAATATCCTTGAATTTACTTAGTATTTAGGATAATTGAATGAATTATGCATAATCATATAGATTATATGGTTCTATAAGAGTCAATTTCATTGAATAGAAAATAATATTTTTATTTAATCGATCGTTTTGTGAGTAATGTTTAGGTTAATTCTCCCTTTCTAGTTTTATGCTTTAACAGCATAGAAAATCGTAAAACAGAAGATAAATGATCAAAATGATTTTTGTTATTCGGTAAACGAATTATCATATCTTTGTATTTGCTCTGACATCGAATATTTAGGATACTTTCATGTTATAATTTGATGTAAATATGTTGAATATACGAAAAATTAGATATTTGATCTTTCATAAACTTTAATCGACTAGAATAATCTTGAAATTTATAATTGTGTTGAACTGTTAACTGAAAACAGTTGTTTCTGGGGAATAGATGAAAATTGATATAAAAATTCATCATTTTATTTCAAATTATGACTGAACTTTGTTGGATTTGTGCCGGAGAAGTAATATATTTCTGTTACTTTTTTCCAAATTTTTCGTAAATTATGGATTGCCAACAAAGTCTTCTCAAATTTGAAAGTGAATTTTTCAATTCTCAATTTTTTTTTGGAAAAATGAGGTTAAAAAAAAGATAATATTTCAATTTTCTGATTAAATAAAGTGCTCTTTTGTGATTCTAACACGAGAGAATAATTTTATTTTGAAATTCTTACTATTTAAGTACTAGAAATTGGCATAAAAAATCAAATTTCATGTGGTATTTAATTATTATGCAATATCAGCATATTTCACAATATGATAGCATGTATTTAGGTTTCTATCAAATATTTTAAATAGTCTAATATAGTTTATTCGATTACTCAAAATTTGAAACAATTTTGGATGAATTCTACTTATAATTTATTTAGATTCATTGATGATAACAATAAAATAATTAAGGACATGATATTTTTATTCTCTATTGCTTCCATTCCTCAGCAAATATGAACATTGATTCATATTTAATATGAATATATGAGTAAAATGTAAATAGAATCAATATACTGCACATTGCTGTTAATTTTTCATAATCAATTCTTGATCATTCTAAGAAATAGCACATTATATGAACTGTAACTAAATATCAATTGTTAAATGATCTAAGATAGCTAGGATATTAATATCTGGTATTTCTTAATATCTAATAGGAATGGTTAGCTTATTTCTAAAGTCAATCTTGAAGGATTATTTTTTTTTTGTGTGCTTAAAAGCTTTAGTTTTATAGTTAGTAGGACGAAACCTTGAAGTTTCTGCGATACCTCGACTTAATAAAAGGGGCTAACTTTGATGCCAGATATTAGGAGTTAATGTCGGATATTCGCTTATTTGCAATGTTGAAATTCTTAAGTCCATAAGTGTACTACTATATTATACTACTAGTATGGACTGGTTGCCTTTTAACCGTCAAATAAAACAGAAAAACAATTCCCTATTCTTTATCTAAAATTGTACGTTTTGAAAAAAAAAACGTTACACAACAAAATGGAGAAATTTGAAACAGAATTATTGCAACTCAAGGATATCAGTGGCATTGATAAAGTCATCTATCCATTGAATTGGATCCGTTGGGAGTCCGAATACAAGACTTCTAGCGGAATTCGCGCTCCTCCGTGGCGTCAGAGCGAAGGTGATATTGGTTACATCCTTGCAAGCACACATGACAAAGGAGTTGTCGCCATTCTTTGCAAGAATGACGAAACATGCGTTCAAATCAAAGGATATATCGTCAACGCCGATGGTGAGGAAGAATTAGATTATACACCACAAGGATCTCCAGCAAATACACTTACAGAGCTTCTCAGTGGTATTTCTGAGATTTTCAAAGAAAAAGCTCCAACAATCACAAAGGAAGAAGCTGAAAATGCCGCAAAATTCAAAGCACAAGAAGTTCATAACGACTTAGATACACTTCCGACACCAGTTTTAGTTCTTACACAGCCAGAGGACGAAAACGATGAGGAAGGAGACGAAGAACAAGAACAAGAAGATGATGAGCCAATTGTTCCATTCCCTAAGCAGACAAACTCAGATGAATACTCCACAATCTATCCAAAGATGAAGAATTTCACCGCAAATACAGCTGATCCAACAAATACAGATCTTCAAGACCTCTGCAATAACCCAGCCCTTAAAGAACAAGCCGGTCAACGCGCTGTTCTCATGGCAGGTGCTATTTCAGCTATGCGTGATGTTCTTTGCATGAAACAAATTCGTGAAGGAAATGATACACGTCGTAGTGCTCAAATCGAAGCTGCTATCAAGATTTTCGCAGCTATTTCTCTTTCTCCAATGATTCGTCGTCATTTGGCCAATGAAGATACTGTTAAGATTTTCATGGATATTTTAAAGAGAGATGAACCACGTGTAATGAACGATCTCTTCACAACAATCGCAAACTGCTGCCACAATACAAAATTCCGTCACATTATCCTTCGTAACAAGAAAGATCAAGGTGTTGATGCCTTCATCGTACCAATCAAGAAGCCAGAATACGCTTCACAAGTATGCTACGTTCTCTACAGCTTAAACAGAAGCCATGAAGCTGCAAGAATCATGGCTAACTGCCACCTTTCGAATGTTCTTGATACATATACAACAAAGAAGGCACTTGCCAGCATCAGCGAGGACCTTATGCTTAATATTACACGTCTTATGTACAGTATGGCCATGTACGGAAAGAACGAAGACCGCCAGATCACAGATCGCCAAATTACTTTCTTCTGTACAGGTCTTGGCAAAGAAAATGCAGAGCTTTGCGAATGGTCAGCTCGCGCATTCACTATTTTCCAGATGAATGAAGAGCAAACTAAGCAATTCTGCCAGAATAACCAAGATCAGTGCCAAGGACCACAGAAGATGACACGTCTTCTCGATAATACAAACGAGAAGGTCATCTTATCTGCCCTTGAAACCATTTCCGTCATTGGAAACGTCGCAATGATCAGAGATGAACTTTGCAAGCTTGGCGTTCTCAACAAACTTGCAACATTATGGAAATCACCTCAACCAGAAATTTGCAAGGGTGCACTCAAAGTTATCGGTATCCTTACACAAAACCAACAATGCTTACAATGGACAGTCCGTCAGAACATGATTCCTTCATTACTCGAATATCTTAACTCTACAGACTCTGACTTCGTTATCTACGCTTCCAAAGCTATCGGAGCTTGCTGCAATAATCCAACAAATCTTAAGAACCTTATCCAGCAGAATGGTGTCCGAAAACTTTGGTCATTGATGAAGTCCCCATCACCAGGCGTCCAAGCAGCTGCTACTCGTGCTTTAGTTCCATTCCTTAAATCTCCAGAATCTCCATCATACGTCAGAACATTCGTTGATGGCTTAGATTTATTGGTTGGACTCCTCAAGAGCCAGGAACCAGAAGTACAAGCAAGCGCTTGCATGGCAATCAGTGAAGTTGCAAAGGATAACGAAAACCTTGGCGTTATGACAGATTTAGGTGTTGTAGAACTCCTTTCCCGCTTGTTATCTACCAAACTTGACGTAGTTCGCAAACCACTTGCTGACGCTATTGGATTTGCTGCTAATTATGGAAAGAACAGACGTAGATTTGGCGAAGAAGGTGCTGTCGATCCTTTAGTTTCATACCTTAGACCACCTTCATCAAACCTTGAAGTACACGCTGCAACAGCTAAAGCTCTTAAAGCTCTTTCTGAAGATCAGGAGAACTCAAAGAGACTTTCACAGGCTGGTGTCGTTGATTACTTGTTAAAGATGGTTGATAGCCAGGATGAGGAACTCCAGATGGCTGCTGCCGTCGCTATTAGAAACATTAGAACTAACAGACAATAAAATTTCCTTTTTTTTGGTATTATATTTCAACAAAATAATCACTTGAAAATTTGTAATTTATGTGATTAGATTGTGAGCTTTACAAAATTTTGCAAATTACCTCAGACTTTTCATAGGATTGAGTTGCCACTCAATCCTCGGAAATAGTCTGTGGTAATTTTTAGTCTCTACACTATTTCAATATAAGCTCCATTTTTAAACAGTTTTTAAAAATCGAGCATTGAAAAGTGTGATGAGACTCATGAATTTCAGATTATGACCAAATTGAAAACCGTTTAACAAATTCAATTTTTCTCATTTAGCTTAAACATTATCCAGTGGTTTTTTCACCAGAAAAGACCAACATATCCTATCACCATAAAAAAATCTGACATCTAAAACGGTAATACCTTATCAAAAAGTGAATATGATTTTATCAGTGGCATGCTAAATAAAAAAAAAATCGATGGATTCTGCAGTATATTTAAGATATTCAATGAAAGTCAAAGAGAAAATTAGTTGAAATAACCAAAAATTATGAAAAAATCGTGAATTATTTTTTTAATATTACCCATAATTTGAGTTCAATAGTATTTTTGGCGTATATTCAACTTCAGCATCCTTGATACAGATTTATCATTAACGAGATATAATTTTTGAATGAAAAATTATAGTTCTAAAATGCTTGTTTAAGAATATCTATACATGGCACGGCGGGCGCAAAAAGTGACAAAATAGAATACCTATGGTGGCAAGACAAAGGAAACATTTTTGTAAGGCAAACATTATATCAAATACCTTTACTTTGTAATAAGAAATATAATTATCACGAAATTACAAATAAATATTGTTTAATATAATTAATAGCAAAATTCTTTTTTATTATTTCCCTTAAGACCTTACTTATTAAGTATACGTATAACAAGCTTGTACTGCATGTATTAGTTAATAGAACAAAAGAAAATGAGCTCAAATGAAAAAAATTTTCATGCTATTTTGGAAATATGCATATTCGAAGTATGAGAGTTGTAAACACTGAGAATTTTAAGCTTTGGTTGATGATAATCTTTAATTTTTCTTGAAGTAGTAAATTATTTGATATGAAAATTTAATGGCCAGCATAATCAATCGTGCGTTTCGTTTCTTGATTGAGAAACGATGATTATGTGCTAATGAATTATTGCGTCTGACAGGTTATGATTATGGATACCTGAAATTAAGCTTTTATGGGAAACATCACCGAGCGCCATTTGGCGCCCCTAATGCTGTTTCTATCGGTATGATTAAGGAGATTTCTTATGCACTTTCATCACTTGAACTTGAACGCTACAAGATATATGCCCCCCTCCCAATGGGAGGTGGGAGCAAAAATTGAAATGTTTACATTGATTTTTGAATACTTTACAAGCACCCCTCCCAGTGGGCGCGGGCGCAAGTGATCGGGTCAAAAAATCATAAAAATATTCAAAATTGCGATTTTAATAGATGTTTAAGAAGTAAATTTATTAATAACGATATTTCATAGTACAAAATGTGTTCAATCTCTTCGTAAATCATTCAAAAAAATCAAAAGAATTTCCAAAATTCAATTTTTTTAGTAAAATTTATATCTTTTTCTATCGTCTCCTCCCCACCAGTGGGAGCCACCGGAGGCGCGGGCGGCGCCGCTGGCGCCAAAAAAGTAGCGCCCATCGTGCCATGCATAAGAATATCATATATTTTCATAATGATAATAAAAAACTCAATATCTAGAAATCTTAAAAATTGAAAGCGTCTCACAGAATTCTATCATTTTTTGGGATAAAGAGTACAATAATTTGCGACTTCAAGAACATTATTCTTAGTAGCTAATAAAAAAATTGAGCATCTTTTGAAAAAATAACGGGTCTTAGATTGAATAGCTTTCAAATCCAAAATCATGTATATATACATATATATAACTTTTCAATTGGTTTGAATTCTGATTATATTAATACTCTTAAAATTCTTTGAAAATACTCATTAATAGTGCAAAATATTGGTTGGTTTTTGATAAAAAAATTTCATTTTTTTAATTTTTGTATCACATTCAAAATGAATATTCGGCTATTTCAATAAAGTTAATCAATCAGCTTAAAACATTGTTGCTATCACAAGACCTGCTTTATCAATTTTTGATTTTTTTGTTATTTTTCAATATTTGAATTGTTTTCAATGTGTTTCTGTAATTCAATTTCAAAGAAAATCATTTTTCATAAATGTTTATATATTCTCTTATCTTCGAGGTTCTTAAGTTAAATCAAGACCTTGTGTACGATATATGCCCAAGAGCACAGCGCATTAAGTCTAAAACATACTCAATGTGGACCGATGACAGTGCACGAGGATATAAACTATCAGATTTTACATTTCCAAAGGACGCTGACAAAAATTGCACATATCCAAAACCACTCCCCAAAGGACTAGAGGAAGATCTCATAGAAGATCTTAATGACATCAAATATCTTCATGGATTAGGCAATTGGACAGTTGTACTAAGTCCACACGAGCTTCATTGGAAAATTGTTACTGAAGGCATTTGGTTTTGGAATGCTAACTCAAATAATGGCCAGGTTTCTGGACACATTACATCGGCAGGTGCTAGATGCAAGCAAGAGCTACCTTGGGGTTCTACAGGCTTTGCTTATAGCTCAGTTGGCGGCTCATCAGCCAATTATAAAGCATGCAAAATGCTTTGGAATTTAATTGATGAATATTATCCAGGCATGGGCCATAGAGCTGCTATGTTTTCTCCAGCATTGTATCAAACTCAATTTGCATTTGGTCGTAGAGATAATGGCAATGGTGTTTGGCCTAGTCTTTATTTCGGTGTTCTTTCAGCATATTATCGCGGTGATGAACTATCTATGAGCGTCCTCAGATGGAATGACCCTAACATGCCTCGTCCGGAATTTGTTGCACTCCCACCTCCAGGATATGTTGACTATACTTTGATTCCAGAAGTTTGGACATTCCAATCTCCATTAATAAATTACCGAAATGTTACATATAGAGCATACATTAATGGAACCCTTGCAACACAAAAAGCAACCGGAATTAATGGAGGATATCAGGATGGAGGTGATTGGAGTACCACTGATGGTGTTGCATTTACTAGAGATATAGCATATGATACTGCCTGGCGTGGCGAATCCCAAAATTTCAAACCTTTCCCATGGCCAGGAACACAGATCCATATTGAAGTTGAATCAGATGGTCACTATTGGGAATATAATACAACTGTTGTTGATTGTGATAAAGTTCCTCCACCACCAACACCAACTCCACCACCAACTCGAACATTCGTTCCTACAAATCAACCAACACCAGTGGGAACACCTTTCTTAACTGCGGCCGAAACAGCAGTTGAAACACCTTACTTAACTCCATTCTTAACTGCAGCAGAAACAGCATTTGAAACACCTTTCTCCACACCAGGAAAGACAGAAACACCAGATCCAACACTTGATCCAACAAAAACACCAGTCGTTCTAGCAAAAGAGAATCCAGATAATGACAACTCATTAAATTCAAACAGTGATAACAGCAAAGCTAAAAAGATCGGCCTTGGTGTTGGAATTCCAGTAGCTATACTTGTATGTGCAGCTATTGGACTTGGAATTTTCATCCTTGTCTCAAAGGGCATCATTGGAAGACCAGCTCCTACTCCTTCAGATGAAGAAGGTATTGATGTTTAAGATATTTTAGTTTTTTTTTGTTTTCTTCTAAATAAATACAATTTTCTTTCAATATTTGTAACCATTTTTACATTCAAATTTGAAATCGGGCAATTTCATTCATATTTAGAAGGTAAATTCCTATGATTATATTTAAAAAAGAAGATTTTTACACAAGACACCATGTAATAAAATGTCATCTAAATGTAAGATATCATATATTTTTTGCTTATTTACATTGAATTAATAGATCACACATAATTTATGTACATGTAACCTTTAGAAATCCATAGATTGAATTGTTCATTTTACAGGTATGATGGAGTACTGAGCAAGAGAGTAAACTTTACTCTAAACTCTAACAGGAAATTACAATTTTAGTTCGAATGTGTTTATGATTTTATTAAAAAACACATTTAACTGGTGCTTTACCATGTAAGAATTGCCATTCAGAAATCTGTCATGAAAATACAATACAGAGAATGCTTTGTTAGATCAAAAATAACCTTATTATCTGATCGATCAAAATTATTTTGAGTATGGAATGGATAGATGTCCTCTGCTTTCAGTTTACTTAACTGATTTCATAACTATTCTCCAATTCGTATAATTTTTTTCGATCTTTGTTCGGCCAATTCTGAAGGCTATGATTATAACTCAAAAAGAATTCAGTAGCAATTAATTAAAGCAATTATACACCTAAAATTTCAAATTCATTTATTTTGCCAAAAATTTTTTTGCCCCAAAAAAACGAAAGTTCATTTGTTTGGATGAGCTCTATCAATGGACTTGACGCTAAAATCCTATCAGCTAAATCAGTGATCAAAGAAGCCTTCGAAAGATATTCAGATAAGCTTTCATTTTGTTATAACGGTGGAAAAGATTCTGTTGTGCTTCTCGATCTCGTAATGAACGTCGTGAAAGAAAATAATTACACTATCAAACCATTTTACCTCGAAGTTGGCGACGAATTTGATGAAATTTTAGATTTTATAAATTATTCAGAAAAGTACTGGGGTTTCAAACTGATGCGCATAAAAGCTACAAATCTTAAGGAAGGGTTAGAAAAATTAATTAATACTTATCAAATTAATTCAGTATTTTTGGGTGTACGAGCAGATGATTATCCAAATATTAAAATGAAACCTTTTGAGCCTACAAACAACGGATGGCCAGAAGCAGAGCGTATTATGCCTATACTTGATTGGACATATAATGATATTTGGGAATATATTGATAAATTTAACTTGCCATTCTGCAGTTTATACAATCTTGGATATACATCAATTGGACCAAAATCAAAAACACATCCAAATCCCCTTCTCAAAGATCCTGCAACAGGCGAATATCTTCATGCAAGAAATCTTAGAAACCTCAAGAGCGAACGACTTGGTCGTGCTCATAACAATACTTCATAATACTAATAGTTCTGCTTTCATGTTATTTATATAATAAACCATAGAATGTTTAAAATTATTTTTCCGTTCTTTATTATATATATGCCCATAAATGGAAACAGGTTGTTCAATTCATATAGTGATCATTATTTTTTATATTATTGCAAAAAAAGTAGTAAAATAATTATTGCAGAAAATGATAAGCTGTGCAGAGAGATCTTCAGAGAGCTTCGGACCATATTTTAAATATCTTTATAATGATTGTTCTTAAGCCAGAACAATCGTGATTTCGATATTAATATCCAATAAAGACGTGCGAATGCTTTAACATGTTTATATAGTATGTAATAAACTGCAGCAAGCTGTTTAAACGAAAATGCTTTTCTAAGGTGTACTTACCACTTTCTGACATTTTCTCAATTTTTTGACACCTATGTTTTATATTGCAATTTTCTATGATAAAAAGGCAATTTTTTATGTCGGAAGAAAGTTAATATAAATTGCTATGTAGTACACAGTATTGCTGTTATACATTTTTCCTATTAAATTAAAGGTATATTGTTTTTATTAAAGCATGTCAGAAAGTATGAAGTATACTCTTAAACCAGAGTAATCGTGATTTCGGATTAATATCCTATAAAGATGTGTAATTGCTTTAAACCAGTTATATCGTAAAAAAAAGATATCAAGGAAAGAAAAATTTTAGTGCCAGATTTTCCTCCGATTTTACCAACTATATCTAAAAAAAATTTTAACATAAATAAAACTCACTCTATTATTTTTATTTAGGTGGGAGAACAATTCCCTTTACGCCTGGTATTGACACGTGAGCAGTTGAAAGTAATTCAGTTTCTGTCTTCACGAGTAATTCGTTTGTGTCCTTTTCGAGTGGTCCAGTAACTTTGTAAATTGTTGGCCACATGCAGAATGAAACTTCACTGTTGTAGTACTTCTTTAGCCATTCATTTCTCGCAGGATTGCTGTTTTCCTTCTTTGAAATTTCCATGTAAGCGGAGAATGATTCAGACTGAATCATTTGCTTGAGAGCGTTAGTAATAGATACCTTGAATTCATTGAATATTGTCTGCATGTCATCGCGCTCGAACCAGAATGGAATTTGGTCCTTCAATTCTTTCAAAACTGCCATAACTTCTGGTCTTGATCCATAAAGTTTTTTGGCTTTTTCATCGAAGTAATCGAGTTCCCAATCGATTTCTGCTTGTGCGCCACGCCATTCTGCTGGTTCCTCTGCGATATCTCTTTCTTCTGGGTCATCTGGATTGTCTGGAACTAATTTCCTCTTAATGTGTAAGAAATTAGCGAAAATTTCATCAACAATGAATTCTCTGACGACAACAAACAGATCTGCAAACAAAAGGTTGAATTCCTTGTTCTTCTCTGGAATGGCAAGACCATTATTGATGAAAATAGGTAATGCTTCGGAGATTTGGACTGGAGAAATCTGCCAATATTTAACTGTATTAATAATTGCGCGTTCTTCGCCGCCAATCGTGTTATTTACCTTGTCAATAGTATCCATGAGCTTTCTATAGCATGGTGGAGTGCATTCTACTGGATCAACAATGACTAAAGGTAAAGTACTGATTACATGATCTCCTGTTGTAGGATGTGGTATAGATGGAAGGAAATTACCCATGACAATGTCATACCATGTATTAAATTGGTCTTCTGGCATTCTAGAAAGGCCTGTAACGAATTTATTTGTGGCGCCAAAAATAAAAACTTTGAATGAGTAATCTTGGAGATCAGGAACGACCGTCTTGTCGAATGTGTAGGTGTGCTTCCACTCGAGATCAAGAGATTCAAGAGATCTGTAGTAAATTGGATCGGATTTCTTGTCAAGGTCTAAATCTACTTCCTTGCCATCATCAGGAAGCGGTCTGCGTTCACATAACTGTGTGAATGGTGGAAGGTTCTCTGGAGCAACAAAAACGTTATATGTTAAATCATGGCGTTTTGAGCCTTGAAGGGACTGTCCAAGTGTTGGAACCATGAAAAGAGCTTGCTTTTCGGTAGAATCAACTTGAATTTCAAGTGCTTTTGTAAGAAGTGTGCCCCAGTCGTAATGACCAGCAAACCAATCGTATCCATAGATAGATTTCTTTCCCTCATATTCTGGGAAGTATTCTAATGGTCTAAGAAGTACAATGAACTTTGTGTTGTAGATGAATTGTCTTGAAACGGTATTTTCTTTGAAAATTTGATCACCTAAGACTCTTAAAGCTTTTTGAGTCTCAGGATCATTTGGAGCTTCGTTTTCATATGGATGAAGGACAAATGGTGATGTGGAAGGAAGTGTTGTTTGGAAGTTTGGAAAGAGTTGGATTTTGGTCATAAAATTTTGAGGAAATTTTTACAAAATCATGAGGGCACAGGCGTGAAAAATATAGTATGAGAGCCAATTCATCAAAAGTATGAACATATGAGTCATATTCTTCAATATATCATTACAGTAGTATAGTTTGTAACTTAGTTTAGATTCATCATATTTCGAATAAATGATTAACTTGAACACCTATAAAACCATCTTCATAAACCGTGTTCACAAACGTTTTTTGGACAACAGGATTATGAGAAAACTATAAATATGAATAAAATTAATTTCTTCATGAGAAGAAACAATATAAGGTTTAACAAAAAATTTATACACAATTCATAATTGCTGTTTCATAAATAAAACACAAAAATTTATTATTTATAAACAAAATAAGAAATTAATCTGCTAAAATAGCATTAATATCTGAATCAAGGTTGCTCGATTTGGCAGGAGCTGGCTTCTTTTCCGGTTTTGGTGAGCTTGACTTTTTCTCATTCTTGAAACCGTCAGACAACAAATCTAAGAAGTCATCACTTGTTTTTGATGATGATTCTTTCTTTGCCTCACTTTGTGATTTCTTTCCACCTTTTGGTTTTGTTGTATCTTCATATACAAACGATGGAGAATCATCCTTATCTTTATTTTTCTTCTTTGGTTTTGTTGTATCTTCAGTGAATAAACTAGCAGATGATTCAGAATTACTTTTAGCTTTAGGCTTTGGTTTTTCTGGTGCTTTTCCTTTAGATTTTGGCGGTGGTTCTTCAATTTCCTCTTCCTCTTCGTATTCATATTCATAGACATATTCTGGAGATTCTTCTTTCTTTGGAGGAGGTTTCTTATTAGCATCAGGTTTCTTTTCGTTTTTACTTGCATCAGATTTCTGTGGTGCTGGTTTCGCATCTGACTTTTTAGACGCATCTGATTTAGCTGGTTTGGAATCAGACTTTTTAGAAACATCTGATTTGGATGGTTCTGCTTGACCTTTCTTAGATGTGAATTTAGGCTCGTCACTAAGAGTTTCATATTCATATTCGTATTCATATTCAGGTGACTCTTGTTGTGGTTTATCCTTTGGTTTGTTTTCTTCAGGTTTCTTCTCTTCTTTCTTACTCTTTTCGGATTGATTATTGTCTTTACCTTTCTCTGATTGACTCTTTCCTTTTTCTGAAATCTTTTGATCTTTCTCGCTCTTCTTTGATTTCGATTTTTCTTTGTCGGAATCTGATGAATTGGAAGATGAATGCTCTGAAGAAGATTTCTTTGATTTGGATTTAGACTTAGATTTGGATGATGATTCTGAAGGCAAATCTTCAATGAATGTTGTAGAAGTGTAAGTAGCAGCATCAGATGAGATTTCAAGAATTAAATCATGAATTTCTGGTGTGTATCTCTTTGGTGGTCTTCTTAAGTCTGCAATGTTATTGGTTCCATTCTTTCTTGTCATCGGATATATTTGTTTCATTGAAACTTTCAACATCTCTTTGACTTCGTCTTTATCACCTGATTTTGCCATAATCTTTGTAATTGTACTTTGCTCGTGTACGTCAGCTCTGATTTGTTCTCTTAAGTTCCTGAGAACCATATCTTGTCTATCGACAATCCTTGGCCGAGTAATAAACTCTTTGGCAGTTTGACGCAAACCTTCTGGAATTCGTGTTGAAGTTGTAAGACTTTTGCTGTCAGGAGCAGATGATTTAGGCTGATTTTCTAGGACTTTAACCTCATCCAAAGTGACAGTATCCGCCATAACTGTTTGTGGAGGTGGCTCAGGATAGTCGCTAAGCTTAAGAGGAGCTGTTTTACTTTTAGGTGTTTGCTGTTCGAGAGCTTTAATTTGTTCATTTTCATCAACAACAGGCGAAGTTTTTTGATCTTGAGTTTTGACGAATGGATTAAGCTTCGGCTTTGGCGTTTGAGTTGATTCATTCATTGCCATTCTAACTTGTTCTGATGATTTAGTGATTGTAGCATTTTGATCTGTTAACATTTTTTGAATCTTCTTTAATTCATTTTCGAGAAAATCGTTATGCTTTGTAGTGCCAATTGGCTCGCCTGCACGAATTGATTTCCAATGATCGACAATATCAGGATGTTTCTTTTCAACATGTTGATCTAACGTTTTGAATGAGGGAAATATTCTATGACAAGTAGGGCATCTTTCAATACCACGAAGTAATTTACACGCATCGAAGAGTTTGTGAATTCTTTTGTGATATCTTTCGTTAACTTCTGTTAATCTTTCATTTTCTTTCATTAATTTTTTATAACTCGACTGCGATTCTTTTTGCGTTTTGAACATATATTCCAAAACAACCTGAAGCAATTGTAGTAGTGTGTAAACAGGAGGACTACCGATAATATTCATATCTTCATCTGAAAATATTGCATTTAAGAATTCACTTGCTATTTCATTCATTGATTCAACATCTTGAGTTGCTTGAAGTAATTTTGGATCGAATTTGGAAACTAATTTCCAATCAAATGGATTTTGACGAAATTTAGGTTGATTTTGCTGTGTTTGAGTATTATATCCTTGCGTTCCATAATACGCAGGCGGGAATGTTTGCGTAAATGGTGCATTATTGAGCATTAAAAATGGAAAAAATCACGAAAATTTGGAAAAATAAATTAACGTACATATTTTTAATCTGTTGTTATCGGCGCGAAGTGCAGATTTATTATCTCGTTATCCATTCATGGGTTATATATATACGGTCTAGGTGAAGACATTGCGGATCTTCGATCCGCAATGTCTGAACCCCCCAAATTTATATTAAAAAGTATGTTATTATATGGGAAAAATTCGAGATTTCGAACTCAAAATTTAGAATCGGGTTATTTTGGATTCTTTCGCTTTGAGAGGGCGCAAAGCGCCCTCCCAAAGCGATAAAAGGTCGAAAATGCTTATCGAATAAAATCTTATATCAGAAAAAATGACTTTGGATATGATAAATATCATTTTTATAATTGGTACATATTATATTGCACATTATTTTGAAATTTTATTTTTTCAAAATTTTCAAAATTTAATATTGATTTATATTTAAATATTATATGATTTTAAGATAGCATCTCTCAATTTTATTAAAACGGTTTTTGGTTTCCCTCAAATATGTTAAAATTGAGAAAAACAAAACATTTTTAGGTGAAGCACTCTGAAGTTCTGAGCCAGACTTCAGATATCTCGATACGCTGAAGTACCCAAAATCATGTGCATTTGCCATAAATATTTATCGCTCGAATTTTGCAATTGAACTTTGCGTTCGATATTTAATTATACATACTTTCGAAATTGTAAGACCTAGCGACCACACACTAACACAATCACTCAGTCGAATCAATTGATCCAATTCTCCATTATATTATTGGTTTATAATAAGAAAATTTGATAAAAAGTCAAAAAATAAGCGATATCAAAGATTACTTTATGGGTGTACTATTAATTGACCCTTTTCTGATTAATTGCGAATTACTGAAATGTATTTATTTGTTAGATTCTTATATAAATTTTAAAAATCTCTTTATTTTCTTAAGTTCTACTTACAATTTGTAATCTTTTATTTCATAGATATATACTTTTAATAAAATAACAAAACTCAGTTTCATCATAACAGACTTGTTGTTATAAACGTCTTGATACTGAATTTTAAACAAAAATAGCTTTAAATCATAGAAGATATATGATTTTTTTTCCCAATATGATTTGGGTAAATTTACCTGAAAAATGAAAGAAAACCGTTTCTGAAAGATCACATTGACATAACTATAAATACTTTCCTCATATACATTGTAATATTCAGTTGACGACTATCCCTTGAAATTTTTGGAACATATTCTATGACTAATAAATACTGCATTGAGCTTTTAGAATTATTTAAGGATCAAACAAACACAACAGATGAAATATACAAACTAAAATCATTCAATGAGGCAGATTTAAAGAAAATATACAAAGATATACAGATCTATTTGATTGAAACTAAAATATACACACCATCTGAGATATTACTAATGATTTCAAAAGCATCAAAATTCAATTGCAGATACTTTAAATCGTATTGGTTCATATTTAAAAAGGTTTATGAAGAATATCACCCTCAACAAGTTAAAAGACTTGAGCCAATATTTGATTACTTTATTTACAAAGAATATAATATCGTTTTACATCCAAAAAATGGAGAAAAAATCAAAGATTTTGATTGCAAAAATTATACAATGGATGTACATGAAGAAAACACAATTTACAAGGCAATTATGGAAGATAACAAAGGGTTATTCGTTTCATTGATTGAAAGAGAAGATTTTAACTATGATCAAAAATTCACAAGTGACTTCTATCCTGCATATTCATTTTCAATACTTGAGTTGTGTTGCTATCATGGGGCCGTTAATTGTTTTAAATTATTAATAACAAAATACAATCCAAATCTATCAGTAAAATGTTTAAATCTCTCATTTTTGAGAGGAGTTCCTGACATAGTAAATGAATGCTTAAAGCAAACAAAACCAGATTCTGACTATATGTGGCATGCAATTGTTTCTCATAATATGGATTTCGTTTCTTTTTTAGCGACGGAGTTTCATAAATACATTCATTTAGAAGATTGTAAATTTTACGATAATCTTTCAGTATTGTTCTTTGCTACAATGCTTAATTACTCACTCGATGAATGCTTATTTTATGCTGCATACTTCAACATTCCATCTCTTTGCGAATATTTAATTTCACATGGTGCAGGTTTGGATTATTTAAATGATAGCGATGATAGAACCCCAATTCATAATGCAGCATATTATAATTGCCCAAAAACAATTGAGGTTCTAATTTCACATGGTGCAGATTTTAATGCTAAAGATTGTGAAGGAAATACAGCACTTAATTATGCCCACATGTATGGCTACCCTGAGATAGCTGAAATTCTTAATGCACACAATGCAATTGAGAATCCAAATCCTTATGAGAAACCACTTAACACCATTAGATTACTCAAGGAAATGGGCATTGATGTTAATATTGTGACTCTCGACTGAGTTTTAAAATCAAATTATATTTGCTTTTTTTTGAGAGTAAAATATCAAAGTTACAATACATTTTTATCCTGATGTCCAAATATATCTATTATTAATATTATTAATGTTCGTAATTCGATATATTTTTCTCATGATCTTTGATTTCGAAACATAAGCGGTTATCCAGGATGTATTTCTGTGAATAAAGATTATTCTCAGAATAATCCTAAATTTTCTACTGCTGAAGATCCTTCGATCCATTATTCGGGAATAAAATTTGAGAATCCAGTGATAATTGATGGAAACAGTCCTATGCCCGCCCCGAGTCTTAACGTAACAATTCCAGAGTATGGTCATACAGGAAATGGACATGTAATCATTTCCACAGCTAGAAAATATGATGATCTATATTTCTCTCGAATTACTGCCATACCTTACAAAGTTAAATGTTCAATTCCATTGAAAGTTGGACGCAATTTTGATATTTTCTTCACATTATCTATTGTGTACTTGTCTCTCGGATAAAAATTACATATACTATATTATTGTGCATAATATGACTCCAATAAAGAGAGGATACCACCAACATTCTCACTGTATTCGTCGATTGGAACAATAATCTACATCACGTAATTACAAATAGAAATGTTTCCTATTGGTTATGAATTTCAATCTCAACATGAGTTTCTTATGAATTATTCGTGTTGAAACTCTGTTATTCGATTACTTGTTCGTTACGGGTGCACTTACCACTTTCTGACACGCTCAGATAATATCAACATATCTTTATTTTAATGGCAAAAGATTATAATAGCCATTTTAGGAACTAAGCAGCGATTTATAATAACTTTTTCTCGATCAAAAATATTAACTTTTGACCTTAGAAAATTGGGATATAAATTGTGTGTCAAAAAAATTGAGAGAATGTCAGAAAGGTGTAAGTGCACACTTAAAATTTATTAATACATTTTGAGCAGAATATTTCAATAAAATTTAAATATCCATATTTATCATATCTTTGCATTGCCCACCAATAATCATCTGGCAATCCCGATATTCCTACTGAATTATTTAGCCACTCTTCTTTATATTATGAAGTGATTGCCCCATTTAAAAGAAGAAGTTCCATAATTTCAAAATTCTGATTTTCCACTGCAATTTGAAATGGAGTTTTACCAAAAAGGTTTATTTGATGAGGATTTGCACCGTGTGCAATTAGCAGTTCAACAATATCTTTATTATCCTTTTGTACTGTCATGTGAATTATATTATATTTATTTACATTAGATCCATGAGAAACAAGAATTTCAACTATGTCTTTATTATTATTATTATCGATTGCATAATGCATTGGTATTTTTCCATTTATCAATTCACTAATATTAACATCAGCTCCATGCGAAATAAGAAATTCGACAATATCTTTGTTATCATTTTCTACTGCATAAAAAAGAGGAGTTTTGCCTTCACCATTCTTTGAATTAACATCAGCACCATTGGAAACAAGAAACTCTGTGATTTCTTTATTATCGTTTTCAACTGCAATTTGTAGGAGTGAAGCTTTATAATCATTCTTTTCTTTATTTATTTTAGCTCCATGTTTTAAAAGTAGTTCTGTAATTTCAAAATAATTATTACTAACGGCAGAATGTATAACATGGTGAATCTCACATGATTTTGAGCTTCTTTTCATTTGAGAAATATCCGGTGAATTTAATAAATATTTGCATACCTCAATATTGTTATATAAGGATGCATATTTAATAAAGAGTCCATACTTATCATCAATCAAACTAATTTTTTTGATAATGTCAAGGCATTGTGGAAATGCAGCACACCAAGAAAAAAAAAAAAAAAAAAAAAAAAAAAAAAAAAGGTAGTGGGGCTTCCAGGCACTTCGTGCCTTCTAGCCCTGAGGATGAATGAGTATAATGAAGTTCTTATATACGGGTCTTCCAGGAGCTTTTCACAAAATATATATGTTTTCATGTTTTGTCACTTTTCTGTCACTTTTCAGGTAAAAACATTTTTATTATATATATATAAAATGAATTTTACAAAACCACCGTTACCCTTCTTTGGAAATAAGAGTAGATGTAAAGATATTCTATTGAGAGAACTTAAGAAACTACCGAATGGTCTAACATTTGTAGATTTGTTCGGTGGAAGTTTCTATATATCTCATTTGTGCCATACTGTATTTCCTGACTCAAAGATTATATGCAATGACTTCGACAACTATATGAACCGTCTCAAACATATACCAGACACAAACAAAATATTGAGTGAGTTGAAAGAAAAGATACCTATAGGTAAGATGGAACGTATACCATTAGATAAGAAAAATATTGTGAGAGAGGTTTTGAAAAAAGCAGAATATATAGACTGGGATAGTATATCTGCTAGACTATTATATAGTGGTGCTATAAGAGTTCATGACATTGAAACACTTATGTCAAAAGTTTTATATCTTAACTATACAAATGTTTTCAAAGAGGACATAGATAAATATATTGAGGGTATAGAGTTTGTGAGATGTCATTGGACAGATTTGTATGAAAAATATAAAGACAAGGAAAATGTTTTCTTTATAGTGGACCCGCCGTTCTATAACACATGGGATTTTCAATACCAAGTAGACTGGACTTTGAGAGACTCTTTAGAAACTTTAGACGTTTTACATAACCATCCATGCTTTTACTTTACATCCGATAAAAGTGGTTTGGAAACCGTTATGAGATGGTTAGAGGACATACATGACTATGAGTTTATATATGACAAGATAGAATATGAGAGAGGTCCTATAAACTGGAGAAAGTGTCATAACAAAGAAATTTTATTAGTAAGTAAATGTGGTTTGAAATAGGACTACTTGTTTTAGGTTTTTTCCATTGTGTCATTTATTTATTTGACGTGGCAGAAAGATATAGAGAATATGAAGATGAACCAATGCCTGCAAATGTTCGGCATATGTACTCGTAAGAGATATTTTTATCTAATATTAAATGGACGCACAGAACTTAGCGAATGCACAGCAACCTGGACAACCAAACCCAGAGAATATTCCAAATGAAGTTAGAATACAAACTGCAATGGCAAACTATGGTCAAGTGCCAACAGATGTACAAATGCAAACTGCCATGTCAAATGACGCTGCGTTAGGTTTGCCACCATGGTATGCAAATATGAGATGGAAAGAGTTTTATACAAACCCTGAAGTGGGATATAAACAACTTTATGCAGATGACGCGAACACAGGAGTTGACCCAGAATATGTTTTCTACCAGAGGAGAAACAGAATGTATGAGCTCCAGTTAAAGAATGCTATGGAACTCAACAGGAAACGTAAGAGACTAGGCGGACATTAGATTTTTACATATAGTAAAATGGGTTTCTTCAGTAGTATTGGAAACTTCTTCAGAAGAGTTGGAAGAGGTATATGGAATGGAATAAAAACCGTAGGAAGAGGAATTTGGAACGGAGTCAAAAATATTGGTAAAAGAGTAGGTCAGTTCGTTGGTATTATACCTAAAGACCCTGAACCAGAAGAACAAGCTCCTGTTATACAACAGCCTGAACCTGCACCACAGTCTAGTTGGCAACCAAATCCAACACCTCAACCGTATTAAAATTATATTTTTACCGTTCGATAGTAGTTGTATATGAGACTAAGTTCTAAGTAAAACGCATGGTATAATGGAACTATTCTCTTTCTTCCATCTGTAGTAAACCATACTTGAAAGTCTGAAATACTTCCACTCGGCGGTTCATATAGCTTTGTAGGTTTTTCGTAAAAGTCATTTGCCAAGCATAAAAAAGAGTTTTGTGCACCAGAAAATGAAGCATGAACTATAATAGCATCTGAGTCGAAAACATTTTCATATGTTCCATTAGGGTTTTCGACTTCATAAAAGTTCGGGTGTACTGGATATTCTGCAGGCTGATTTAACATCCTCAAAAATCTATACCATGCCAAGTTGTTATATTTTGTAGAAATATAAACGTCTTCTCCAAGGTCTTCTATTCTATTGATTTTAACAGTTGCATTTTTCCTGTCATATATAATATCGAGATGGTACTCTCCTTCGTCAATGTTGTACTGTTTTGCATATTCGAGATAGATATCGTTTATTTTTTCTTGAAAAGCTTGAAGAGTTGTTTCTAAGTTTACAAGCAAATTCACTTGTAAAAGTTTTCCCTGTTCAAATTTCTCATACGTATGTTTTTCTTTGTTATAGTATCGAATTTCAAAAGCGACCGTAAATGGGAAACCATGTATGGCTTCTGAAATGAACTTCATTCTACGAAAGCCAATAGCTTTTGTGACGGATGGGTCTCTTAACCATCTCAATGGGTAGTCAAAACGATAGCCTTCATGCTTTACGGTCTCTGTCTCAAACTTTTGACCTACGTTAGTAAAAAGTTCATCTAATGGTTTAGTTGTAGCAACTCTTGAATTTTCTTTTTCTATTGAAAGCATATTTTATCTAGAATAAAAATGTCGAAAGATATTGCTTCCATGAGAGAAATACAACACAACCGACAACTCATTTTGCAAGCTCTAAATAAGAACACAACAAACTTTTCAAACTATTCTAAGATATCTGAGTCATTGAAAGAAGGAAACTTAAAACTGACGATAAACCCAATGACAGATGAGTTTCTGTTTCAAGACAACAAGAACCATACTGTTTGTATAAATCCAACAAAAAGAACTTTAAACGAGAAGCCTATAGATGAACTTCTTTTGAAAGCAGATATTGACAACAAAGCTGACAAAGAGTATGTAGATGCAACAAGAGACTATATTCTCGCATGGACAGATAGAACATACCCACAAAAACATCATACACATAACATCTATGACGTAGATGAACTACCAGCAATGTTAGATGACAAAGCAGATAAAACATATGTTGACAATAAAATGTCAAGTGAAGTGACAAGAGCTGACAAAGAATATTCTAAAAAGACTCATACACATACCATTGCAAATATTACAAACTTACAAGAAACCTTAAACAGGAAAAGTGACGTTGGACATACACACGATTTCTTCGCAACTGTTGGTATAGAAAATATTGAAGGAACGGTTGAAGAAACTGGGGATGTATTAAATTGGAAACCTCCTAACTTTCCACAAGGTTTAACATCGGAGGATGACATAACAACGATGAAAGACATTAAATGTAGAAATGTCTATGTCATGGAGGATGAAAACAAAGTTAAATTCACTGCTCAAGATTTATATGATAAAAAAGCTGACAAAACAGAGCTTCAAACGTTAAAGACAGAAATACTTCAAACATTATATCCTATAGGCTCTATTTATACGTCAATGAACTCTACCAAACCAGAAGTAGTACTTGGTTTTGGAACTTGGACTCAAATAGTCGACAGGTTTTTGTATTGTGCAAACTCTTCAAAGGAAACAGGTGGAAGTAAAACGATTTCAGGTGAAAACTTACCTGCGCATAGTCACTACGTAGATTTAAGTACATCTCAAGCAGGTTGGCATAAGCATAGATTTTGGGATTGGTCAGCAATGAAAAAAGGTAAAGGATATGATGTTAAAGACAACGTTCAGTTTGCTATAAATTGTTTCTGGGGTAGCACACAGGGAGAAGGAAACCATACACATCGCGTTTCAGGGTATACGCAAACAACGGGACAGAGTAAAGACTACATGCCACCTTACATGACAGTTTACGCATGGTATAGAAATGCTTAGTCGTCATTTTCAACTTCTTTAGCATATTCGTCAGCAGTTGTCTTATATTTGTTAGGAACTGTCTTTGAAAGTATACCACCTTGAACTTTGACAAGTTTGAAACGAGGTCTGACAATAGTAGTTTTATCTTCTGCTTGCAGTCTGTACATTTTGCCATGTTTGCCTAAAACTTCATAATATTCTCTTGTATACTTTCTTCTATTTTTACGAACACGAATGCGAGTACCTGTCGAGTTCCCATTGTTGTCATAGTCAATAGTATTTTCATATGGGTCGCGTTTAGGTATTTCTATTTTTACTTTGTCACCTTTCTGAAGTTTGAAGCCTGGCATTCTTTCTTGTTTGTCTCTTTTGACTAAACTATTAAATATATAGTCTTTCTCTAAGTCGGGGTTGTTTTTCATTTCTTCGGGGGAGTGGTTTCCCAAACCTTTTTGTTTACGGCTATTGTAAATATTTAAAACTTGTCTCATCTTTGCCATGGAGAAGTGTCTATACTTGTCGTCATATGACATTTCATCTACCTCACCACCTTGTGGTTGGTTTAAGTCTCTTAAGATTTTTATACAACTGTCAATGACACCAAGAGCAGAATGGTTTTGGTCGACAATGAAATATTGGTTTACATTTTTTGAACGCAGATAGTTTTTAATATCGTCTGATTTGAAAGAACTTTCACAGTCAGATGTCAGTTTTGTTGGATGGTATTTGTCAACGAATATTGTCAAAGCAGTTTTCACATCTAAAATATTTTTGGACTGCAATGGTATGGCTTCACAGTATCTTGTGTTTTGACCAACAAATATTAGCCAGTATGGTGGTCCATCTTCTCTATACCTCGGAATGTTTTCCAAGATATCCATAAACCAAGCATTTGGTGTTGAACTAAAGATTTTTACCATGAGTGCTTTCTTTGTTGCTTTAGAAACATACGGGTCCTTGTTTGGATTCGTCATTTTTACCCCATAAGAAATGGGTTTATTTGGCGCATTAGCAGGAGTTGCATCTAGATTTTTACCCGCAGTGGGAACAATAGCTAGAGGTGCATTTGGAATTGGAAGGAAGATTTTGAGTACATTAGGTATACTTAAAGAGAAAGCACAACCTATTATACAAACTGTACAGAAAGGTTGGGAGGTAGCACGAGATGCAGCAAATCTTATTCCAAATCCTGAAACAAGAGGAAAAGTTCAAGGATGGATGGACAATGTAGGAAGACAAGCAGGAAACTATTATAACAAAGCAAATGACTACTATAACCAAGCAGGACACTATATGGACCAAGGTGAAAGATTCTTTAACAGAGGATATAACCATGCACAACAATGGGTAAACAATAACCAACCGCAACCACCTCAAACTTGGGGAATGTAAAGTTTTTTACTGAGATGAAATGAACAATACAGCATTGAGACAAATGGGTTCAAGATGGATTTGTCGGCTTCCAGCAGTTACACAACCACGTGTTTGTCAAGTTCTTCCTATACCTCAAGAAGTTTTAGACCGACTTAAAAAACCTAAACAACCAGTTGAAAACAAACCAAACTAAAATTTTTTACTGAGATGAAATGACCGAAGAAGTTGAAACGGTAGATTTGACACCACAAACAAAAAGTTCAGAACCATTGTCAAAACCTGTCAAAGAACTTACAGATGAAGAGAAAAATTCAATAATAGAAAGTGCCAGGTCTGGAAATACAAACCCTAACTACAAAGTCACTTTTCATAGAAATGGAACGGCTAGTATCTCAAAAAAGAAACAGACTCTCACAAATAAAATATTGAAGTCTGAAGGAATTTTCGAGACAACAGATGGGAAGGTATTCTTCACCGACCAACAGTTCATTATAGAACATCTCATTGACTTAGAGTCGAAATATTCTAAACTTTACAACAAACACAAAAAGTTGAAAGGAAAACAAAGACAGATGGCATATGATATTTACGAAGATACTAACGACACAACCATACCTGCAAGTGAGGTAAAGTCAGAGGAACCGAAAAGTGACGAAAAGCCGATAGAAGAAGGGAAGCCAAAAACTGAAGATAAACCAAAACCAAAGTTTAGTCAACCTTCATTAGCTGGTATGGGTTGGCGTCAAAGACTTATGGCAGCAGGCGGTTACGTAAAGTAAAGAAAAAAATATTTTTTTTATTTTTATAAAAATGCCCCCGCATAGAATGGATAGAAAGTCTGCTAGAATAAAAGCAGAGTTAGAAAGATATGGTTGGAGAGTTTCAAAGAAGTTTAAATATAGGAAGGGAAGACCCATAAAAGTCTATGACAAACTGGCTGGTCTGACCTATGAAATGGACTTGGAAACAGCACGCGCAAATTATCCAAACAGACTTGAGAGGTTAGAAGAAGAGCGTCTTATAAACTTGCCTTTCGATGTTAGTGAACCGCAAGTTGAAGGACACGACGGCTTTGCCAGATTCTACTGGAAACATGACGAACAATTGCATCCTTTGAGAAGGAAAAAAGGTAGTGCAGAGGATGGTCATGCTCCCATGGAAAGAACAAGATATGCATATGAAAAGTATCGTGAGGTTAGAAGTCAAATTACATCTGGTCGAACCTTTACAGTAAACTTTGACGAAGGAAAGAACAAAGAAGGCTTCATGGGAGTACTTGCTGCCATACAAGACGGAAATAAGAAAGGATACAATCTCAGATTGACCATAACAGATTTGGACGGTCATATATACTATGCGCATGGCAATGTCACAACAGCTGCAATGCTTCTTGACGCTTTCAAGACTACAAAGAGAGAACAAATGGTTGACTCCGACTCTGATATTTTGAATGCAATTGAAGGAATTGTAAGCGTGAAGTTCGAATGGTACCAACCTAACCCTCAAGCAGTCAGACAACATGTTTGTTAGATGAGAAATATGAAGTAAAAACGTTTACTTTTAAAACAGTATATTTTTACATATATTAAATGTTTCAGGTTGAAAAACAAAGAACAAAAGTAGCAGATACAAAACCGTTAGACTATATCTTCACAAATGCCGGTAGGACTATATCAGATGAAGAAATTTCATCCGGCTCCTACCGCTTTGACTTTCCAATTCGTTGGCTTCAAAGTCCTTCAGATGCAAAGGCAATAGGATTTAGAAGAGTTTTGTTTTCAAAAAGAACTAACGCGTTTATGTTTGCAGTATATTTTCATGGTCAGTATAGAGGTTCTGACGGTCTACTAGACAAATTTGACGAAATGAGAATCTTTACAGTTCGTTCAGACGAAAGTCTTGAGAAGACTCTAAATGACTTTCAAACTCAAATAAACAAATACTACTGGGAATTTCAAGAAAAATACGATTCTTTACTAAATGGAACATACTATCTGAAACTAGAATATGACAAGATGAACTCCACAGTTTCATTTCAAAGGATTGAAAATAACCCTCCAAGAGATACACAGTTTTTATTTTGGCAAGTAGACAAACGTTCTTGGGCACAATTTCTTCGGTTACTAAACCAGAACGAACCATTACCACCTGACGGTCCGTTCTGGTTTATACGCCCACCAACAGATTTGACAGTTTATAGAAACGTGTTTGACCCTCAAAATGTCATGTGTCATGCAAGTTTCAGTTCAAGCAACAATAGTTTTCTTTGTATTGGTAAGGACTTTTATGACTTTGCTTCTAAATTCTACGAACCACCGAGTAACAGTTTCTCTGACTTTCAAGTTTGGTTCACAACAAATGGTGTGCAACATATTGTTCCATTGTACTACGACTTTTATCTCGAATTGTCTTTCATATATAACTACGGAGAAGTGCTGAAAAAGTATTGAAAAATAATGTTTATGTTAGAATGTTAGATCTAACATGTTTTCTAACACGTTTTCTAACATCGTAGAAAACACGCAAAACTCTTGAATTTTGTATAAAAAAAAGCAACCCGCGGAATTCCGGCGGTTGGTATATTCTTCACAAAATGCTTGTTTTGAGGTTAAGCCACAAACGAATGTCCGACGGTTAAGCCACAAACGAATGTCCGACGGTTAAGCCAAAAATATTTTTATTTTTTATTGTACGTACTGAATGTCAGTCGAAGCAAAAACGTTCACGAACAAATCTAATGGCGAAGCATTCACAAAAGGCACTTACAACGGTATTGAAGTCTTACGTAGAGACAAGGATGGTTATATAAATGCAACAAAGATGTGTCAGCAGTTTGGGAAAGACTTTAGAAGGTTGTTGGAAAATAAGTCCTGGGAAGAGTATTTTAAGGCATTTTGTGAAGAATATACCAACCCGCGGAATTCCGCGGGGTGCTTTTTATACAATGTTAATGCAGGAATTCCGGATGAAATCAAACAGGTTAGAGGAATGTATGTAGACCCAAGACTCGTAAACTATATTGCAATGTGGGCTTCTCCAAAATATTGTATAGCAGTTGGAAAAATTATGGACTCCATAGACAAGAAAGTTCATGAGAAATTAGATGAAGAAGAACTTGAAGATACAGCAGAGAATGCTAAACCTTTGTTCGAAGAAGAAGTTAGAAAAATGCATGAAAAACAAATAGAACATGAACGTGAGATATGTTCTGGTTATAGGGACTCTCCATACGAACTAGACCAATGGGAACAAGAAGATTTAAAGAGAGAATTTAGAGAATATGAACTCGCTAAAATTTCATTAGAAGCTGCAGAAAAGAAGTTAAAAGTTTGGGGTCGTTTTGTACAAAAATATTGTGAGTAAATGAACCATTTATTTTTATTGAATTCGGCAAAAATATATTTTAGGTTAGATGGTTTTTAGGTGTCACCAGGTCCCTCGGTCACCAGGTCACCAGGTAATTTTAACTTCTCTGAAAAAGTGTGACAACATGACATTTTGACAACAACACAGGAAATAGACTTCATCGTCAATGTTTTTGTATAAAAAGCACCCCGCGGAATTCCGCGGGGTGGTATATTCTTCACGAAATGCTTGTTTTGTCAAACATGAACGTCAATGTTTTGTATAAAAAGCAACCGTCGACATTCTGGCGGTTGGTATATTCTTCATGAAATGCTTGTTTTGAGGTCGAGCCACTTTTGGCTCCACCGTATTTTTCAACCAAAACTCATTTTTGTCGACAAATATATATTTTATGTTAGCATGTTAGATCTAACACGTTTTCTAACCACTTTTCTAACATCGTAGAAAACATAGCACAAATATATATTTTATGTTAGCATGTTAGATCTAACACGTTTTCTAACCACTTTTCTAACATCGTAGAAAACATAGCACAAAAATATATTTTATGTTAGAATGTTAGATCTAACATGTTTTCTAACACGTTTTCTAACATCGTAGAAAACTCTCGAAATTCATGAGTTTTGACACTTTCATAAAAAACATAAAAAATAAAGTTAGTTTTTTTAAAAAAATATTTTTTATTTTTATTGTAAGAACATGTTAGCAACAACTTCACCAAACTCGTTAGTCATGAACCCAACTTCAATGTTAGTAGAGATGAAAAGCTTCATTCCTTCTTCATATACTTTCGAAACAGAAATCCAGAAGATAAAGCAGGAACTTCTCCAAGGAGATTTAGACTGTAGTGCGAAAGATGAAACAAATGAACAGTATCTTTATGAAATGCAGGATATTATTGACCATCTACCTAAACTTCCTGAAATACAACAACAAAAGCTTACTATTCCTGAATTCGATGAAATAGAAGTCAAAGCAACTGACTCAGTAGAAATAAAGAAGTTCATACGAAAGGTTAACTATGAGTTTCTTGGATTTCATTGCAACCACAAAGTCATGGACAAAGATTGCGATATGGTATATAAAAATGTTTCTGACATATATAAATCTGGGGAGTTTAAGACCTACGACAACTTTGTTTCGTTAGTTGCAAAATGTGTATGGCAGATAAGAGATAAAGATAGAAGAGGTAAGATATGGAACGAACAAATAAAACCAGCAACTTTTGAGTTAAAGAAAACCATTGACGCCTTAGTTGTACTTGCAGGTCAAATTTCAATGTACAATGCTAAAATGAACCCACAATGTTCTAAATGTAAAGCAGCAATGAGGAAATATAACTACTCCGTCAAAGAGATAGAACGTATGCGAAACGACTATGCAGATTTAAAGAAAGAAGCAGAAAAACCAGCAGAAGATAAAATGAACATGTTAGAATTTCTGAACAAAAACTATCCAACTGCTGACGATTTCCTTCTATCTGACGTCAAGAAGAAGTATAAAGAAACTTTCGGTATCGTTAAAACTTTTGACATACTGACAGAAGAAATAGAAGCTACGAAATTGTTTAGAGTCATGAACCATCGCAACATATACCATGTAAAACGCTTGTAAATAGTTATGTTAGAAAACATGTTAGAAAACATGTTAGATCTAACATTCTAACATAAACATTATTTTTATTGAATTCCGTATGAAATTTCATGAGTTTTGTATGTTTTAGACCATGTTAGAAAACATGTTAGAAAACATGTTAGATCTAACATTCTAACATAAACATTATTTTTATTGAATTCCGTATGAAATTTCATGAAATTTCTCATATGCTTGCTTCCCTCGGAAAACCGAGAGAAGAGATTCCGTATGAAATTCATGAATTTCCTTAAGATAGAAAAAATAAAGTTAGTTTTTTATAAAATATTTTTTTTATTTTGTATGTAAGAACAGAAATGTTAAACATTGAGTTTGAAACAGTTAGAAAGATAGACAATAACACCAAAGTGGTTAGAATCGGTGATTTAAACGTAAGATACTCAAAGAAATACAACAAATATTCTTTGTCAGACATTTTAACACTATCTGAAAAGAAAACATCCCACGACTGGGTTAAAAATGCTTCTACTCAGAAAATTTTGACAAAAAATCCTGAGCTTATGATATCGGTAAGATTCTATGGAACAAGAACATATCTTATAGACAAAAGTCTTATACCAGTAGTTTTGTTCTGGATTGACCCAGTTGTTGGATATAACTTCATAACATATGGTTCGTTCGACTCAGAACGTTGCAGTGAAGGCTTACTTTACATCGTTCAGAAACCGAAGGACTTCAACACAAAAAGATATAAGATAGGAAGAACATATAATATAACTCTAAGATATGACAGTACAGTCAATAGAGTCAAGGTTGTGTTCGTTAACGATATGAGAGCTGCTGAAACAGAACTACTCGAAAAGTTTGAGAAAATGTATGGTGCTCCCATAAAAGGTAAAGAAACGTTTGAAGTAGATGAGATAGATAAAGCTATAAAATTATTTGACGAAGTTGCTGAAAAATACATGTAAAGCGTTTATTTTTGGTCTTTTGTGAAAGTCAGAAAATAAAGTTATTTTTATTTTTTTTATTTTTTTATCCGGAATATAAAGACAGATATGTCAACAACCGAGAACACAACAACAGTTATAGTCCATGAAGCTATAAATGAAGAATACGAGTACATACAGTATAACAAACAGTTACGTCTCATTCGTTCGGTCAAAGACGATATGTACCAGATGCAAAGTATTTTGAACGCTCTTCGTTCTACAAAGCAAGCATATCATTGGTTTGAAAACCAACAGACAAAAGAACTTTTAGAAGAATTTCCTCATATGTTTGCTACCCTCGGAAAACCGAGGGTAGAGATTCCGTACGAAAATCGCAAGAATTTGGCTCCTGGTTTGAGAGGATATTATGTACATAGACTTTTAGTAAATGCCGTAGCAATGTGGGCTTCACCTCGTTACGCTTGGTATGTTTGTAAACTTCTTGACGAAATTCATAGACAAGAACGTGAAGAGATGGAAAAGAAACTTCAAGCAAAAGATGAAGTCATTGAAGCAAAAGACAAAAACATACAGAAAAGAATACCACGTTCGGTACCAAAAGGAAAGGAAAAGAACTATAAGTATATGATTTACACTGAAGAGATGGAAAATGAAGAAGACAGAGATATGGTTATGTTGCATTTAGTCAGAAGAAACAACAAAAGCTTTTACGACCTTGCTAAGATTTACAAATCTGACAGAAATTGGTTCTATCGCGAAAACTTACCGATTTCAATGACACCGAATGAAGATGTGAAACAAATAGTTCAAGATACGTTACCTCAAACACACTATGATATTAAAGGTTGTACAATTCTTACATTCAAAGAAGATTTGCCATTGTTAAAGGAAAAAATAACAGAGTATTTTGACAACTTCAAACAAGCAGAGTAAATTGCACTCTTTATTTTTCAAGCTTGCCTTTTACATTCTGCCTGAGGAAGTCTTTAACAAGCTCGTTAATTTCAATTAGATAAATTGCTTCGTCTAGGGGGTCAAGCTCCATACTGAGTCAGTACAATATTGTACTTTTTCAAGACAATGTTGTACTTTTTCAAGACAATGTTGTACTTTTTCAAGACAATATTGTACTTTTTCAGAACAATGTTGTATAAATTCAGTACAATATTGTACTTTTTCAGAACAATGTTGTATAAATTCAGTACAATGTCTCTCAAATTTGAGTACAGCTGTACTTTTTCAGAACAAGTCTTGAACTTTTTCAGAACAATGTTGTACTTTTTCAAGACAATGTTGTACTTTTTCAAGACAATGTTGTACTTTTTCAAGACAATGTTGTACTTTTTCAAGACAATGTTGTACTTTTTCAAGACAATATTATATTGTTTCAGAACAAAGACGGTTAAGACACAAACGAATGTCCGACGTCCCACCTACTGAATGCCTTCCAAAGCCAGAAGAACCGAAAGCTGCAGCACCACAACAGACTAAGACTCAACACTTACATTTTTCAAGCTTGACTTTTTACAATTTGAACTTTGTTTGCGTAGATATGAATTCTGAAAGAAGTATGAGGGTCTTGTATGACTTTGTACTTCTCCCATAGTTCATGTCTGTCAAACTTACCTGCCATGGACTCTTTCATAAGTTCCATGAAATCGTCTTCGGACAATCCAGGGAAGAGTACAATGTCAGTAAGTATTCTCTTTACATCCTTACTTAAACTCTTGGCTGTCTGTACACAAATGACAACTGAGATGTTAAAGTGTCTGAGCTTCTTAAGAATTCGACACATGTCTTGTTCTCTGTTCTTTAACAAAGGATGAGAAGCAAAGTCATCTAAGATAAGAAGACATCTATGAGGGTACGTTTTCCAATCGTAAGATTGCAATTTCTTCGAAATGTATTCTATCTCTTTCTGTTTGTTTCTGAAGTGTTTCTTCTCTAATATTCTCTGCATTTCCTCATTTGGGTCTTTAAACTTCGAATTTATATACTCATTTATAGCATTGTACTTCAAAACTCTTCTTTGGTACTTCTTTATCCAATCTAACAACTCAGAGTCTTTTATACATACTAACTTAGACTTCTTTATAATATCTTTGAACGAATTGACGGTTTGATCGAATTGACCAGAAGTACTACAAATGACTACTAACTCATAGAATGGGTTCTTCTCATCTAGTTCTTGTTGTTGTGCAGCCATTTTAAGATAAGTGAAAGTCTTACCCGACCCAGGCGGTGCAATTAGACCTGTTATACCATTCTGAGCAAATAAGAACTTGTCATGTATGGGTTTTATCTGAGCATTTTCTAACTTCCTCTTGTTCTTATTTAAAACATTCTCAAATTTCTTGTCAATGTCAGCAAACTTTTTTCTAACATATTTTTAGAAAAATTAAAAATTTTATCTTTTAGAAAATGTCTAGCGATTTCGCTATCTATATTCGAGACAAACTTTTTGACAGCAAAACATCTGTCGACCATAAAATCTTACATAGTGTAAACAAGAAAGGTGAATTTGTTCTAAAGTTCTGTTTCTGGAATATGACAAGAACCATAAAACATTAGGCAGAGAAGTCTTTAAGTTTGTCAATGACAGACTTGTTGACAGAGATGACGCCGATTGGAAAGATGAAGTCCAACAAAAGTTCTTAGAATGCAAAGAAGACACATGCGCTGTTCTTGAAGATGAAATAGGAAACAGAATAGATGAGCTATTAAAGGACAAAGAACTTTTACATAAATATGGTTGCGCCAAATTTGACATAACTCCACCAGAGAAGAAGAAGAAGAGAGAAAAGAAAGAAAAGAAAGTAGAAGAAGAGAAGAAAGAACCTGAACCAGTTCCAGAGAAAAAGAAATTTGACATGTAAAAATAAAATTTTATTTTTAGAACATTTCTGGGTCAATGTCAATGTTCTCTTCCTCTTTAGGAGCAAACACTGGCTTAGACTCTAAAATCTTTTTACCTAATTTACCTTGAACTTCAACTATCTTAGACTCATAATATTCATAGTCGTCTGCTTTCTTTGGTTCATAAGGTATAACAAGTTTGTATGCTTTGCCTTCTTTAAGGTTTGAGAACCTTCTGTCAAAATTTTCTTTGACTGCTAACAAACCTTCTATGTCTAAGTCTTCAAATTTCGCACCATTTTTAGTCACAATAGCAAACTTAACGGGTTCGATGTTCCAAACTTTGTCAAATGAAGACTTTTCAAAATGGTAGAAGTAAACATTCAAATATGCGAATGGGTCTAGTTCTTCTTTGACTTCTGTCATGTACTTGTTGACTGAAATATATTTTGCCATCTTTTCTATCGGATAAAAAAATATTTTTTTTAAATTTACTCAGAAAAATTTTTCTTTGTATATACGCCGTTCTGAACATCTAAAAGATTTTTGACATTTGCCAAGAATGTTCGTTTAGACGCTGCCATATAACCATATTCTTGACAATATTGTTTATATGAATCGTACAATGACCTTTCATCTAAACACTCAAAGTTAGTCTCATCTATAAACAGTTCATATACACTCTTGTTTGCTTCTAACAATGTTTGTCTCTCTTCGGTATATGGAATTTGTCTTGGATTGAACTTAGAAATATCTAATGTCATAAAATATGAGAACAAGTGGTTGTAAAAGTTAGGTGTCAAAGTTTCTGCTAAGTCGTCAAAATATTCTGTATCTTGCATATGAGCTTCTGACGTTCTGACAACTACATATCTTCTGTCAGAACTTTCTAACTTCATCGGAACAGCATTGTTTGAAACCATAATGAAGTTTGCAACATTCTCACAAACTCTTTGGTCTTTATACTTTCTTTCAACAACTCCAACTTTGTCTGTTATAAGACTCTTCAAAGCATCTGAGTTCAAAACTTTTGTTGTATCTATACTTTGAAGTTCGTTACATACTATAAGTTTCATATTCTCTATTGAAGAGTTAAATTTACCGCAGATGTTTTCTAAGTTTGTCATATTAGGGTTCGAATAGCCCTCTAACAGTTTGCATAAGATATCTGTAAAGAAAGTGTTCTTACCAGTTCCTTGTTTTCCAATTATAATGAGAGCAGTTTCATTTTTAGCACTTGGATGTTGTAAGATGTTTGCAAACCAACATAAGATATACTCATAGACTCTTTCGTTTCCATTGCATATAATTTCTTTGACATGGTCTAACCAAGCTTCTATAACATTTTCTTTCCATTCTACTTGTTCGTATTTATATCCAGTGAAGATAGAATAGAAGTTTGGAGATGGTGTATAGAACTTTATACCACGAACTGAAAAATCTTCTAACTTTGACAATAAGATATCCCAAGCATCTAACATCTTCATGCCAACCTGTACGACTTTTATTTTCTTAAGTTTCTGTCTACATTCTTGTTCTGAAACTATTGTTGCTCTTGGTTTGTTAAAGACAACATCCCATTCTTTCATAACATAACATTCTGGGGCAGAGTCGACATAAATGACTAAACGTTTCAAATTCTCGACTGCTTTGTTATAGTCTCTAAATGGACACATATTTCTGAACGCTTGGAAGTCATAAAAATCTGAAACATCTATTCTGTACATTTTTATAAAAATAAAAAAAAATATTTTTTTATTCTTGAGCTTGTTGTTGCATTTGTTGTTCTTGAGCTATTTGTTGTTGAAGTTGTTCTTGTAGTACAATACTTTCACCGGTTGCATCTTCCAATTCGAAACTTTCTGCCGTCATTGACAAATACATAGGACATAAAAGTTTTACAGGAACAAAGTTTGCGTCAACTAAGGTTAAGTTTATGTTTGCTAAAGTGTTTGAGTTTACTAAAGCTGAAAATTCTGCATTCGAATGAACAATAGGCAAACCAGCAGAGAAAGTATTGTTTATACGCATAAGTATCTTTTGGTCATAGTAGTTTCTGTCGACATTCGAATAGCACTTTGAACCTAAGTTTGAAACAATATATAAAATAGGTGTACTTAAAGTCAATGGAACAGACAAACCTTGTATGACACTTTTCCTGTTATAGGAAACTGTTGGTAGTAAAAACCAGATATAAGTTTTGTATTATAGCTCATATCGTTTATACTAAACTCAGTCGGACATCCAAACATAATGAAACCTGCTCTAGTTGCAGCACATGTTACATCCGTCCTTAAAGTATTAAATAAGTCAACAAAACCTGTTGGTGGTATATCTGAGTAAGTATCTTCAAAGAAGTATTTTTTACCATTCACAACAACAAAGTCTTCTGGTGTCAAAAGAGCAAAACAGGCTTTAGTCGTCATCGTGTTTAAGTCAGTTTTACAATATCGTCCTTGAGGACTTTGTAAGTTTGTTGTTATAGAATTATATGACTCAGGGTTTTTAGTCGTAATAGTATAAACCACTATGTCTTCTGCCATTTACTTAGCAACTAAATTTTAATGAAATGTTGTGGTCGTCAAATATTTTTTATGACGTCTGGGAAACTATATTTTAAGTTCAACGTTTCACCTCCTTTCATAACGTATATCTTGTCAATGACATTATATGAAACACCAACAGCAAGCAATGTCGGGCTCTATTTCTTTGATGTTTATATCGTCTGCCTCTGTCAAAAGTTTCAATAGTTCTTTCAAAATTTCATGAGGTGCGATGACATATGAGTTCACTTTTACAGGGTTGTGTTCGACCAAGTTTAACATTATACCCAAAGCTTGACAAATCTTCTCCTGAGTTTTAAGTTTGTCTTTAAGTTGTTGGTAGTCGTTTCGAATATCTGCAACAGAACTTAAGTCTCTGCTAACTTCAGGATATGTTGGTTGTTCTTTCACAGGAACAATTGTTATAATCACATCTCGTCTTCGTATGGTTTCCCCACTTCAACATCTCTTTCTTTGACATTGACAACAACACTTTGACTGTTTGTTTTGAGTTGGTGAATTTAACTTCACATCTGCCACCGCCATTAAACCTTTTGAAAACACTACGCTTCTATTTTTCGGAAATGACATTTTACTTAGAATAAAAAGATGGACGTATTTGAGTATCTCTTCGAATTGAAGCAAAACAAAGTTTACACACACAAACAATACAAGTTCATTGACAGAGTAGTTCTTTACACAAACAATGGAAAATGTTATAGAATAGCAGTCTTTGCTGAACCAAAATATTTTCATAAAGCAAAGAAAGTTGGTATAACCGAGATGGTGAAAGTTCTTGAAGCAGACAAAAATATAACAACAAAACTGACCGATATTTCTAAAGGTAAGTTTATAATACAATATTATATCAAAACTGGCGTACTGTTCAATATTTGACGGAGAGAAGTCAGTTCAAGAACACAACTTACTGACCTGCTGCCAAAATCTGCTCGATGGAAGCTGTCGTTATGCCAATCTGAGGAGCCCAGCAGGTTTCATCGAACGAATCTTCAAAAGAGCATCTTCCGTGAAAAGTGCTATTGGTTTTGTAAACTTCTTTGCTTTCAATTCATTTGGACCGTCTCTGTCACCAGTATATTGTATTTGAACTGTACCAACAGTTGAAATACCACCCATAAAGTCTTCTGAGTCAGCAAATGGAATGCCAAGCCAAAAGTTTGAACGGTCTCCATTTGTATATTGAGTGTTTTGAGCTCCTGTATGGTCCATACTTTCACATATGGCATAATAGAACTTTGCATTTCAGGGTTAATGGTTGTTTGAAGTTGTTGTTAAAGTTCATAGCATCTAATGTCAAGTTGTATGACCTCATATCCTCAACTGTAGAATATTCTTCTCTTGGATAATATTTGCCATCTATGTTTATATGGTATTTAATACCAGGGTTGTAGAAGCAAGAATAGTCATTTATGTTCGTCTGAACAGTACAAACATAGTATCTGCCATGTTTCATTGCAGTTGTTAAGGCAATATCTGTTCTTGCACTGGGTCAGCACTTTGGTTTCCAACTTCACCTGCAAAGTCTTTGACAGATATTTGGTGTATAGGGAACATAAGTGGAACTGCAATATATTTGGCAGCTAAAGCATTTGAAATATCTGGGTCCAACATATAGACTGCAAGTCTGCTTTCTATTCTCTTGCATTCAAATTTTTCGCATGTGAACTTAACTGGGTCCCAAGCATCTCCAGCAGCATTGAAATAATAGTTTACTTCAGTGTTGAGGTTTGAGAAACCAAAGTCTAAGTCAACTTTGTTTTTGCAAAAGTCGGCGAATGACATTTTATTTGTTCCCACTACTTCTGTAAGAGTGAATGGGTCTTGTGTTGGTGCAATGACTAAGTTATTTTTGCTTGGAGTAAGTTCGATAGAAATTTTTCCTGCCCAGTTTGGCAAGTATCTTAAAAACCTGAAGATGAGGAAAGATGACAAAGGAACTCTAAGTTTAGTTTTACTTTGGTTACTGCTGCTGCAGTTTGTCCAGAAAGGTTAACATAAACTCCTGGAACGTTAGGGTCAAGTCTTCTTATTTTCTCAATAGTTGCATACTGGTCTGTTTGTTCTCTAGCTTGTGGTTGTACTGAGTTTCTCAAGCGAACCATTCATAGTTTGCCCATGTTACTGTTTGAACTAAGTCAGAGTTAGAATATATCTTATATCCCATGAAAACTTCTGGAGCATATTGGTATCCGACATAGAAAATTCCATTGCAACCTTTCTGTCAGACAACTTGGCAGAAGGTTTTATTTCAATGTCTTGTTCCACGTATAAGAAAGAGTTGTCAATAGAAATTAATATGAAACCTGTCGCAAGCAATATCTACTGTTGTTGAAGAACCTTCTCCAAACTCACCTACGTTTCCATAAGAAACAGCAGTTGTATATTCGTAAGTTCCAGGAACTATTTCTGACCTTCTAATGGCATTGTCGCATTCGTTATACCATTCGGAAAACATTTCCATTCATAGCATCCCAAAACTGTTGGCGTTATATTCTGAGCGGCGTACATTTCATATGAGTAAAAATATAGAATAGTTGGATTTATATGTCATAATAGAACCCACTCCGACCAAGCTTTACTTTCTTCCTGACTGAGTTTTTAACTCTTCTTTTTCCTTCATTGCCCTCTGCTTGAAGTTGTTGCATCTTTGCATTATGTTCATCTAGTATGTTGCAAATTTTCCATGTCCTTTTGCCTTTTGGCTCTGGTCGCCCATCTCAGGTAACCTATATCCTAGAAAGAGTTTGTCATAGTCTGTATTTGAGTCTTCGCGTATTGTTTGCATGACTCTTTCCTGAGTTTCCGGTTCAAGCGCTTCAAACAGTGCCTGTCCATATGGAATAAGCTCGTTTCCAAATATATGTTTTTGTAGCCATTCTGGTTTTCTTTCCATGTTACCAACTATATCTTTTGTGAATGGGAAAGCTTCTACCCAATCTTTCAGTCTTGCGTCGTTTATTTCTGTAGTTGGTTTTATTTTGTCAAGGAACATGTTTTTCAATACTAACATTTCATTTGGTACTGTCCATTTGAGTTTTCTTAAATATTCATCCCTTCTCGGTTCATTGTCTGCAAAGTAAGTTTTTATGACATTTTGTAAACTTTCGTTTGCAAGGTCATGTACAATAGGTTCTCTTCCTTCTCCCTCCCTAACTTTCTTTCTAAACTCTTCACCAAATATACCATCTCTATGGTTCTGTGTAGTTCTTTGAGATAAATGTTTTAGAACGTCAGGTGTTATATTTCCATCAGCCATGTTCATTTCATACTGGTCCAAAATATCTGCATGTTTCATATCTTTCAATGGCATTAAAGCCGCGCTGAAAATACCAGCTATATCTGGTTCACCATTCACTTCCATTGCGTCTACAACTTCTTGGAATTGTGGTTGTAAGTTTATGAACCACCTATCCGGATTAGCTTTATGACCCCATCTCATTGTAGTTCCATCGTCTGCAGAAACAAAAGTAGGTTTGTTTCCATCTTGGTTAGGTTCTGAATGAACTTTAAACAATGTTTCATTTCTATATGTTTTCTTGAAATTTAACCTTTTATCTTCACCGAGTTCATCCGAAGATTGAACGTTAAATGCTCGTAAGTAAAAAGGGTTGTTGTATTTGTGTACATTTTCTTTCAGTACTTTCATTCTATGCTGAATATTTTCATCTGGTGTTGGAGTCTTTTGTATGTCGGCAAACATTTTTCGATATTCTTCTACTATGTCAGCCGAATTTTTTTTAGACTCTTGGAAATATTCCATATTCTCCGCATACACTTGTTGAGGGTCAAGATTTTTCGGCTGTTCCAAATCTTCATCTAGTTCTGTGAAGTTAGTTTCCAAAGGAGTGACTTGTTCGTTTCCTTCAGGCTCTTCTAGCTGTTGTTGCTGAACTATTTCTTCCATGTCTGGTTGTATCTGAACTTCTTCCTGTGGAGTTTCTTGTACCTCATCTGCTGGCATTTCATATATTCCGAGACCGTTTTTAACAATTTCCCTATCTACGTCATCCGCATTCATAAGCTTTTGTTCTTTCGTTCCGTCTCTATTTTTTACGCGTTTCATGACGAAAGTTGTATTGTCATTTAGCTCTGACATCAAATATCTCGGAGTAAATTCGTTCATGTCATTTGGATGATATGCTATTAAATCATATCCCTTAGCGAGCTTGTATTTTCCAGGTTTGAAATTATATCCGTTTTGGTGCTGAGCCATAAAGCTAAATAGGTTCGGGTCAGTATTTCCATCCTTGAACTTTCCAATAGCTTCTTTATATCTGTCACTAAAGTCAATAGTATCTGGGAAACCACACTCTTCTTTAAGCATTTTTAAGAATTCTTGGTTTCCTTGTTCTCTACTTCTTTTATGTCCTTGCTCTGTTTGTGGTTGTTGTGGTGCAGTGTTTTGAACTGTTGGTTGTGGTGCAGTGTTTTGAACTGTTGGTTGCTGTGCAGTGTTTTGAACTGTTGTTGTGGTGCAGTGTTTTGAACTGTTGGTTTTGGTGCATGCCTATGTCTGTGTCCATGTGACGATGTAAATGTTTTAGGTAGTCCTGGTGCAGGTGCTTCTCTTGGAGGTTTGGTGGTATATAAGTTCCACTAGCTAGTATATAAGTTCCACCAGCTGGTATATAAGTTCCACCAGCTGGCACATATGTTCCATCTGCAGCGTAATGTCCTACCTGACTTTTCGTTTTTAAGAAAGCATTTACTAGGTCTGTTTTGGTCTGTTGTAACTCTTTTTCTTGACTTTTCACAACAGTTGCTCTAACGGCGTCATAGGCACTTTGAACTGCCTGTCTCGTTGCTGCATCTGTTATTTTCGTCATATTTTGTGCTACTTCTTTAACTCTTTGTCGAAACCTTCAGACTTCAGTTTCTTTCCAGATGAGAAGTCGTTCACTTGTTTCACCTTACTATGAAGAGCTTCGAAAGCGTTCTTAAGTCAGCATTTCGTTAAAGCTTCATTTGAACTGTCTTCATCCGCTTGTATTTTTGTCCTTATTGACCCTATAAGCTGGCTGCTTTAGCGTTGGCTTGGGCATCTAACCAGTCATTGTTAGCTTTTATATATTCTGAGCTTTTCATTGCCTTTTGCATAGCCGCGTCGTTATTTTACTTCTTGTGCTAAGTTTTCATACTGTTACGGTTTGGTTTTGCAACTGTAAAAAGTTTTTCTGCCTTTACATTTGCTTCAACTTCTTTTTTATACTCATCGCTATCCATATATGTCTTCAGGGCTTTTTGTTTTATCTCTTCATCTTTCAGTACTTTATATTGAGTAGTATGGTTTTTCAAATTTATAACATCTTGTTCCATTTTTGCTACTTCTGCTGCTTTTTCTGACACTTTTTTCGCATATTCCTCTGTACTTAGTTCTTTCAGTTGTTCTTCTTTCTTCTTTTTCTCTACGTTTAACTCATTGAGTTTCTTTGTGTGTCTGTCATATTCTAGTTTCTTTTCGTTTTCACTTATTTGCTTCTGTATGTTCTATGTTTGACTTTTTGACATCTGTTATTTGATTTTTGAGTGAACTCAAATTCATTTGACTTTGAGGGTTATAGGCTGTTCCGTCTGCAGCTCCACCATAGCCTGCCATTTTCGCTAAAAGTGCCGCTCTTAAACCTCCACTCTGTGCACCAACAACTCGGTTTAAAAGCATAGGATTGCTTGACATTTGTTGCAACATAGTGGGGTCATTCATAATTTGTTGTTGCAACTGTTGTTGTGGTGTCAGTTTTACTATTGGATGTTTCAATGCTCTCTTCCTCTTACGTATATTCTTACGTAGCTTACGTGGCATTTTAAGTGAAGTTAAAAAGCGGTTTTTGACAGATGTTTTGTTGTGACTTCTTCGTAAAGACTTTCTTGTCTATGTTTTGTAAAGACTTCTTCATCTAATTTCTCATGAACTTTCTTGTCTATGTTTTGTTATGACTTCTTCGTAAAGACTTTGTTGAGACTTCTTCGTAAATGACCAAAAAATAATGTTTATGTTAGAATGTTAAATCTAACACCTTTTCTAACATGTTTTCTAACATCGTAGAAAACTCATGAATTTCTTCGTAAAGACTTTGTTAAGACTTCTTCATCTAATTTCTCATGAACTTTCTTGTCTATGTTTTGTTAAGATTTCTTCGTAAAGACTTTGTTAAGATTTCTTCGTAAATGTTTTGTTGAGATTTCATCGTAAATGACCCTAGTAGTATATTTTTGGTGTAAATTTCATGAAAATTCAAGAGTTTTAGACCATGTTAGAAAACATGTTAGAAAAGGTGTTAGATTTAACATTCTAACATAAACATTATTTTTGGGTCATTTACACTCATGAACTTTCTTGTCTATGTTTTGTTAAGACTTCTTCGTAAAGACTTTGTTAAGACTTCTTCGTAAAGACTTTGTTGAGATTTCTTCGTAAAGACTTTGTCAAGATTTCATCGTAAAGACTTTGTTGAGATTTCTTCGTAAATGTTTTGTTAAGACTTCTTCGTAAAGACTTTGTAAAGACTTCTTCGTAAAGACTTTGTAAAGACTTCTTCGTAAAGACTTTGTTAAGACTTCTTCATCTAATTTCTCATGAACTTTCTTGTCTATGTTTTGTTGAGATTTCTTCGTAAATGACCCTAGTAGTATATTTTTGGTGTAAATTTCATGAAAATTCAAGAGTTTTAGACCATGTTAGAAAACATGTTAGAAAACATGTTAGATCTAACATTCTAACATAAACATTATTTTTGGGTCATTTACACTCATGAACTTTCTTGTCTATGTTTTGTTAAGACTTCTTCGTAAAGACTTTGTTAAGACTTCTTCGTAAATGTTTTGTTAAGACTTCTTCGTAAATGTTTTGTTAAGACTTCTTCGTAAAGACTTTGTCAAGATTTCATCGTAAAGACTTTGTTGAGATTTCTTCGTAAAGACTTTGTAAAGACTTCATTTATACTAAACATCTTCGGGGGCTAGAAGGCACGAAGTGCCTGGAAGCCATCCCCCAAGAAAAAAAAACTTCATTATACTCATTCATCCTCAGGGCTAGAAGGCACGAAGTGCCTGGAAGCCCCACTACCTTTTTTTTTTTTTTTTTTTTTTTTTTTCCAAGGCATTATCGAGCCTTTACTTTTCTTGTATAAAAGAAAGACAGCTTTTAAATTTTTTGAACTTATTATTGTTTCGGAATTAAAGTCTTTGGGTTCAAATAAATCTCTTTCAAAAATAAATTCTAGATATTTATTATTATGAGATCCGACAATATCCGAAAGGCAGTCTTTATCAAGTTGATTAGTTTTCATGCATTCATTGATAATATCAATATTTCCGCCGATGAATGAATATTGAAGGCATTTTTTTGTTACTTCAATGCATAAATTTGATTGAAGGAAAAAGAATATATTAGCAGACCCAAAATAACAACAAGCTTCAATAAGGGATGTCTTTTCAAATCTCCCATTAGACATACGCATCATTGGAATTTGTAAATCAATATTAGTTAATGAATTTTGAACAGCGAATTCTTTTAATTCATCAATTTGATCATACATTATCATACACATCAATTTATTTTCCTTTGATGCTGGAATATGACATATTTGGTATTTGTTATCAATCTTAATGAAACGTAAAAATATATTCATATAAAGATTTAATAATGATTCATAGTTAAATTTGTATCTTGAATATTTGTTTAAGATCTGATTGATTATTTTGCAATAATGATCAATGGATCGATAATTATATTTAATTGCAATGATGAGGCTTGAAATGAGTTCTTGAATAGGAAATTTATATTTGGATATTAAAATTTTTTCTATCAAATTAAAAATCTCTTCCATTGATTCATTTGCATCTAAATGAAAGAGTTTTTCATAAAGTCCTATGAAGTCTTCATATTGATCTAGATCCAAATCATTCATGATTAAAAAGTTATAAATTTAAAGGCGTGACGACTACCAAACCTCCCCTATCGTCAAAATTTGCTGATCTACGATTCCATTTAAATTAATGACCTGGGTATCATTGGAAACGGTAGACTTGAAAACTAATATTGGATATCTCCATATTGTTATTGTAATTTTATCTGTTCTATTTGCTTTTATCAGAACAAAAAATTTTAACAGAATCACATGATTGTGTTGTAATCGTGATGGCTGTAGAAACGAAACAAACTGGAACAACAAATTTATATGATAATCATTTCTTTTGAGCATGTGTGTCTCTTCAAGACGATCCATTTACATTTGATCTTTGAGGCAGCACATTCTAGACAGTTTATAGTGACTTATACACGATTTAAACTTTCAGAGAGCTTTGCTTTTACTTGATCCTCTGAAAAGTATATGATAATTTATTTGAATCCAATGTGAATCCAAAATTCCATTGACGAATTTTCGATCATTCTAATGATCATTAAAATACATATCCTTTAAGTTTAGCATTTCTGAAAAATAAAGTGAATGTATAGTATCTAATTATAGTAATTTAATATAAGATTATTACTTATAAAAATTTATCTTTATATGAAAATAAATAGAAACAAACAAATAAAATAATAGATATTCATGCAATACTAGCATTTGAAATCCTTGTTATGAAAGTCATCAAAGGTCTTTGGTCGATCTTTCCTTTCAAGTATTTTTCAGCTTCTAAATCGATATTTTCCATCTTAAAAGCCTTCAAACACTGAGTATGCATTGTTAAAGTGTTCATTGTTGAAAAACAAGCCTTTGCAACTGGTGTCGTACCTTTCATTAATTCTTTGTAGATTGATATATGCTGATTAAATATTTGAAGAAATCCAAATTCTGCAATTCTTCCCATAACTCTCAAATATATGACTTGGGCGCTTTCATCCATTGTTTCTTCCAATCTTTCGAACAAAGCTGTGAAAAATCCAGCACTTTCAAATGATTCGAGACAAGATCTTGAAAAAGGTAATTGATTGAACAATTGTCCAATGCTTTTTGGTATAGTTTCATCCGAGTTTTCTTCATCTCTATAATTTAAAACATTCGTGAAGAAAAGAGGAACTTCCGAAAAAGTTACAATTAAATTCTTCAAATCTTTGTGTTTGAACAAAACAATAAATAGTCTTAATGTATGTTGGAATGTTGGCATATCATTTAATAGCCATGAATGATCGAAGAAACAATGTTTTGCACATACAACATCTTTGTCACATTTTTTCATCAAAAAAAGTGACGCTTCTTCATATTTTGTTGAAATATCCAACAATGATTTAACTATTTGTCTTGATAACGTAACATTTGGTATCCTTATCAAAGCACCTAATGCGAACTTATCAAGAATAGGATGGTTCAATTGTTCTGCTACTATTTCCAAGTCAATATTTGGATCATCTGGTGAAAAACTAATTAATGTTTCATAACATTTCTTGACAGCATCGACATTCTTGCATTCTTTGATTGTTTTCTGGAAATATTCGATACAGAAGTCGCCATGCTTGTCAAAGAAATCATCATCTTGACAAAGAACAAACAACAAACAAATATAATCAGGAAAACATTCGTTTTCTTCAAAATATTCATAATTTTTCACAATTTGGTCGAGAATTGTATCCGATTCAGGGAGTTTTGATAAATCCTTGGTAAGAATACTTTCAAACTCAAGAGATTTCTTCGGATTCGACCTCAAAAGTGGAGGAATTTGTCTTAAAAACTCAAAAGTGACAAATTCAACTGAATACGAAAAAACAAAAACCAAAAAATCGATAACAACATCAGTCATTTCTCTTTGTGATGTTGGAAGACTTGGAAGAACATTTGCTTCCTTGAAAGCATCGAATGCTTCCTTTGTTTTCATTACTTTTCTCAAAGCAGCGAAAACAGAATTTTTGATATCGATTGGAACCATTTTCTTCATCAAAGGCGGCATTTTCTTCATGAATTCAAGTACATTTCCTGCATGAACTATTTCTTCAACATGAACAAGGGCTTCATTGAACTCTGCTGATAAATAATCGCCAAAAGAATTAACAGTCAAAGAAATTTTGTCTTCTTTTATGTTTCTTTCGGATTCTTCTTCACTGTATTCATGTTCATCCACTGTTTCTTCGTATTCTTCCTCTTCTTGTTCTGATTCTGACTCTGAATTTTGAGATTTAGTTTCATCATAAAAATCTTCTTCGGAAATTTGTTCTTCTTCCTCGATTTCGTATGATTCTTCATCACTCATCGATTCTTCTTCGTATTCTTCGTCACTTTCCGGTGGTTTTTCTTTTTTTCGGCCTTGATTTTTTAAACTTTTTGTGGATTTCACTGTTTCTTGGATTTCTGGTTCTGGTTTTGGTGAATGATTCGATCTCTTGCTCTTTCTGGTCGATTTGGCCGGCTCTTCATTCACAACATCACTTATGTCACTTTTTTCGGAATTTTGATCGTCATTTTTAGTACTTTGTACTGATGTTGATGAAGAAAATCGACTCTTGGGTTGAAAACTAGGCTCAGCAGGTTGAGGTGGTGGAGGCAAAACAGGATTGTCGTTCTTGGAAATTGATGAATAATTATCATTCATTGTTGAAGTAACTGTTGACACTTTAGATTGATGGGTGTTTCTTCTAGTACTTGTTACTGAGTTGTAGAGGTCGAAAGCGTGTAAAGATGCATGATTATGTTTTCTATGTAAGTGTTTTGTAACTTTTATGAAACTTCTGATTGCTTCTATGTCTGAATTCGGAAATGCAACAGTTCCGAGTTCGAAAAGTTGGTAAATTTCTGCGAAAGTTGGTCGATTAATTTTTTTTGGTGACCAACAGTGTTTTATTAAGAGTTTGAGTGGTTCTGGAGCCGTAGATGGTATTTGTGGACGCTTCTTTGATACGCAAATGACCCTCTGAGTTTCTTCTGCTGATAATTCTTGAAATGGAATATATCCTGTTAACAATTCGAAAAGAAGAAAGCCGAAGAGGAATACATCTGATTTTTCATCTCTTGGCTTTCCTTTGTATATTTCTGGCGGAGTCCAATTCGGTAACTCCATACAACCATCTTCGATTAAACTTAAGCGTGGAGTAAGATCTTCTGTAATAAAAATGCTGCCAGTGTTTAAGTGCGGCATTGAATAACCTTTTTTATGAATAAACTCCATTGCATCAGCAATACACATTGCAATAATTGTTGTTTTTGTTCCTGTTAGTATTGAATCGCATGCTGGATCTTCAAGCATCTCTTGGAGATTGCGTCCAACTGCTTCTGTGAATCCAGTAAATGGAGGTGATTGCGTTACACCAATAAATGATAAAATAAATGGATGTTTTAACTCTGCAATTCTTGACAATTGTTCAAATAACTCTGCTGTATCTTTTTTACTCGTTTGTCTAGTAACTTGTTTGGCATAAAAATATGAATCTTCCTTTGAGTTGCTTTTAGCTAACCATAAATCAAATGACCCATGACAAATTTGCTGAATAAATGAAAATTCGCTGAGTGAGACAATCTTTCCTCTAATTATTTCTGGAATTTCGACACTCAAGCGTTTTTTCATTTAATATTACTGGTGCATCACGCCGATAAAATTAGAGAGATGGTAAGAATTTCATTTTACTCTCAAGTTGCAAATATCATGTCAAAGATAGAACGAAACAAACGGCATCCTTAATCAAAGAATAAGAATAAGTTACTTATCGAGACGATATTTTTTTTAATTTGTTTATTATACTCAATGCAAAAATCCACAAATTCCTCACAATACTAACGATTTTACCTCAAAATGGCCAAATATCATTTTGTCATTGTTTAATCAAGGTTTACACGCGAAGAATATGATTTCAAGTTTATAATCTCTCATCTAAAATAAAAGTGCTTTGGGGAGCATCAACTCAATGTTAAACATGTCATTATACACATTACATTAGTATTCCTATATAATATTAAAAGTAAGATATTCTCTCAATGAACTTATAAATCATGCGATGCCAAAAAATTGACTTATTTTTAGGAAAATAAGCAAAAATGATTCTTGTGAGTACAATATATTTGGTTGAATCATTTTTCTCCAAATAGAAAGTAACAATGGGAGTCTTTGTTCATTGGTTTCAAGTTATTTAATTCTTCAAGTAATCAATGGCTTCCTGCAGTAAGATCCAATAATTTGATTATTTTTTGCCAGATTATCATTTTATTCCTTCAACTTTGTCGGTAAATAGCAATAATCTTCTTCTTAATCTCAGAAATTTCTGAACGGTTGAGAGCTTTCTCCTCTTATCTATCAAAAAAGATGATAGGAAAAGATGGTGCAAATAAGCTTATCCTGAAATATTGTGAATAACATGAAAATAGCATGAGACAATCATTGTGATTCCACATGTGACATTGAGTATTCACAATGAAATTATTTGATCCATTATATGGACCAGATGAATATGCGGAAATAAACGAATTTTGAGAGAACGAACAGTTTGAAACCAAAATTTGGTCCTTAACAAAATATTTTGCACTATTTTGATAAAAAACGCAATGATCAAGAGATGATGTGTGAATTAGGATCACTAGCAAATATTGTTCAGAAGTATCAATACGATTTTTGTAAAAATTTGCATTTTTTATTGTGCAGGCATAGTCTGCGCAAAGTACTGCATTATAATCTGCTGTTGTTGATAATATATTTAAAAACGATATTGTTGCTCGGCCAACTATTTTTCCAAGATAAAAAGCTGTCGAATAATAAACGTGATTGTTTGTTGAGTTAAAGTATGCAATTGAAGTTTTTCCACCACTGTTCCACAGCATATCATAAATAGTAGGCGCTGAACTATCACTTAAAGATAACATAGAAACGGAATTTATGTTTTCTGATGTTCCCGATATGTTTATAAAGCCGTAGTTAGCTTTTTTACTTGAGGAGACATTCCGAGCGCAGATATCTTTTTGATATATTGAGTGGCCAGGATTAAAGAGAACACAGCCACCAAATTGATTTGATGTTATAGAAGAGAATGTATTATGTTCAATGACTAGAATAGAATTTTCGGAAATAAGGCGAATAACACCATTGTTTTTAATGTTTGAAAATATAACGCCATTGAGATGATATATAACAGATTCAGCCTGGACAGGATTTGTTGATGACTGTAAGAATGTCCAATATGATTTATTTCTAAGAAATTCATCTGATGAAAAATCAGACAATTAGATTTTTTCAGAAAATCAATTTTTTTGGCAAATTTTTTCAAAATTCAGATACCGGAAATTCTGATAGATTCATAAAAAACATACACTTTATTACAAAGATTAAATTACTATCTATGTATGACTCTTGATGATTAGGTTTTTCTACATTGAAAATATGAAAACGATCCTCAACCACCAGGTAAAACCGAATAAAATTCGATATCCACTTTTTTTAAATAAAATTCATGTTAAGGGTGCGCTTACCACTTTCTGACATTCTCTCAAATTTCTTGTTTAAGGTTTTATTTTATATGCCTCTTCACGCCCGTATTTCTCTTTTTGAGAGAGTGTCAGAAAGTGGTAAGTACATCCTTAAAACAAAGTGTTTTCATAACATCCTCTATAGTAAAAAATTCTCAGTTTAGTATAACAACATCTAAACACTCAAAATGAATGCTTTATTCTTGTTCAAAGCTGAATTTCATAGATGATCTTTCAATGTATTCAGAATATAATAGAGTATTTCATTGAGCGCATTGTTATTATTGATTAGGGAAATATTTCATTCAAAACATATGTTAATTTTGTTCGGAATATTGAGATTATTAAAAAATAATTTTGTTAATTTTAATAAAAAAACGAAAGAATCCAAAAATAACTTATAAAAATTAATATAATAAATACTCTAGTTTATATTATTCGAAAGTTGCATGCCATGCTGGTCGTTGTTCTATTTGTGGCTCCGTGGTGGTCATAGCTTTTTGTGGCCTCTTCTTATGCTTACTAAAATCAAACGATAGACGCTTTGGCTTCTCAATTTCTTCCTTTGGTTTAGTTTCAGGAACAATTTCTTTTGGTTTGGCCTGTTTGACTTTGCTAACGATGGTATCAATATCTTTCTCTATAAGGGAATCGATATCTGACTTCTTTACAACAGTTTCGTTTAAATCTTTTTGAATTTCTTCCTGAATTTTCTCGAATTCTGTAATATATGACAAACTGGCAATATATGTCATAGTTTTCTCCCTAAACATGGTATAGGATGTTGGATTTGGCATAGGAAGACTTCTTAAATTAAGAAAATTCTGATAGAGATCTGTTTTCGTCTTTGGCTTTGTTGGTAAAGCTATTTTCTCTTTGCCAGACTCAGTGAAGCCATTTGTAAGGCTGAAATTAAACTTTTGTGCTGTTGGAATTGAAGAATTATTATTTTTAGGAACTAAATAACTTTGTTGTATTAAATACTCGCATTTAAGTATACCGTCGATCCTGATAACATACTTATTATCAGTTGTTGGTTTAATCATCGAAAGATTTGAAATTTCGTTCTCTAGGAGGTCAACAAATGCATAATTTGTTGTGGAATCTTTAATTCCAATGGTAAGAAGCTCACGGTCAGAGATTTTTACCATAATATTTGGAGTAAAATCTCTTATGTGAATATTTTGATCTTTTATAGTGATTCTATTATTTGTTCCGATAGCCAATGTTGTATTATCAATGATTTCAAATGATGTTGCACTTTTTGAAATAGAATCTTTTTTCAAAGAAGAATCAAATTTTGAAAGTTCTTTATCTTCAGTCAATACGTATGCACATGAACCATTAGACTTAATCGATAAGATTTTTGATGACATTTTGATTGATTGCTCTTTTATATTTCTATATAATGAAATTATGTTTAATTCTTTGTCCTTTCCGATGAAAACTTTAATGTCGTCGATTGTGTCTACTAATGCAAGTGAAGTTGGAGCCTTTGAAGATATTTTTTTCGCAAAATTTATTTTATTATTTTCGTTTTCATTTAAATTTGATTGGAACACTCCATCTTTCTTAGCATAAACGAGTAAATTCATAGTTTCGAGAGTTCCAAAGCATAAAATATTGTTCTTTATTATAAAATTCTTTAGATCCATCTCGAAAAAGTGTCAAAATCTAATCAAAAAAATTCTTGGACACTAAAACTTATAGAAGTCAATTTGAGTATTCATTTAGACCACCATCACTAAATATTCATTTGATCTTAAGGTAAGGGCTTCAATTTCTAAATTTTTTATCTCTTTTGATTATTCATTCTATTTTATGGAACTGTTCATTATTGAATAATAAATTTAAAGCATGGGAATCCGATTTATGATATGAACTACTGTCTATATGTAGAAGATTCAAACCCGGATAGCATCTTCTTCAAAATCTGGACAATTATTGTTGTAATCATCTTAAATCACTATGCAAATTCATATATTGAATTGTATTCATTGTATTTAAGTAATTAGAAATTTTATTTTAATATTTAATTTATATATGAACGTTTCTACCAAGCGAGTCTCATCTGTTTAGGATTTCACTATTATAAATCTTGAGTTGTAATTTCATATGTCATAATGGCTTCAGGATTATTTGAACTCTTGATAACTTTGCTTGAGTTTATTGTTTCATTCGTATTGCTCATTTTCGTATTTTTCATCTTCATATTCTATTTCTCATCCTTTGCAGAAGAAAAAATGAAGAAAGTACAATCATTGATTTTATATTTAACGTATTTTATATTAGCCTTAACAACAATGCTTCCATTTTCAGGATTCCCATGGTATGTATGCATTTTAACAACAGGATCAAATCTTTTATGGCTCTACATTCAGAAAAGCGGATTTCCTTTTATTACACTCGAATTTCCACCACTTGTAATTGCTTTCATATGCACAATATTTGATCATTTCTTACTTGTTTTACATTTCCTTCACGGAGATGAATCATTTTGGTTGATTGTAAATTACTTTATCATTTTCGTTTGGATCCTTCCAATTTTAATATTGTCATCACTATGCGCTCTTGACGAGGATCAAGTTGAAAAGCCAGAAGAAAAACAGCAACAACAACAAACAACAGAACAAAAACAAACAAATAAGAACGTCTTAGGAAAGTTTATTGGCAGGATGCTCAAGAAAGCCGAGGAATCTCTTCCATATTCCGTAAACAAAGATGATTAATTCGAATTACAACAAATTTATTCATTTATCTTTACTATTCGATACCGTTTACCTTACAAAACGCTTATTGTTTGAAGCATTAGGCTTAAAAATATATTTGTATAATATTTTTATTGATAATAAACAAAAATTTCTTAATTTACTAAATAAAACATGTTTAATAGTCATCAGAAATCTATATGTCTAAGAAAAACTATTAAAAAATAATAATAAACAAACATTTTAAATTAATTCATTTCTTCTTCTTCATAATCAAGATCTTTGGCGTTTTCCTCATCAATGTGACGAGATCTATCAAAGAATTCATGAGCAACTATTTGATCAAAAGTATATCTTTGTTTTGGATCTTTTACAAGGATATGTTGAAGTAAATCTTTCAATAATGGATCTGCATTTGCTGGGATCTCAAGTTCCTTTGTTCTTAACCGTAAATATACGGCCATCAACGTATTTGCAAATTCCAAGCCTTCGCATTCACCAATGGAGAAAGGGAAGTCATTAAAATACGATAAGTAAAGTGAAACTCCATATGCCCAAACATCTGTTGGTTTTGGACTGAATTTTCCTCCATGGCACTCTTCTGGGCTTAAGAATGCAGGGGAACCTTTTGTATCAACTAGCATCTGATCGTCTGATGTAAGTTCTTGAGAAACTGATAAGTCTGTGATTACAAAATAATCTTCAGAAAAAGCTAACATATTTTCTGGCTTGATATCACGATGGACAACATTATTTGCATGCATATATGCCAAAGCTATGGCAATTTGATGATAGCATGCATTTAAAGCGTTTTCAGATAATAATTTTTTGTTTGTAAGGGATTTAACATTACCCATTGGTGCATATGGCATTATAATGAACAAACAATTTGTATCATTATCATTGAATGCATCAATTAATGAGATAACATAGCGATGAGAGAGTTTTGCCATGATATCAAGTTCTCTCTGTATACAAACATATGGTGGGTCTTCTCCAGATAGTGTTGGACGACTAATCTGCGAATTGTCGTAAACTTTGGCTGCAAACACTTCATCATTTCCTTCATAAACAACTTGAAAGACTCTTGACATAGCGCCGTCTCCTAACTCTGATAAAAATCTATATCCATGCATGACTGGATTCGTGGAATTTAAGAAATCGGATAATGAATTTCGAATAAAACGAGGTAGTGAATAAAATCCTGCACCATCGGAGTTTTGATTTAACTGATCATTGGGTGCATCCTGATTTCCTTCTGTTGAAATGCTACAAGTCATTTTTGTTGGATTTGGTCAGAATCGACTTCTTCAGAAAAAATGTTCAATTGAATACATTACTTGATTATTGAGAAATTTCAATTTTGCAATGAAAGAAAATTTTGTTCCTTTACTAAATTCCTAACATCTTCCGATTATCGCTTATTTTGTCACTTTTTCCCACAATGAATCGAAGATCAATTAATTTTAATTCTATCCTCGACTGGACATTTCTTATACTTTCAATAGCGTGCATTTGTGTTGTTACACCAATGTCGTATACATCAGATAAAAAACCTGATCAACCATCAACAAAATCAGATATAAATGTTGAATTGTTTAACCAATCATCGAAGAACTATGAAAAGTTCCTTGAATTGTTAAATTCAGAAAATAAATCCATTGATATGATATTTAATTACGAAGTCCCCGTTCCTGAATCTTTTATTCCAGCAATTAAAAATGCAACAGTTCGCGGAGTTAAAGTAAGAATGTATACAATGGAACCAAATTCAACACTTCCGAAATTAACACTACCAGAAGGAGCAGAAATTAGATATTTCAAAAATACAACTTATTTCAAGAAATTTTACGTGAATTTTGCGATATTTCATTCGGAACTTCTTTTCTTCCCATCATCATTTATACCTCGTATAGGATTTGATAAGAAAATAATTGGATTTTACGCAGATACAAATGATAAAAATTTAATTTCATCAGCTCAGGTCGTTTTCGACTATTTTTGGAATATGGGCGATGAAATGTATTTTGTCCTCCCGCGGAAATACTTTTTCTCATATGAAAATTCCGATTTTACTTTAGATCCAGATACAGAGCTTGCCCTGAACATAACATCTATACATAAAACCGTTCGAAATGCTCTAGATCAATCAGCTGAAGTCAAAATTGTAGCTTCTAGACAATTTTTCCCAGATAATATCACTAACTTTACAGAATGCTTGAGATATGCTCAGATATCATCTCTTCTTGAAAAGCAAGCCATTACAGATCTCAAGTTACGAATTATCCTCTCTGAATCAGAATTTATTACACATAAAACTCATTATGTTTCTATTTATCATAACTTTGCTGATAAAGAAAACATAGATTTACGCCATTGCACTTTTGAAGATATTGACGGAACAATAATTGCTGCAACTGACCAACTTGTCTTGTTACCTTGCGGATTAGATGAAATTACTCATAACAACAATATAATATTTGGTTTATCACATAAGACTGATATAATTAACGATATCACACAATATGGAATTTCTTGCCCGAGATATCCGAAATATTAATCTTAATCTTTGTTTGGTTTACAACAATAAAAATTATGTTCTTTAGATATATATAAGTTTCAACCTCTTAAATTCTTCTAATTTTTTTTTATTTTAATAATGTCTCTATCTTTCAAAATTTCTTTGAATAAAGCTAGTTTTTCTCCTAATTTTCGATACTGATGAGATGTTTAATCATAATGATGGAGAATTTCATATCAATGCCATAAATTTGGTCAATAATTTCAATTAATCTAATTTTCTCATTTATTAAATCATTTTTTGATCACTTTAAGTTAATTTGGAATTACTTTAAACCCTTCTTTAACCAAATTTCAAATAAATATTTTTCATATAATGACAGTTTCTAATAATTCCATTGAACTTCGTTTTTAATTCATTTAAAAATTTCACGGTATTCATCTTAGGACATTATTATCAATAAAATGTTAATTTGAATTTCAATATTAACGATTTAAGATATGATTTTCTATGAGGTAAGCTGTAGGTTAAATAGTTAATAGAATATTTTATTATAAACATTATTTTTTTAACTAACAGATAAACTTTGGAATAATTTCTTAAATTCAGTTCCAATATTAATCCTTTGGATATCTCCTGAGTTCAATGCTCGATCTAAGTAATCCGATGCGAACATTGACGCAGTCTTTGAATCAGAAGCCAAATCAGATGAAATTTCTGTGTCAGCTCCCTTCAAAATCAGGAATTTTGCGATCTCGAAATGTCCCCCTTGGCATGCATAGTGAAGTGGAGTCATTCCTCCATCAGCAATGCACGATTTCATGTTGATATTATAACCTTTTTCGACCAAAAACTTAACAATTATCAGATTTCCACTCATACACGCGAAATGTAACGGAGTTGTTTCTCTGTTCAATGTTGTCTTTGGATTTAGTGTGCAACCATTTGCAATAAGTAACGAAATAGTTTCCATTTTACCACCTTTGCAAACGAAATGGAATGGCGTCATTCCAGCATCAGTTTCTTTATTGATGTCAGCACCATTCCAGATGAAAAATTCAACAGTATCTCTATCACTGAATTCGCAAACATAATGAAAAGCTGTCATTCCATTCCAATCAGGGAAATTGATGTCTGCACCTTTCTTTATGAGTGTCTTTGCAATGCCAAACATCATCATACGACAACTGACAATCAAAAGGGACTCGTTTTGCTTTGTTTTTATGTTTAAATCAGGATTGCGAGAAAACAACAAATTGACAATTTTTTCTCTTTTTGCGCCGATTGCTTTATGTAAAGGATAACAGTTTTTCTCATCAAAACAATCAACTTTCGCTCCATTCTCAAGCAACAGTTTAACAAGTGCTTCATGACCTTGTTCGCATGCAATATTTAATGCTTGTTCTTTCGCGCCATCCTCTGAATTCGGATTAACTCCGAGTTCTAACAATAATCTTGCAGCCGTCATACTTCCTGATTTACAGACAGCAAACAAAATCTCATCGCCAACGCGTTGAAGGAAATCAATAGGACAAGCGTAAAGAAGATAAGCACGGAATGAAGCAATGTTATTGCGTTGTTGAAGAGCTTTTAATGCTTCTAAAAGTTCTCTATTGTCAATTGGAACTTTTCCATTTTGTATCATAAACAAAGCTGCGTTTATGTTGTACCAATGGTAGAAATTATTCTTGGAAAGCTTGCATGTCGCTCCTTCGCTCAAAAGATAATCAGCAATATTGTTATGATGCCAATGAATGGCCCAATTAAAAGCTCGACTTTTATCGTTAACTTCTGGGTATGAATGTCTGATTTCTGGGTAGACATACTTAACGATATCCATGTTACCGCCTTGTATTGCAGCCCGGACTGTATCTTGAGTGATTTTGCCGGAATTGAGAAGGAAAAAATGAAATGAATTATAAGATCCGTAAAAAGCAGCCAGATTGATAGGAGTCATCTGTTTATCTGGTCTTGGGTAATCATCTTTGCTGATTTTCACTTTCTTTGTATCGTCTCCTATGTAATCTACGCTTTTTTCTTTAACACCCTCTAAATTGTCGATTTTGATCAAATATTCGATGCATGTTGGATCTTTATAACCTTGTAATGTCTGTTCGAATGTAATATGGTCGGTTTCTTGTTGGTTAATCAATTCTGTTTGTCGATTTTTGCTTCTTTCGGTCTCAGAAAATGCGCCTCGGTGCATTAGACAGTCTGCAAAAGCTAAATTGTAGTTCTGAATGCTATCAAGTGGCAATGAAAATCCATGTTGTACAGTAAATGACATATATAGCAGAGTTAATGGATCAATTTGATGACATCGGAATTTCGATACGTATAATATTAAGTTTGGTATGAATGACATCTCTTCTTCTGTGAAATTTTTATTGATAAAATCTAGAACTACTCTTTCAGATGATTTGGTTATACTAAAAACCATATTTTCTAGCTCTACATACTTTTTTAGCTTATCTGGTATAATTATATCAGCAATGTATTTGATTTTCCGGTTTTCTGGAGCCAATTCATCCATTTTTTAGAATTTTTTTTTTCACTCGTTCATTTTATGGGCTCACAATTAAATGTTTTATTTAAAAATATATTCACCACGAAGAATAGAATATAGATTTTCAATCCGGAAATCTAATCAACGTAAATTTCAAAATTCTCATTTCAATTTCAATCTACTGCTTCAGATATAATAGATTTCACACTGCAAATCACACATAAATGTTTATCATATCTAAAAATCTTTATGAAACTTAAATGAATGTCACTTTTCATAAATTCTTCAAATCATGTATTCAATATTTGTACCATAATGTTTTACTATTTAAATCATTACTTGCCAACCATGGGAAAGGCCTTGTTGATCGGGGTTATATTTCCATTTATCAGAATCAAATTCTGGTTGATAATAATATTAAAAGTTGTCAGTACTTGTGTGAGTACAACAATAGTAATATATGGTTCCTCTATACTCAAGTAGATAATTACATGCTAATAGATTTAAAGACAGAATACTTGTTAACTGGAATGAAAATTCGAGGAATAAAAGATAAAAAAGAATACAATACTGGATATCCATGGGATATTTACCAACCAAGTTATGCGCTAGAATTTTCGAATGATAATAAAACCTTTTATACATTATTCCAGGAAACGAACTCGACGAGAATTACTAATATCAATCTAGAAACTGAGTATTTTTTCAATACAAAAGGTTATTTTAGATATTTTCGCTTAAGAGAAACTGATTTAGCAAATGGACATTATGGACATGGACAATATATTGCATGGCTTGATTTCTATGTTATGAAGAACTTCTGCACGGATAATAACCTATTTTGTTTCCATTTTCGTTTTTTATATTTGCTAATTTCTTCTATTGTTTATTTATAATAAGAGTAAAAGTGTTAAATCATAATACTCAATTAAATAATTTTTGTTTGACAAGCAAAATCAAAACAAAAATTTATGGGAATTTGATTTTGAATACTGAACAAATTCATTTGCTTTTGATTTTGAATACTGAACAAATTCGTTTAATCTTAAGCATTATTCATTTCTCAATATTTGTGATGAACATACGATTCCCGCCATTATTTTGTAGTTAAAATACGTTATAATCGTCTAAAGTTAAGTGTTTTATTAAACCTTGTAATTGTGAAAAATTATATGGGCATTGACGATTACTCACTAGAATAATTGTCAATAAAACATGCTTGATTACTTTTAGCATTTTTTTTCGAATGCCATATAAAAAGCAATTCAATTAATTAAGAAACAATAATGAGTGATTACTAGTATATCATTTCTATACATGGCACGATGGGCGCTACTTTTTTGGCGCCAGCGGCGCCGCCCGCGCCTCCGGTGTAGGGTTGTACAAACTGGCACAATTTTGCGGGCCGCCTGCCAGGAGCTGGCACGCGGCCAAAATCAAAAAAGTGGCCAAAAATCGGGCCTCGTGGCGTGGAAAGGGTGGAGCCCGAAGGGCTCCACCCTTTCCACGCCACTCGGCCTATGACCACAATTATATAATATGCTCATTATTATTTTTTCTTCTTTTCTCTTCTTTTTTCTTTTTCTCTTTTCTTTCTTCTTTTTCCCTTTTCCCTTCCTTTTTTTCTAGTTTTGGAAAGGAAAAAGTAAAAATTTAATAATTAATTTTATTACTATGAAAATATACTTTTTAGCTTATATTGTAAGCTGTGAGAGTTTTAAGTGATGGAAGATATAAATCAAATTTGAAATTCAACAAATCTTGTTATGATTAAGTTGAATATTGTACTCTAATTAAGAGTTTTCAGTTATGAACTCAGGTATTATATAATAAAAGTATAACTCAAGATAATAAAGAGGTTTTTAAAATGTAGATCTGAAAATCAAACTACCATGTTTGATATGAATAAGTTGAATAATGTTATTTTATTAAATGGTTCAAATCTGTGAAATCGGCAATTACAAATTAAAGGCGTAGTTCAAAAAATTAAAGAGATTTTAAAAATTTAATATCAGAATTAAACTAAAAAAAGGATTTAGTTATTTCAGTAATTATCAGAAAAGGTTAAAAAGATAGGGTAAGTAATGAGACTTGAGTGAGATGTGAGAAATCATATGTAAATAATTAGATATCTGATGAGTAAGGTAGTAATGAGAGTTAAGATCTGGTTAGTAAGGTAGTAATGAGAGTTAAGATCTGGTTAGTAAGGTAGTAATGAGAGTTAAGATCTGGTTAGTAAGGTAGTAATGAGAGTTAAGATCTGGTTAGTAAGGTAGTAATGAGAGTTAAGATCTGGTTAGTAAGGTAGTAATGAGAGTTAAGATCTGGTTAGTAAGGTAGTAATGAGAGTTAAGATCTGGTTAGTAAGGTAGTAATGAGAGTTAAGATCTGGTTAGTAAGGTAGTAATGAGAGATCTGCGGGCAGTAATGATACATCTATGAGTACATAACTAAAACCTGAGTTCTATGAGCGAAATCTGAGAGCTAAAAGCCGAGAGATCTAAGGTAAGTAATGAGAGAAGAGAATTTGAAATTTTACAAAATACGTTTACTCATACAAAATAATTCGCATTCTTTTATAACGAATCTCAATGCCAATTAATACATAAAACAGATTTTAGCAATCAATTGCAAGATTTAGAAAGATTTTATTTATAATCTCAGCCAAATTAACAAATATTTTATTGATTTCGTAAAAAATAGCAATAAAACATAAAAATATGACATTCTATTTTTCCAAAAAAATTTCAAAAATCATTTTTTAACATGAAATTTATATTTTTTAATTTTTTTTTTTAAATTTTGAATTTTTTTTTGGAATTTTCAACCATGTCAAAAGTCGGTAGGGTTGTTAGATTCCCGAGGATAGGTGTCTTGGAAGATTTGCCTGGTGTCATCATAGTGTCTTTAAATCAAAAATTTTATTTTGGAGTAAGTTTTATTGATTTTTCAATAAAAAACATTTCTAAAACAAGAAAATAAAACGATAAAATATTTATATTTTATATAAGGATCTTATATATTTAAAATAAATATCATTTTATTTTTTTCATTGGTGTCTATCAAACCATAATACACTATTCAAAAATTCAATGTGTCTTGCGGTTTCAAAAGACACCTTCGAATTGAACGATAGCATAGACACTATTGAATTTTACCCATTTTATTTAGTTTTTACCCTTTTTATTTTTAAGAATTAATGACTGAAACAGCCGTTTTGCTATGACCTCAATCACTTTTATTTATTATTTTAAATATTATTTAATTTTATTATTTGAATAGGCCAACTTATATTTGAGAAGCTCAATTTGAGACCACTTAATACATTGAAACATCATAAATATTGAAATATTAAAAAGTGTATTTCAAAATATTGAAATTATAAAATTTATAATACTGAAATTGAGACAAATTAATAAATTCAATGTGTTTTTTTTGAAATAACTCTCAAATATTATTTTTTTGTTTATTTAATGATGAATAAATATGATTGCTTTAGTCAATCATAAAAACTAATTTAAGTTTAAAATAATGAAAGGATAATTTGATCGTTTTTTAAAATACAATTATTTTTGATGATTTGCAAGAATCTTTGAAAAGAATATAATATACGTTCTATTTTTGTAAAATTTATCCAAATCATGTATTACATAAATTACGATTAAAACGATGAAAGAACCAAAAAGTGTGTTTTGTGTTTTGTTGTTGCGTGTTGGATGCGGGATCCTGTTATTTCTGAAATCGACAAAAAATTTGGAAATTTAATTTCCGAAATCGAAATTATATTAATGTTTTTAATATTCTTATATCAAAAGGATTAAAGTTCATTAAGAGAAAAACAATTCTTCTTCTTCAATCTATTGGCGCATTTATTTCTACACGCCAATAAGGAAGGGAAAATTATAAGACACCATGGTGTCTTCAAAACGCTAATTTTTGATATTTTTAACAACCCTAAAAGTCGGGATCTACAAATGTATTCTCTTTGACATAGGATAAAAACATCCTTTCTTATAATTTCATTGTAAAATAAAATTTTCTTAAATTTATTGAATCCAAACTCAACTTTGCAACATTTTATTATCATAAAAACTAAGAAACATCAGGTAAACTTCAATTTGGAGAGCTTAAAATCATATCTAAATTGAAAAATAAGGGGAAAAAAATTGTAAAAAAAAATCTCATTAGATGGGGCAAAAAGTGACTTTTTTAATGTGTTTTTTAAAAAAATCGTGCCAGCTGGCCAAAAAAGGTGTGCCAGCAGGCGTGCCAGTTTGTACAACCCTACTCCGGTGGCTCCCACTGGTGGGGAGGAGACGATAGAAAAAGATATAAATTTTACTAAAAAAATTGAATTTTGGAAATTCTTTTGATTTTTTTGAATGATTTACGAAGAGATTGAACACATTTTGTACTATGAAATATCGTTATTAATAAATTTACTTCTTAAACATCTATTAAAATCGCAATTTTGAATATTTTTATGATTTTTTTTGACCCGATCACTTGCGCCCGCGCCCACTGGGAGGGGCGCTTGTAAAGTATTCAAAAATCAATGTAAACATTTCAATTTTTGCTCCCACCTCCCATTGGGAGGGGGGCATATATCTTGTAGCGTTCAAGTTCAAGTGATGAAAGTGCATAAGAAAGCTCCTTAATCATACCGATAGAAACAGCATTAGGGGCGCCAAATGGCGCTCGGTGATGTTTCCCATAAAAGCTTAATTTCAGGTATCCATAATCATAACCTGTCAGACGCAATAATTCATTAGCACACAATCATCGTTTCTCAATCAAGAAACGAAACGCACGATTGATTATGCTGGCCATTAAATTTTCATATCAAATAATTTACTACTTCAAGAAAAATTAAAGACTATCATCAACCAAAGCTTAAAATTCTCAGTGTTTACAACTCTCATACTTCGAATATGCATATTTCCAAAATAGCATGAAAATTTTTTTCATTTGAGCTCATTTTCTTTTGTTCTATTAACTAATACATGCAGTACAAGCTTGTTATACGTATACTTAATAAGTAAGGTCTTAAGGGAAATAATAAAAAAGAATTTTGCTATTAATTATATTAAACAATATTTATTTGTAATTTCGTGATAATTATATTTCTTATTACAAAGTAAAGGTATTTGATATAATGTTTGCCTTACAAAAATGTTTCCTTTGTCTTGCCACCATAGGTATTCTATTTTGTCACTTTTTGCGCCCGCCGTGCCATGTATAATCATGTCTCTTAACTTTTGACTAGTCATAAGACATAAAATCATTTTTGGTTATGGCCAACCAGCCAACCTTCATACTTCAAAAGATGAATGAAATCATTAAATTTACCAATTCGGGAATACCTGTACTTCTCATTGGACCAACAGGATGCGGTAAAACAACAATTGCAGAGAAAATTTTTGATAATCCAAATGGATTTTTGAAATTTAATTTCAGTTCGGAGACGACTATTGATCAACTCATAGGAAACCTAACCCTAGACAAGGACTCAAATCCAAAGTTTGAGTATGGAACTTTCTCAAAAGCGTTTAAAGAGGGAATCCCTCTCATTCTTGATGAATTTAATCTTGCTCATGAAGATGTTCTGCAATGCATTGAATCATCGTTGGATACTGAAGAATTGTTCGTTGATGATCCATCATTGAATAATGCCCCGATAAAAATGCATCCTGCATTCAAATTGATTGCTACTCAAAACGATTCAGATAGCTCTTTTGCATCAATGCGTAACAAGCTCACATCAAAATTGACATCTCATTTTCAAGTTATTCAATTCGAGGATTTTACAGATGATCAATTAACAGTTCTTTGTTCAAACTTCAACAAAGAAATTTCAGAAGAAACTATTGACAAAGTCATTAGTTTTCATTATTCATGTTTTAATGATAGCAACAAAGACTATAGTTTCACAATAAGAAATTTGAAAATGGCTCTTCTTTCTACTGATGACGAAAAAGACCTTTATCGCTCTCTATTGTATTACTACGAACCACTTATGGGGCAAGACAAGGCTTTTCTTATTCCACAAAAACTTTCAGAAAATGAAATAATCCAAACTGATATCCCAGATATAGATATCAACCAAATGATCCAAGATAAACATATCCAAAATGTTTGGAAGAATGAAATACTAATAAGTACATTAAGGAAGATTCAATTCTTCATGAAAAATCATCAACCTATACTTATTGTAGGCCCTGATGGCTCAGGAAAGACACAAATTGCAAAATGGGCATCACAATTGTTTTCAAACAACGGTTCTCTTTTCATGGTTTGTCATCCTGAAATGACAACATCTGATTTGATGGGAGGTTACACAACGTCCTCAAATTCTTTACGTATTGCAGATTGGAAAGATGGTCCCATCATAAAGGCTGCAAGTAAAGGGCTAGTTCTAATCATTGATCAACTTGAAAGCGCTTCTCCACAAGTTATTGAAAGAATCAACCCAATTCTCGATGCTTACTCAAATATTTTATTGAATGAGAAAACACAATCAACTAACAACACAAAATTCAATGTTCCAGAATGCTTTGAAGATCTCCAAGTTGAAATCAATAAGGATTTCAAGATCATTGCTACAGCATCTAAGAGTCAATTAAAGAATTTATCTCCTGCATTAAAGAATCGTTTCACAATTGTTGAAATAAATTCTCAAATTGATAAAGAGGACTCAAATCAACAAATCCAAGAACTAGTTTCTGCATTAATTGAGTCAAATCAAGGAAATAATATTTCAATCAATTATTTAGTAATCAAAAGACTTGTTAACATCAATAATATTTCCGATATTTCAAAGATTGTTTCAGGAATACGACTAATATGCTCGAAATATCCTCAATTTAACGATGTAAAAATACAAATTCAAGTTTTTGAAGCATTGTATGATATATATATCAACCATAAAACGCCACAATTAGATCGCAGTATCATAGATATAGTACTTAAAACTATTACAGGAGAAACAAAAGGTTTCTACTTCAAAGAATCCCCAGAACTAGAAAATATTGTATCACTTATAATATTGATGCAAAACATCGGCCAACATATTGTCCTGCAAAGTGGAACGGGATTTGGAAAGACATCAGTTGCAGTTGCACTCGCAAAAGGATTAAAATTTAACCCATATAAGGTATCATTTAATGCAGAAACAAAATTATCGGATTTAATAGGAAACATCACAATTACTCGCGGAACCAGTGACAATTCGAAAGGACAATTACTTCGTGCTATTAAAGAAGGAGGTTTCTTCATTGCAGATGAAGCAAACCTGGCAGATAACACAATCCTTCAATCTCTTGTTATTGCATTAGAGCAGAAACCTGGTGAAGAAATCGAGATTCCTTCAGAAGGCACGACTAAAATACATGAAAAATATTTCTTCATTGCTTGTCAAAATGATAGCACAATGTTTGGTCGCAAACCATTACCACAAGTACTTCTTAAACGTGTGGTTTGTTTTGAATATCCATTTCCTGAGAGTTCTCTATTTAACGTCATTAAAGAAATTACATCAGAATATAAATTAAGTCTTATGAACAAGCTTTTGACGAATTTTGTTAAATTATTGTACAATGAATTCAAGCACAACGAAGCAATTCGTCCATGGTCATTCAGAGAAATTAGAAGATTCTGTAAACGAGTCACAAACTCAGAACAGATTGAAATCTTCCGTAATAAAAAATGGAATATTGCAAATCCTGAAGAGGTTCAAATTTATCACGCATTGTTTATGTCATGGATGATGTGTCCTGTTCCAGAACAAGCCTCAAAGACAATATCAGAAATTGTTGAAAAATCATTCCAAAAGGTCAACTCTTCAGAATTAGAAAATATTTTGTTATCAAATGCAGTTCCACAAGGAAAGTATGTCGTTAAAGGGAATATTAGAATTAAATCAGTTGCTTCACAAAGCAATAACGAGGAAGTTATTCAAGCAACCCAAGGAATTGCTTCATTCTGGAATGCTGTTTTCCTGTCTTCTCTGATTCCTTCAAATGAGCCAATTCTTATTGTTGGTGAATCTTCGTTTAAGACATATTTAGCCAATTCAATTATGGCAAATCCAAGCCAAGTCACTTTAGGAAGTGAAACTACAACAGCTTCATTGATTGGCCAAGTTTCATATGTCAGACAACAAACATATGATCAAGCAATGCTTGATTTGCTTCATACAATCATGATCTCAAATCCTAAACTTTACAAAGATTTCAGAGATTTCAAAAAGAATTTCATCAGAGATAAAGAGCATCTTGACAAATTACAAGAGTTCATCAAACAGTTAAAAGTTCCTTTCCTTCAGAAATCAATCGATCATATAACAAAGCAACTGATTGCAGATGAACCAGACCCATCAAAAGTTCATTCTGCAATAAGTAATTACACAACAATCTTCAAACCTGGTTTGATAACACATCAAATCTTTAGCCAAAGTCCAATTGTTATTAAGAACTTTTCAAAGCCACCAACATCTGTTATTGAAAGATTCAATGAACTCATTGACATTGAGCCAGAATTAACTCTCAATGAAGATTACACAAATACTATCACTCCACCTGATTATAAAGTAATCAAAATGAGCAACTCAGATAAAACAAGATTCAGGATTGTTGCTTTAAGTTCTTTGATCGATTATAACAGGATTTCCGAAGCCATGAGATCAAGATTTAATATCGTAAATATCAAGAAATATTCGAATGAGAAAATCAAAACAATAACAGGTTTCTCTGACGAATACATCAAAGATTTCAATTTCCATCAATTAGTTTTGATGAAATCAATTATCACAAAAATCCAGGAAATTCATAGAACAATTCTTAATTCATCTCAAGAAATACCAAGAGAAGAACTAGAAAGGGAAGCAGCAAGAATTATGGGAACAGAAGATGTTGGTTGCAAAGAATTTATTAGTCCTTTACAGGTCGATAATGGACATTTGAAATCAGATAATCCATACATACTCTCTTATTCTGCTCCAAACTTTGATCCATCAAAAACGAATATTGTTTTCACAAAAACAACGCAAACAATGTGCGATAGAATCTTCACTGCTTTGTCCTTCGATATTCCGATCATCATTCAAGGACCAACAGGAACATGCAAGTCAATGCTTGCCGATTACGTGGCAAATTCTATTAAAGATTTCGCAAATAATAATCATGTTATCAAAATCCAATTATCAAGATCTACAACTGTTGAAGATTTGTTCGGAAGAAATTCAATTAAAGTTGATAAAAATGGAAACAAGACATTTGATTATATTCCAACCGAACTGTTTAAAGCAGCTACAGAAGGTTCCCCTCATAGGTCATTGATCATAATTGAAGAGCTTAATCTTGCATCACCAAGTTTAATTGATGCATTAACTTCTTTGTTTGACAATAATCCTAATTCAAAGATCATGAAAACAAATGGCGAATCAGAGAACAAAGGAAAATACTCCATAATTGGCATTGCTTCCGGAAATGTTCCACCTGCTCTCAAAAAAGCATCAATATTCTTTAAGAGAGATGTATATACAAACAATGAGATGCGAGCTGTCTGTAGTCCTCTCTTAAAAGCATATGAGTCCAGCAAATTCATCAATTACTTCACGACATTGAATCCTCGTAATTGTATAATGTTTGTACAGTTAATATATTCATTTAACAGTTCTGATCAAAATATGCATTTACTTTTAGATCTTGTTACACATGATCAGAAGTCTAAGTCAAATGAATGGGAAAGTATTCCAATTTCACATGAATCCAGAATGTCGATCTTGAAAGTTGATAAAATCAAAGTTGAATGTTCAACAATCGGAAATAAATATGATCCGAAAATCAAAGAAAAGCTTTTGAGTTTGACAGCAAGCGAACAAAAACTATTTGTCACGTTGGCGGCCAATACTCATAAGAGGTTCCCATTGATTGTTACAGGAGGAACAGCATCAGGAAAGACATATGCAATTCAATTGTTCGCACAAGCAATCAACAAGAAGCTTCATGTTATTCCACTTAATGCGGATACATCAATTTCAACGATAACAGGATCATATAAGCCATCAAAGTTTGTTAACCAAGCAAACATCGACAAAATCACCAGCAAATTAAAAGAAGATCCTGCCTTTGATGATGTTTCCATATTAATTAGAGAATACTCAAAGAATCGCATGGAAATTAAGAAACTCCAAGAAATCGAAGCTCAGATTAATATAGTTCTTGAAAATACAAGTGAAGAAAAACACCAGAAAATTGGTAACGAAGCCAAATCATTAGTTTCAACAGCCAAACACTTAATCAATAACTTAGAATACTCAGAATCCAGTTTAGTCACAGCTATGAAAAATGGTGATTGGATATTATTTGATGGTGTTGAATCATGTCCTTCAACAGTTATGGAGAGAATTATCACTTTGCTTGATTTTGAACCATCATTGAATCTCTATGAAGTTGATGAAGGTGTTGTTTACTCTTCAAAGCCATCTTCTTATCAACAACATAAGATTCAAGATGGTTTTAGAATTATCTTGACATATAACAATGTCGGAACTCACAAGAAAACTCCTTTATCTCAGTCAATTCTCTCAAGATGCGCAATATTAAAGATGGATCCAATAGATTCTGACACTAAAAGCACTTCTAAAATTTCATTATTCGAACTCCCAGATAAAAAATACGAATTACCAGACGGAAGTTACAATAAATCTAATATTGTTGCAAGAATTGCGAAATTGCACGATGAAATGAAGAAATTGCAGAAAGATGGTTCTAGCTACGAACTAACAGGAAGAAGCATATCAAGAATCTGCAGATTGTTCACTTCAATGAGCGTAAATACTGAAGGTGAATTCATTCCATATCAGCAAATCAAGAAGGCTCTTTTGATAACTTATAATAATATGATAAGTAAAATGGATGAAGAAGACGATGAAACAAATCAAAAAATTTTGGAAATATTCGAACAAGCTCCTGATGATCAAGAAGTAGAGAATTTGAATGAATTGTATAAGCAAACATTCATTGAAAGCAGCAAATTGAAACAAATGATTGAAGAATCTTTGTTACAGGATGGTTTTGTAAGTAATATATTCAGTATTATCGAGCGCGCATTGTTCAAAGATGTTTTTGACCTCGATGAATTCATGATTGATCTAACACAAAAGTTCAAAGATTTACATGCAAACGATTTCGAAAATAGGGAAACAAAATGGTACGCCGACTATATTTTCCTTTCTCAATTGCAAGACATTATTCACTCGCTTTCAAAACTTGATGATAATGCAAAATCAGAGATATCACATTTTTCAATATCAAGTATTTCCCAAATCAAGAAAGAATTAGCAGGCATTTTAACAAAATTCGCATTTATTTCTCAAACATGTTATTCATGCCAAGACATAAGTATCCCAATTGAATTCACCTCGGAAGTAAATATTTCTGCTTTGAATGGAATATCTGATGAAGTTAAGAACAATATATTTAAGTTTCCATTTTTATATTTCAGTATTCCAGGAATTGAGAAGATTTCAAAGTTCTTTGATGGCATTTACAAATTAATCTTTGATACTTACATTTATTGCTTTGCAATTTATCAAACAGATTTTCGTTCTTCTCTAGATCATTTCGTTTCAATTATATATGAAGTTGCTAGGCCATCAAACACAATAAATATCAATGATCTCGTAGAATCTCTATCTTTAGATGAATTTTCCAGTTTAATATCATTGAAGAAGTCATTCAAAGAATACAGTAATAAATTCGAAATTCCATGTGAGTTTATGGATATGTTAAATCAACTACAAATTAAATTCGACGAATTGAACATCATATCAGAAGATGAGAAGAAATGGAACAAACTCAAAGAAGACTATCCAGATTTAGGTTATCTATTCACGTTAACAGAAGGCATTTCTTGGGTTCCAAAAAGCAATATCCAAAATACAATTATAAATCTCGCAAAAATGGAGAAACCAATATCATATAATAAGTTATCATTATATGTTAATCAAATTGATCCGAATAACTGTGACAAATCTAGATGGTTTTCTATTTTAATGGATTACTCATATGATATCACTTTACTCGAAAATCTAAAGAATCCTAAAAAATGCATCTCTTCACTTCTGAAATTAAATGAACGAAAGTACAATGTTGGTAAAATCTTAAAGACATTCAATGGTACTTATTTAACTGTGAGTCAATCCGATGCTGATGCTTTGATAAATGATATGCTGGCGAGATATTTGGAAAATATGTATGCATTCAATGACAGTTTACTTGATGTTGGTAATTTAATTGAAAAAGTTGACAGTTACATCAACAAAGTAGAATTGGTTAGCAATGATTGGGCTGTTTTTGTTAGAGAAAATAACAAAAAGTATGATATTAACCAAGAGATCATGATTCCAAAATACACTGAACCAAGCATTCGCAGATTCTTATCAAAGGAGTGTGGTAAAAATTTCAAATCGAAAAAGGATCTATTACAACACTTAAAGGAGGATCAATCTAAGGAGTTCCTTTATAGTATGCTAATTAACCAGCCAAGCATGAAAAAATATAACACATCCGATCGTATTCAGTTTGAGGATTATGAAGAATGGTATATTGAAAATTTCCCAGCCCAGGGCTTATTTTTGCTCAGAAATCCAGACTTCATTAAGCTCATTGAAATTCCAAATGAGAGACTTACATTTGGTCTATTTATGCTGAGAGTTGTTTCTTCATTCAAACAAATTACTTTTGAAACAACAAAATTCACACCAGAAATGTCGAAAAGCATAAATGATTCCATCCAAAAGTTGTTGTTAGATCCTGATAACAATAAAGGCATTATAGTTGCATTATGTCTGTCTAATCCTCCTTATTCACTTAAGCATTTCTATACTTGTTTACTTCATGATTCACTAGTTCAAGCCGCAACATTTTTGGATGATGACCAATATGTAAAGAAAGCAAACATGCTCATAGGTGAATACTTAGAACAAGCATTAAGCAATTGTAATCCTTTGACTAAACAGAAATGGAGTTCTTTCATTGGAAGCAATACTGATTATCTTTTGAATCCTATTAAATCCTTCATCAATTTCTGCAATTTTCATATCAGTGATAAGCTGAATGAGCTGAAAGCTTTTAAAGATAAAACAGAAAAAGAATTAAAGATGAAAGAAGATAAGATTAACGAAGTTCTTCCTGAGTTAGAAAAAGCGACGAAAAAAGAAGATCCGAATTGTTTCATTCAACGATTTAGACCAGATAATTATTCAGAAAATGTTATCAATGCTTATGAAAGTTATTCAAGCTGCTTATTGACTATTTTGAATTCATTAACAAAGTTTGAGTGGTATAAAAAGGGAACACAAATTAAAGATTTCGATCAATCAATTAAGTTGTACAAATTCATTAAGAAATTAAAATATTGCGATCCTGCTCACTATGAAGAACAAATCTATGTTATTTATATACATAATTGCGCAACCGATACAATTACATTCACTAAGAAAGATGATCAAGATGTAACAGTCAGCTTCTACGTTAGACCAAAGGTTGATTCATTTTTGGTTGTTCCAGAGAAATATATCAATGATATTGATGTTCCTAAATCCTTAGAAACTATCAAATTGAATGTTTCTAAGATGGCAGAGGTAACAGATGAAATCAATGTTGATATGCTCATTAAAGCATATAGAAAATTCTATGATGAAAAAGTTAAGGATCCTAATGCAATGGATAGTTATTATGCTTCAGGTTCAACTGTTATATTTAACACTAGTGAAAGCAATTATAACTTTGATGATATCAAAGATCTTTTTAAGAACACCCAGTCAGGAATTAGCTATTTAACAGAGTTCGAAAGCAAATTCATGAAGCCCCAGTTCGAAGGAAATCCTGATCAAATACCAGAAAAGACACAAGAAATTATCAACAAAATACATCTATTGGTAAAAGAGCACGACAGATTGGTAACCGAAATTCGCAAATATGAATCTGAAATAGCTCTACTTCCAACGCAGAGATTCGATCCTCCATCTGAACAAAGCAGTAAACCAGATATCAAATTGAACAAAACAAACAATATTACTATTGATTTTTCAAATACAGACAGCTCAGTATTTAACTTGGCAGCAATCAATATTACAAATGATTCTGTTAATCCATCATTCAGAATGATCAAAGCTGATATTCCAGGTATATTAAGAGGAATCCAAACAACTCCTATTTGTATACCAATATATGTTTTCGGAAATGCATCAAAAATCAGGATAAAATTCTATCCTTTAGATGAAACACCTCTTCCTGCATACGAGATTAATGAATCTCAAGTTAATTTATTATTCCCAATCAATGGTATAACAAATGACATAATATTTACAGGAATGGTTGATATTAACACTCACAATATTAATTATGAAGTTAAAGCTCACTTTATTGATTCAACAATCTTCATTGACTCCCCTGGAAACTCATTCATCAAGGATACATCCGGTATTTCATTTGAAAAATCATTTATCGAAGAAGATAGTATTCCAATTATTTCTACAATACCTGGCCTGGAAAATCCCAAGCAAACAATTTTGGTCGAAAACATAAATACTGCTTTTCCGAAATCTCCAATCCAATTCAAAGATGATGACCAAACATTTATTATCAAGGGTTTAACACATGACAAAAAAGAAAATAAAATTAGTGGTATAGCTTTCAATTGTTATCATACATCAAATGAAGATTCGCGGATTATCATCAATTCTCCTGATTTCGCAGAAAAAAGAAATGTGGATTTGAGGATTTTATCTCCACCATATAAATTACTCTCTGAAAAATCAGAAATGGAAATTGGAAACTGCTACAACAAATATTATTTTGTTTTATGTTTCATTATGAAATATGCAGAAACACCAAGAATTGATGTGAAGTGCTCTGATAATGTCAAAATCCTAAATCAAAATATCTTTCCAACTTTCTCAGTTCCACAATCACATGTTGTTATCGGAGTGGAGATGAAATCAATTGCAAAAAGATACGATGATCCATCATCCCTTATACTTTCAATCAATTCACAACAATTCCAATGGACACGCTCTATCAAATTGTTTACGAAGAAGCCCGATAAAAGAATCAATTTCGATCATAGTTATGTTTTGTATAACAGCATTAATTATTCTCTCCATGAAAATAATAAATACATTCCACGTGTATATTATGATGAAAAATTTGGGACAATACTTACAAATAATACAATCAAATGCTTGATAATAAATGATCATTACCAAGTCGATTATTTGAATTACAATAATAATATTAAAGATAAATGCGTCCTACTTTCCTGGCAATACTATGTTGATTCAGGCAAAAATGAAGTATATTGGATTCCTGCTTTTGTTCCAGGGACAGGTGAAATACAAACAAGAATATTACAAATGTCTGAAGATAATGTAAATGATCTACTAAACTTTTTGCGTAGATTCTTTGGAAAAAATAGCATTGTCACAATTAAGAACATAATAAGAAACTTCAAAGGTTGGAGTCAAAAATGCAATTCCATTTGCGAGTTCATCATGGCTCAATTGACAGAAAAATACAATAAAATTATCAATGACGATTATCAGCTTACAAACGATGTTTCTTTTGATGTTGGTAAAATTAATTCTCTAAGAGAGAATAAATTTGATCAAGGAATCATAAACAAGCATATAAGAAATGTTGAAGATGACACTCGTCAAGATGCACTTAAACTTCTCCCATCAAAGAATACAACAATTCTCATGCAATACACGCAGGATGAATCCAAATTATCATATGAATCCAAAATTATCACTCAACAAGAAAGAAATGATATTCTTGAATCAATTTCCAAGATGACATCAGTAGAACCAAAACTTGAATTAGAAATGGTTCCCAATACAGAAAATATCAGAGATGAAGTCATTTTCAAGACAATAACATCAGCCAAAGCAATTTATGACAGAATCTCTGAAGTTGTTCCTCGATGCAGAAAATTCCTTTTAATGATGGCAAATTACGCTGATTACACAAAGGAGTTTCCAGTAGAAAAAGCACAAAAAGAAATAAGATACTTGGCTGCTTTTCATAAATGGTCAAGTGATAAAAGGACTCTTAAAAGCACTCCTTTCCTGACGCAATGCATTGAATTTAATAATGGTTTTACATCACTTATCAATATCATGCAGAAAGCTGGATGCAAAATTGAAAACATCAATATTGAGACTACCAAACTCACTCCTTTGATCATTAAACCAAGCCAATCTCCTATTTCTGTTGAAGAATTTCGAAAGGAATGGACAATACAGAGAAATGTATCAGTGTCACTTTATCTTCCATCTTTTTCTGTTCCACCTATTCAGCCTAACCCTAAACCTAATCCACCTGCACCACCGAGACAAAATAAAAAGTTGTATAAAGGAGATAACGCAACAATTAATATTAAGTATAAACCAGACTCAAATGGAACTTCCGGTAGAACCCAAGATAAACCAGAAGATATTTACAAATTCATGATTAAAAATATTGATAAAATCCAATATTACCAAGATGATGCTAAAGAATTTAATTCAGTAGTTTCAGATATCAAAGATATCCCAGAGAAGAACAATTTACCGATTGACGAATTCATTGCTTACACTACCGAAACTACTTATCAAATCATAAAAGAATTCAATAGCAAGACTATTAATATGGATTCTGAGATTGTATTAATGCTTGATATTAAATCAATCACACCAAATTCAATCAAACTTGATAATTTCTTATACTTTATTGCATTTGCAATGGCAATTTCACAGCTCGGATTTAGCTATAGATTACTTGCATTTGCAGATCGTAACTTCCAGTATTTTGAAATCAAGAAATTATCTGAGAAACTACAAAGGAAGCATCTTCAAGTCGCTCTTGAAATTCTTGATACTAAGAGAACATGTGCAGATCCATTATTTTCAATTAAATCTATCATTAAACAAGACATAGAGAAGTCATTCAGCTTCTTTGTCTTTACCGATGGAAACCTCTTGAATACTAATTATACAATTTGGCAAGAATGGGACAATGGAACAAACAGCAGAATTACATATTTCTTGAAACCTCCTAATGAGGAAGAATACAAGGTTCCGATTATCAAACAATACAAAACTCTGAAGAAGAATCATAATAATATCAATTATGCAATAAACATGGAAGGATTCAACCATAATAAAGAGTTTATTGATGCATTTATCAATGGTATCAGTACAGGAAATGGAAAAGTTCATAGAATTGATAGAAATGTTGAGCTCAAACTATCAGAGAATGACTCCAATATTCCTATTGTTTGTTCATTTAAGAAATTGCCAGAAACAGATTCTCAATTTGTTTGCATATCTGAAGTTATTCAGGCATCTATAACCAGACAAGATGAAGTTATGATTCCAAACGTTTCAGAATATATTTCTCCAACTAATAAATCAGAATTCGAATTAGAAACATTCAGACAAAATATTGAAGCAAATTGGGTTCAGGACGAACTATTTCCTCCAAATAAGCCAATGCAATATATTCCATCAGAAAAAGGTAATGGTTTATCTATGGCTGGTCTAATAAGATTCATTATCACGGATGGTCAAGATCAGAGATTCAGATTGGACAAATGCGCTGGCTATGTTCCAAATTATTCATTGTTCTTCGTCATAGATTGCAGTGAATCATCATCAGGAATTCTCTCACTCCAAGCAACACGTCAAACAGTTTTCTCAACATTATTGGCTTTCAAGGATTGTGAATTCCCAATCACTATTATTCTTGCAACATCTGATGGACCAGCTGCGGTCTGTATCAACAAGAAGAAAGAAGAAATATTTGTAGAGAATTCTCCTGTTTTCACAGAGATATACAGACTACTTACTGAATCCCACGGATTGTGCAGTTTCTCTCAAGCTTTAATTGCAGCTTTCAACCTTAGATACAGACAAACTGAACAAGAATCAATTTTAATTGGTATAACTAATGGCAATTTCACTCAACATGAAATGGATGCAGTTGGAACAGCCATATCATCCTTACAATCAATTAGGACATATCCAATTGGTGTTGGTGTTGGAATCACTCCAACAAAGATATCAAAAGTATTCACAAAATCGATCTGGTCTTCAAATCCTTTGTCAATTGCCAATTGCTTCCAAACTTTACTAGAATTCGATCCTAATGAATGTAAAACAAAAGGTAAAATTTCCGATCCAGCTCTTCCAAATAAAATCCCTAAACTAAATGAATTGCATAATATTTTAATAAGCAAACAAGATAGAACTTACACAGAGCTCACTGATAAACTAACTGATATTCTGTTCTTTGATTCTGCTGAAGATTCCTACATGAATGAAAAACCAGAAATTCAGAAATTACCAACAAGCAAACCTGGAAGTGAGATTTATGATCAAGAACTACCTAATGTTGATCTTGGAGAAAACAAGGCTTGGCCATATAATATTCTGATTTGCATGCTTTATGGCTTTACAGCTAGTAATGATGATTCTGATAAGTATGTGACATATAAAACACTTACAGACAAAAATGGTATTGTAAAAGGATTGAGAGAACTCAAATTTAATGTCGGTGTTACTAAAAACTACTGCGATTCTATAGCTGAACTATCATCAGGAAAATATCACCAAGTCTGGGTTATATGTTCTAAAGGTCAAAGAGCCAAACCAACAGATGTTCCAGATATTTCAGAAGACACAACATACATATCAAAGAAAATCAAAGGAAATAAAGATGATTTTGATCATGCATATCAATTTGTTGAAACAGTTGAATTGTTCAGACAAAATGGTGGAGGTGTTGCATTTTGGGCAGACCAAGGATTTACTTTTGAATTGAATTATTTCTTAAAGCATGTCAAATTATATGATTGTGACAAAATCGAAAAAGAAAAGAATCAAGAAAAGATACCAATAAAGCTTAGATTCCACGATGGAGATCCAGTTAAGGAAAAAGTATTGCAAAGAAGGTTCCCTAAGAATTTCACGAAGATGTCATTTGATGCTGATGATTATAAATGGATATCAAACTACAAGTACTATCTTTATGGATACAATGTTTCCAAACTGATGGAAGGAACAACAATTGCCGGCGCAAGAATTCCTGAGGGATTATCATATGATCAGATTTGCGATCACATTAAGCCATTCAGACCATTTTCCCTCAGCTCAGAAAAAGGTTTAGTTTCTGGCTGTTATTACGTTGCTCCTAAGTTCTCTAACGAAGGCGACATCATCATTGATGGTGCATCATCTAGACTCTTCAAGGAACTGAATTTAGAAGGTGTCAAGAGATTGGTCAGAAATATGGCTTGCTGTCTTATTAACAAAAAGAGATATATTGCCGAAACAGGTTCTTACATTGATAAACTCCCTGTTCCTCTCCTCAAGATACCTAAAATACCAGTTGAAAAACCAATTGACTGTTCCAAAATTAAAATTAAGCCGATTGATTTAGTGTACATTTACGATGCAACTCAATCGACTAATTCTATCAAGAATACTATTTATTACCAGATCGAGAATTCAATAGATTGGTTCAAATATTCAATTTATGATGTCCGCATTGCAGCAATTGCATTCAGAGATTATGCATTGGCTGTTAAAGAAGATTTTAATATTGAACGTAACTTAGTTGATGTAATTGATTTCAAAGATATTACTGATGCTTCAGAAATCTTGGAACAAATCAGAAGCTTCCCTTGTAAAGGAGGAATGGGCGATGGTCCTGAAGACTGGAATTCTGCATTTGAGCAATATTTCACTCTCAAATTCAGAGAAAATTCCACTAAAATTGTTTTCTTCATCACAGATAATGGAACACATCATCCAGACTTCCATAGAAGTCCAGTTATTGATGGCGATGATTACAGTAGTGCGTATTATAGTCGCCTGTCTAATTATGAAATTGATGACTACATAATTTCTGAAGAAAGAATGAGTCAACAACAGAAATTGGAATACTTCATAGATCGACTTGCAAAACAAAACCCATTCTGGATTTTATGTCCATTCGGTCGCTCTGCAACTCATCCACTGAATACTTTCAGGAAAAGCCTGATCAATAGAAATAATAACACTAAATCAATTACAATTACATTTCGTAGCTTCTATCCAAAAAATTGGAGATTTAATCCAAAGAAAATTAAATTAATTGATCATGTCAAATTAAATCCTGAATCTGATGAGGTAGATGGTTTATCCAACAAAGAGCTCAATAATATTTATTCAGACATATTCAAGTATGTCAAGGCCTATATTGAAGAGGTTGTTACTATGTTTTAAATAAATATTTTATTATTTTATTAATTTTTATTATTGTACCTGAAATAAGTTGTAGACAGAGTAATTTGCAAACTCAAAATGATTTATTTGATTGCCCAAAAATGTATTGAATTAGTTAATCAAAGATTGTTTATATCGAATTTCAATAGTAAGGAACTCTAGGTATAATCCCAGAAATTTGCTGATGAAGATACAATTTCAGGCATATTTGATATTCCCACTTATTTGACATCTTCTCACTCAAAAAAGTATTTCAATTTACAAACATGGGCTTCTAATGGTGCATATAGCAGACTTCATTGAATTTGGATTAGAACATATAATATTTTTGGGGATTAGAAAATCATACATTATTAAACGAATTGTAGTTTTCCCTTTATTAAGATATTGAAAATCTGACAAAATTGTTTTGTGGCTGTTGGATTAAATCAAATTATTTTAAACACTAATTAATGACATACATATTCATTAAATTGATAATTTGAATTCAATTTTTTGAAACTGAAATTAAGAAGATTTAAATGATATCACGTTCATATACTGTCTAAGTGCTCATAATTTGTAAGCGTTATTCAGAATTATCGCATTTATTTCGATAGTTTATGTTAAACTATAGTGAAAACAGCAAGGGACAAGCATTGTTCTTATGCTATTCTTCCTAGATACCCTTATTTTTCCATTCCTTATGACTAAATTTGTATTATATTATTATGTATGTCCATAATATAAAGATTAATTGCAAAGCCAGTTCTTAGCACGCGAGAAACAGTCAGACTGTTGAAATCTTATTTTCTGTTTGTAATCAGTTTATTTTACAATTCCAGCTTGCTTATATATGATATTTTTATGATTTTGATTATGTTTTGATAATTAGAAAATTTATCTATTCTTGCTTATCGCTGAATGGGATTTTTGATTAATTTAGTTCTAATTTATGGCAGAAAGCTTATAATTTTTACCTAAAGATATTAAATCTCATGCCAAATACATTTGTATAGTAAAATAGTGCTACAATTTATTGTTTTGACAATTTACATGACATTTTTGTTAGATAGAGAAAAAAAACCGCCAATGGCGGGGAAATTTTAAAAAATAATGAAAGAAGCTAAATTGAGAAGAGTTAATAAATTGCCAGACTTTTGGATACCATGCCCCGCTTGTGGAACACCTATTCCTGTCCCTGGTAAAGATAATTTCTTCTTTGTTCCAATGAAACGCCCGTACCCTGATCAATATCAAGCATTCTTACCAGAAAAAAAGAAATGGACTGTAACTAAGATGGTCGAATATATGCACGCAAAGATTAAGTCAGAGAAAACAAAAACATTCTTTTATTTTGATACTGAAACAATTGAGAACGAAACATTAGACCAATTAAAAGAGCAAGATGTTTTAAATGTTCCATTTTCACCAGAAAGATACAGAGCGGTTGATGTTGATGACTTCTGCTTAAAAGTCAATTCATATATTGACAATCCATCATTATCAACCTTCAATGTTTATTTGATTGTTGCATCTCTTCATGGAGGAAACAGTTCTGGCTTCTTTATTTCCAGTTATTTAATGAAATTTGGAAAATTTTCGTTTGATGATGCAATCAAGACATTCACCAAGTCAAGACCACGCGGATTTTATGACAAAGAACCGCTCGAACAACTTGCTACACTTGTTGCTGAGAAAGTCAAAATTCCAGACCTCAAAATGCCAAAATGGCTTAAAGAGAACAAATACATTGGTGCAACATCAGAAATTACACTTCCAATGGAATCTACACCTTCATTTGAGAAATACGGAGGCGTTGAAATGAAAGATCAAGCTCTTATTACAAAATTACAAGAATTAGTTAATGGATCTCTTGAGGAATCATTTGTTAACTCAAAGTCAACAATCATACCGGTATTCAGGGTCTGGAAAGATACAATGAAAGAAGAATTTGCCAAAAACGTTTACAGAATTTCCTTCCAACCACAGGGAACAAATGTTATTCTTTGTTCTGATGATGAGCGCTATTTATACATTCATTACGGCTTTAATCGCTTCTGGAGATTCGATGCAAAAGTTATGACAGACTTACCGTTCGTTGCTGTCGGAGTTGTTGTTCCTATGGAAGAAAAACTTCATTTGTACTTATCAGATATCCTCAGAATTGAGAAAAGGTCCTTCCTCAAAAATGATATTGATATCAGAACGTCTTCTATTTGGCATTACTTACTTCCAAGGATACAGACAAATCCTAATAATAGATTAAGGCTTCTCTATAGACCTGTTGGCCGCTTAACAGATTGTGCAACAAAATTATTTGACGATACAGTCAAATTCTACGAAAAATTCAAATTTGACGTAGATGGAATCATTCTCATTCGTCGCCGTGGTACTATGGGTAATTTCATATACGTTCCACAGCGTCAAACTCTCTTATTATTCATGAGAATGTCATCTGCAGTCGATGGTCTTCTCTACGCCCGTACTGATGATGGAAATGCATTGGTCGCAGTCAGGCACATGGATTTGGCCGAGAATCCTGTTCGTGGAGCTCTCGATAGTTTCGTCATCAGATTTGAAGTCGATCCGGCTGATGGAGCCCTTATCCCCGTCTCTGTGTGCAAGAATGAATTGCCATCCACGTACAGTTTCTACACAGGAATCGTTGAGTTCTACAAACAAAAGATGAAGTCAAGAGACGTTGTCAAATTCTGGCAGGACGAGGCTATAAAGAGAATGCCACAGCCTGCTCCTAAATAATCTATTGTTTTCACTAATAAAGTCCTTCAATTATTATTAACCATGATTCTATGTTATTATTCAAAAAAATGCTGTTTTCAAGTATTCCAACAAGCTGTTCTCTAATTTCAGTTGGATTTAACAGCATTAAATAGAAGACATTCCTTCTTTTTATTTTAATTCCAAAAATTAGGACGCCGTTGCTCTCAAATGTTCTCAAAAATTGAGAGTGAAACGTACAGAATTTTCATAATCAAATGCTCATAATCCTGCATTATCTGTTTAAGAAACTTTAATTTCATCATGCATATTAAATTTCTAATTCTTTAAATCTAAACTCGAAAATAAAATTACATCTGATAATAAAATAAGTAAGTAATAATGTGTACACAGTACACACATATATTGATGCTATGATAAAGATAGAGATAAATAACGTAAATTATATTAATCAGCAATTTAACTGATATGACGCTATACATCGATATGTCATATCCAAATTTGGATTTTACCTTATCATTTTTGAAGATATAGTGAAGTTAATGCTATCAAGAGATATAATTCTCTATTATATGAAATGAGCTTTCAAATGTAGCCTATGGCTTCCTTATACCATTTATATTTCATGTTCTTGGTATAAATTATACAAAATCTTTTCTAATGTAGTTTTTTTTACGGAGATCCAAGATTACTCATGAAAAAAAGTGACAATACTCAAGGAATGAATGAAAATGATGCATTAATGAGATTAGCGAAACTCTGTCTGCATGCAGATCCACGTGTGCGCGATCAGAGAAAGATAAAGAAAGCACTCGATAGAAAGCCTTCTTCAAACGAATTCGTACGCTGCCCTTGCAGAAACAATGTTGATGCTTATGATCAAATTTGTTGTGATATCTGTCAGTGCTGGTGCCACTGCCGCTGTGTTGGCAAGACTCCAGATGATAAAGACTCATATGTATGCCCATTCTGTGAAGGTTCGGAGACGATTCAATATCTTAAATCGCAAAACATCGATATCCCTAAGCTTTATCGCTCGATCTATGATGCACAGCGCCGCCAAAAGACAAACTTATTCATAAATTCCATGTACAACGTTTCAAATGTAGTTGAAAACACAGAAAAAGCCCAAAAATGGCTCAAAACGCTTACTTCAAGAGATGATTTGTATCACAATATGGTTAGAGCAGCTGGAACCTGCATGAAAGGCTCAGCATCAACTTCAACAACAGTTGAATTAGCATCCGAAAGAAAAAGTATTAACGAGTTAGCAGATAACTTGTCAGGTTTAATAAATGAGCTTAAAAGTGTACAAACTCCATTAGTTGATAACATTGTTGCACAATGTGTCACATTTCCAAAAGAAAAGAGAGTTAAAAAGCATTTTCTCGATGATACAACTACTGATACTTCCGTTGAATCTGATCAATAGATAAAATAAACTGTATTAAATTATTTTAATTTTTGTTAAATTTTTTATTGTGACAAACTTGTCTTTATATAGCTGCATTCTCGAGTTATGGAATATTTGACCTTTTTCCAAAAAGAATTCGATGATTTTAAAAATTATTTTTGAAACACTTATCTTAACAGGTAAAATAACGGTTGTATGTGAACACTTATTAGTATTAAAGAGTGTATATATCATAAATTAAGAATAGAAAAATAATATTTTACAAATAAAAAAAAACATATATAACGGCATATCAAATTAGGTATATTTCATAATGATGTTACTTGTAGATTGTATTTTCATTATTTATGGGTTCTCTTTTTGACAGAATCTTTCTTATCAGTATTTTTCTTTTGAGGAATCTCCTCTTCTTCATCATTTTGTTCCTCTTCATCATCATATTCTTCATCTACTTCTTTCTTTGCTTCTTTGACTGCTTGTTTAAGACTAGAAAGCTTCTTATAGTTATTGTTAAAGAAGCCTACGCAATTACAACATGTATTAGCAATCTGTACTACTATGAATGCTATTAATGCAATGTAAATTAATAAATTTTTAGAAATTTTCAATCTTGAAGAAGAAATCGAATCTACTAAAGCATTGAACTCAGCTATCTTTATACTTCCATGTTTCATCATAACTATCTTTGCATGTGTATCTTCTAAAATCTCGACAGTAATTGTAAGAGAATCTTCGAGTTTAATCTCAATATGGTAATTTTCATTGTCTTTGTCGTTGATAGTTGAACTAAATTGTTGAATTACATCTGGTATTTTTGGTTGAATATACGTTCCATTGCATGAAATTGAATCAACGTTGAATTTTCCTGCATATATAAGTGAATCATCTAATTGGACAACTTTACTTCCAGTCATTATACTATCTTTCCAAAGAGTAAATCCGTATTCTTGAGCGGAAGTAAGATAATGTAATTCGAATGTGTAGTTTTGCAACTTTGATTGCATCAAAGTCCATTCTGATTCTAAAAATTTGTATTTATCAAGCCTAGAGTATGATAATAAAAACGAAATCATAAAAAAATTAAGAGTGCTTACCACTTTCTGACATTCTCTCACAAAATCAACAAATTCATGTTTTCATCGTAAAAAAAGTATGAGGATCGCATTGGGTACTACATGTGATTTATAACGACTTTATACCTACGAAAAATATTAATCTTTCACATTAGTCATTGGTGTATAAAGTTCGAGATGTCAAAAAAATTGTGAGAATGTCAGAAAGTGTTAAATGCATCCTAAATTTGCATTTCTAGAGAACTAGAATGTATGATCATAATACATTGTCCGACATAAGCATTTTAAGCTGTTTTACTTCATAAAGTGAAGTTGAAAACAAATGAAGAGATTGGATATTTTCAATTATGTTGTTATGTATTTTTACAATAAGAAATAATCAAGGTCTTGAAATGTATCAAGTTTGGCAATGAAGCATCACTCATTTAATATGATTAGATCAGCTATATGATAACTTCCTTCCCAATATCTTCTTTTGGAAAAGTGACAAATAGCAACATTGACCCCCTCTCCAGATTGAATTTAGAATAATCGTTTTTGCACTTGTCGGAAACCTACCACTTTCTGACATTCTCTCAATTTTTTGACACAAAAGCTTTCTAAACCAATATTCTAAGGTCAAAAGTTAATATTTTTGGTCAGGAGAAAGTAAATATGAATCATTATATAGTACCTAATATAACTGTTAAACTTTTCTGCTATTAAAATAAAGATATATTGATTTATTCATAGCATGTCAGAAAGTGGTAAGTACACCCTTAAGGCAGCACTTACACCCATCTGACTTTAATTCAAATTTTTATCAACTGGCGTGAAGCGCCATTGAAATTTAACATTAAACATCTGAATTAAAGACCCTGTCATAGGGGCGTAAGTGCACCCTTAAAAAATTATGAAATGCTGTAAAAAAAAGGTATCATTTACAATGAATTCTCTTATGCTTTTACTGTATTACTAGATTTGATAGAAAATCATGAAAAAAATTATGAAATGTTGTAAAAAAGGTATCATTTACAATGAATTCTCTTATGCTTTTACTGTATTACTAGATTTGATAGAAAATCATGAAAAAAATTATGAAATGTTGTAAAAAAGGTATCATTTACAATGAATTCTCTTATGCTTTTACTGTATTACTAGATTTGATAGAAAATCATGAAAAAAATTATGAAATGTTGTAAAAAAAAGGTATCATTTACAATGAATTCTATAAATATATAATCTCTATAAATTTAGTTAGTTATTGGAAGAATGAGTTCACACGATTAATCTTCTCTTCGATTTCGCCACATACATCAGAAATGAGCTGATCTCTGTTTGAAAATGAAGACAAAATCTGGCCAACAGTTGAAACAAACTGAGGGAAGTAATCTGCAGTCAAAAGTTGGTCTCCGATTTCATCATCATTCATCATCAAAAATCTGATTCCAGCACGAGCGAATTCTTCTGTTACAAGGCTATTATATTTGTTGAACAGCCAAAGGAAGAATCTCGCAACACCGAAGTTTTCGCTCTCATCAATTGTTGATGGCATGTTTTGGAGGATTTTTGAAAGTTGTTCTTTACTGACTTCGAAATTATCACCGTAATAATTTCTCTGCAATTCGCCAATGACGGAAACAACTCTCTGCATGAATTCCTTGAATGATTCGGCTCTTTTCGGTTTCAATTCAAGTTTTCCTTTCAAAACTCCAAAAACTTCTTCCGCAAACTGCTGGAAATACTCTTGAGCGCCTGTTGTGAACTCGTTCAATACCCAGACACCTGTTGGATCGTTGTTCATTGTTCTGGATAATGCGTATTGGTAAACAACGCTCAAATCATCCGGATTCATGTGAATTCCATCGAATTCAACGAAACAACCTAGAACAGGTAACGCGAATTGTCTGAATATCGGTTTCTTGCCTGTAAGCCATAGTAATGATGGAGAAATAAGCTGGCCAATGTGATTTACGGATTCATTTCCATATTCAGTGACCAAAGCTTGGAGTAATCTGGAGAATCCATCAAGAAGATCGGGATCTTCCATGTATTTGCAGCAAGGAAGCTTACTAGCCATGAAATTGCTGACTTTATTCACGATTTGTGATAAATCTTCGCCAATTCTCTTGGCGCTGATATTCTGGACCACGGATATTAATACTTCCACGGCCGAAAATGGCGATATTGGGTCTTTCTGGTCTAATGCCAAAATCTTGAGTGCTTCGTCGATGATTCTTGGCGACCATTCGTGTGCATTGACATCGTACTTGCCTATAACCTCTGTAAAACAGGCCAGAGCGCGGCATCCGGTCTGTAATGCGTCTGCACATCTTGATGACATCTGAACTGAGCAGTTCTCGATCATTCTTTCACCGTATTCGGCAATGATCTCTGGAGAAGAATTCATAAGAAGTGCAGCTAACTCGCATAAAGCTATAGCTGGGGTGGCAAGAATTGAATACTTTACACGGCCATTATCGTCTTCATCTTCCTCTTCCAAATCGAAGGTCATATTCTCGTTCATCATGTTGATTCTTTGCTGGACTTCTTCTTGGAGGTTGGCATTGGTGTCGACGCTTCCCATTTCAAGTAATTTCTCCATAAGTGCTGGGAAATTCTCCTGGAAATTAGTTTTGTAGCGCATTGACATGGCTCCAATGAAATGTAGTGCGGCAACACGAATATCATTATCGTCTTGGTCAAGGAGCTGGAAAATAAGCTCCATAAAGCCATTTACGTCTACAGCAAATCTATCTGGGCAATGGCGGCTCATATTCGAGATAGAATCAACGATGGATGGGATCAGGAACGTATTGTTAGATATACATGTCTCCAAAAGTGAGAATAACTGAGATTTAATTCCATCATAGTTCTGTGGGACGCCTTTGCTTGCGTGGCTGATAAGAGAGACAATGCATTCGAAAATATTCATGTGGAGATGCTGATCTACTGACTCTAAGCATGAAACTAAGAAAGAATAAGTATCTACAAAAATTGGATCGGTATCTGAGACTTCTTTGAACAAATTATTGAGTGAATTGAGTGCTTCTGGTGAGGACTCGTCTTCTAATGACTTCTGGAATGCTGCAAGACCTGCTTGTGTAAGATCTTCGATATAATCATCAAGTAATGTGCCGAACGTCAATGGAATCTGTGCAATCGCATAAGAAGCAATATCACGAGCAAGAATGGCGTCGGATTGAGCTAAAATCTGGATCAATTCGACTATATTTGGAATTTGTGACTCGTAATCGTTTCCTTGGTTCTCGAAAAGGTTTGCATAAGTAAGAAGGAGACCAGGATAGTGCTGTTCTTCAACTTCCGAGTGGATTTCGATGACATGATCGATGAAATCCGGATATTGACTGAAAGCTTCACTGAAATCATCGAAAATATTGATTTCTGACATGGTCAAGCTATCGTTTGGATTTTCATTGAAAATTGCTCCGGATAAATCCAAATAATTATTGAAAAGTGACTTTGTAAGCTCTGAATCCATCATACTCTCTGTCACACCTACATAAGGGAATGTAAGGTTGATTAAATTGGCAAATTTGACTTGAATAGAAATATTAATTTCGGAACTACCGATAAATGGCATGAAATGGTTGATGATAAGGAAAGGATCGACAAATATAATTGGATCCTCGCTACCAACAACTCTCATAATGAGGTTATAAAGAGAATCAAAAATTTGATTGTTATTTATGTTGTCTTGAAGGGCTTGTAGTGTATTTTCGAATATTGTCTTGAAGAATGTGCATTCTTCTGACTCTTTCACGGCTTCAAGTGCTGGATCAAAGTCTCCATCTTCTTCCGGAGCTTCTTCTCCTTCAGCAGCTGCATCGTAGAGCTCGTTCAAGCACTGATCGCCGAAATTGAACGCAAGCTCGTAAGCTGTGATTGGCTGAGGAAGTTGCAAACCAAGTTCAATCGAATCTTTAAGGACTTGTAAGTAATCAAGGAGTTCACGAGCTTTTGATCGGAGTAAAAGTAATGCAGCTTGCATTAAAACTTGATTTTCTTGATTGTTATTCTCAGAAATTGCTTTGATTGCGTTTTGAGCGAAATCTATGATTGTTGGAGCGATATCATCGAGATCTAGTGTTTCGAATGCATTTCCAAGATGTCTTTGTGTTTGGTAATCTTGCTCTCTGGCTATTAATTCGACAATTTGATTGCCAATTTGTAATCTCTGTTCATTTTCGAATTTTTCTGAAAGCAAGGAGTTGTTTTGAGAAAGTGAGATAGCTGCTAATGATTTTATCTTTGAATTTGTTGTTTGTTGTAAGATAGAGATATTTGCCTGAATAATGTTGGGATTTTGACGCGCTTCTTCGATAAATGAGTAGTATTTTTCAATATCAGCAGAGTTTCCTGCTATCTGTGCTTCGTAAGCGCTTAAAAGAGTTCTTGTGAAATCGTCCATAAAAAACTCTTTGTGCCTTTACGACGATAGAAAATTTTAGAGTAAAAATTTCTTTCTGACTTTTCATATTGCAGCTATTACAAGATAGTAGTCATTTTATTCGAATAATCTTATGAAGTAAACATGAGAACGAAATTTTGAAATTAGTAGTATATGTGGACGGGTTGTGTGACTTTTTTTGTAAACGTAAGAATTCATACAATATTGAACGATTTTGTATCATTATTTTTAACATATGAAGTAAAAAATGTAAGATTCTTACGTTTTTGAATAAATCAAGATTTAAAAATTTTCAAAATTGTAAGACATTTACACTCAGCCCATACATAACGAAATAAAAGAAGCTATATATAGATGATGTCAGGTTATTCAATAATTAAACATTGTTTAAATCCTGATTGGAATCAATGGAGTCATGAATGAAAAATAAACTTTAAGAAGCTAATGATTATTTGAATTTATGAAATCAATTATTTGATTCATTCTTTCTTCAATCTCTTCTATTCTTTTTGTTAAATCATCTATTTTCATTAATGAGGTGATTCTTGATTGAGGAATAGATTTCAAACTAATCACTCCTTTTATTTTTGAAATTTTGAATCCATCAACTTTAAACATTTTATTCAATTTACACGTTGTCAATTCTTCAAATAATTTTTTATTGTTAGCATAATAGTCATTAAATTCTTCAACAGATGAAAAAATTTTTATTTCAGTAATTGGTTTAACAACGTTTATTTTTTGTTGAACATTAACACTTTCATTTATTTCTTCCTCCTCTGTTTCATTTATTTTTAAAATCGGTTTCATTTATCATTAAATAAAAATTAGAATATAAGTGATGAAATATATTTTTTTAATTAATATTAAATCAGAAATGGCGGCAGGATTCTTTAAAAAATTATGGGATGGAATTAAGAAAGCTGCGGGTTGGGTTTATAAAAGGTTATTAAACCTGTTGCAAACTTTTTGGCACCAGTAGCGAAAACGGCAGGAACTATCATAGGTGGAGTATTAGGTACTAAAGCAGGTAATCCGGCGATGGGAGCACAAGCAGGTAACGCAATTGGTGGAATTGCTGAAGGAATACTTAATAAAATAGGAGGTAAATAGTGGAAAAATAAATAAATATTATTTTTATCTTAGTATCGGTTGTAGTCTTTGATAAACTTTTTCTCCTTTATTTAATATTTCTCTTATTGGGGCAGCTTTTGGTGTTATTGATTCAGCAATGTCACTAATTGCTTCTTTATTCTTAAATATCCAATTTGCTCCTTTCTTCATTGTTTCCCAAACTTTATGCGCTCCTCTTTTTACTTTATCCCACAGTTTCTTAAATATACCTGCAGCCATAGTTGATTATTTCATTAAAATTAAAAATTCATTTTCATCTTTTAATTTTGATTTTTTATTTAATAATAAATGACGACTAACTATTTGGTGCCAAACACTAAACCGATTAATGGAAATGTGTTTCATTCATTCGAAAAGATAAATGAAATATTTGCAAAGAATGATGGTAGAAGATATTATAGAGAACTTGAAAGTTCATGCTATGACTCTGATGCTCCATATTTTGATGATAAACAAACTCATTTAAGAATTACAAATCCAGCTCATGATGTGAACCAATTAGGTGACACATATATTAAACGCAAAGTTAAAGCAACTCTAGTTTCAAATAAAGCTTTCACATGTGATGACGCTTTTAAATGTATGCGTTTATTCGTTGGTTACAAATCATCAAATCAAAGCTTTAAACAATTAGAAGTAGAAACCGAAAGAGGTGATGCTGGTTATCTTCAGATGGATTGCGCCCGTGAATCTTTCGCATTTGCAACATATAAACCAAAATCAGAAAGGAAAGTTAAAAAGTTTGTTCATTCGTTATATAATAATGTTCAAAAATATGATAACTCGGTATGTGGTAAATATATTGACCCTTCAGAAACGTTCAAGAAAGCAAATGAAGAAGTTGATGTCACTTTTGATATGATTATTCCGGTAAATGATTTGTTAGCATTTCAGGCGTTCGATGATTATCCTAAATCATTTGGTGAAATCATTCTTAAATATTATGTTTTCAGGGATACTTTAGTATTTTGTCAGGTTGACCCGTTAAGAGTTGCTGATTTACAAAATTACGTTTATGAAAAGATAACTGATGGAGATTATGAAAAGATTATGAATCATATTTATAAATATGATCGCAAATTCCAACAAATCGGACTTCCTGCCAAATTAATTACAAGCTTAGCCGCTACATCTGCTGACGCAACAGTTGATGACGTTATTATTTCATGCACAAAGATGGAAGTTTTAGAGGATAAATGCATTACACCAGGATACGGTTTAATTGAAGAATCAGTTAAAGCAATACCACGTTTATTTAGTAAGGAAGATCCATTCATGATTCCAGCTCAACATATTGACGTTCGTTCACTAAATGGAGGTTGCATCACTCCTGAAGGTATTAGCTCAGATTTCTCATACGCTCTTCATAATGTTACAGATGTTGTGTTAACATTTCCGAAGAATGCAATGCAAAGAACAGTTTTAGAAAATCCAATGCTTCGAGGTCTTCAGGTCACTATAGATTCCAGAAACTTCCCCGATCAAGCGATGACCACAGTGGGTGACATATTCTTTACACGTATGCTTCAAGCTTCTGATTTAGATGGAGTGAATGAATGCACGGAAGAATACGAGGACTCATTAACTAGACCACTGAATGCTGATAATGGCACGCCATTAGCTAGAACATGGAAAGACCAAACTTCATTCTTATGCACTATTCCAGTTCAACGTGATGGAGCGGGTATATTCTTTGATGGATTAGAAACTTTCAACTCACAAGTTACAGTACAAGTGAAAGCTTATCCAATCATTCAGGGTGAAAATGACACTTACTGTTCAAAAGTGACAAATCCTCCTCAGGTTTGGTTTACTAGGACTACGTATTGGACATGGACACCGGACGAAGGTTTGAAATATCATCCAACAGGTACACCACCGCAGTATAGAAGTTCATATGATGAAATATTGATGAATAGAAATGTTTAAAATTATAAATTTATTTTTGATTAAATGGATTTAAATTCATCCACCCCTTATGAAGAATTAGCGGGAGTATATAATACATACGTAGATGATATGATTAATGAAGCATTGAGTGATAATAGAAATGCTCTATCTAAGGAAAAATTAATGAAAATTCCATATTCTGAATGTTATTTAAATTCAATCACTGCAGCAATTGGTAAACAGAATAAAGGTAAAACATTAACGATATTAAAACAAATTATCATTATTGCTAACACCTCCCCCCATTCACATGTGTTAATTTATATCAACCGTTCAGGTTCACCTTCAGATGATACATTTGAATCTTTAAAGCATTTAATCAAAATTCCAATTATTTATTTATCACAAGAAGAAGCAGAAGATTATTTAAAAAACTTTTTAATGTATAAAGAATTATATAATACAATCAAGAAGCAAGGATTAGAGGATAAAATTATTGATAAACAACGGGATGAATTATTTGAAACACTTTCTATTTCAAATTTTGATAAAGAATTTTTGCATTCACTAATTTTTCTAGATGATGCAGTGAAATCAAAACTAATAACAAATGAGAAATCATATTTTAATCAATTATTAACTCAATGTCGACACATTCAGTGTTCATTCTTTATGGCTGTTCAATACTTCAAAGCATTAAGTACAAACATTAAATCAAACCTGTCCACCCTTTTCATTTTCAGTGGTTTTAGTCGTCAACAGTTGAACGTTATGCTTTATCAAGTGAATTTACCAATGAGCATTAATGAACTTTACACACAATATCAGCAATTAGGTGAACATGGAAAAATAATAGTTGATTTAAATAAAGGAAGTGTTAAATTTGATTAACTTTTTATAATTAATTTTTATTTTTTATTTATAATTAAACATGACAGAAATAGCAAATCTTCTACAGGTTCCATTAAAACAAGGGACAAACAAAAAGGGTGCATATAATAGAACTATGAAAGTTCCTGATGGAATGAAAGAATTAGTTCATATTGTTGCTGGTCTTCAAAAAGATGTTAAACAAATGAGAAACGTTTTAACATTACCAGAAGCTCAAGCATATGCCAAACGTCATGGACCAAATTGGGAAGCACATGAAGCAGACATTACAGGACCAAATGGAAAGCCTGATGGTATAAATGAAGTCTTTGTTACTGATGGTCAAGGTAATATTAAAGTCATAAATGGTTATAAATTAACTATATCTGATTATCCTAAACGTAAAGCATATAATGAACGTTATCCTATGCAATTTGATGAAAATGGAAAAGCTGTTAAACAATACATTGAAGAAGGTGAAAATGGTCCAATTAATTCATACCGTCATAATCCATATTCTTATTTCAATGAAGAATTAAATGCTATTGAAGAGGGACCGGATGGATTACCACGATATGTTAATCAGTTTGATGGTCAATATGCAAACATTAGACCTGAAATTTCAGCTAAGAAATTCTTTAAAGTTGCTTTATTCGATCCAGTGTTCAATGAACAGAAAGAAGCAATGAAAGCAGAATTTAAACCAATTCAAGTGGCAAGAATTTCTTCATCTTCACTTTCAGAAGCGTTCAAGGAATTGATAAAGAAACCACTTTATTCTCAACAAGGATATAACTTTGATTTAATTAAAGAAAGTGATAAACGTAAATTAGAAAAATCAGATGGTTTTAAGAATGCATGTAATGAAATGATTAAAGATATTGTAAATGATAAAATAAGACTGGAAGAAACTCAAAGCAATATCAATAACATAATTGGTGCAGTTACAAAGAAAGTATAAGCAAACAATGATGAACCTTGGGATATTACCGTAACAACTAAATAAAACTTTAAATATATTTTTCTTTTTTTTATTCGATTATAAATGAGAAGACGTTTCACTAGTCAAAAGAACACTAACGCAAAAGCAGAGATTACGGTTGGTT